AAGCTGCAAAACTGTTATTCCCACGTCTTGCGAGAAAAAAATAGAATGAAATGTGAGCGCCCCTCACAGTCCTAATTTGTAGTAACTTATGTCATTTGATCAAATAATTGCATTTCATATATATATATATATATATATATATATATATATATATATATATATATATATATTTTTTTCCCAAGGCGTACATATAAATATATATAACCGCGTGAGATCGAGGCCACGTGTGTCAGTCAGTCCAACATGGCGTCGAAAAGTTGAAACAGTCCAGCCTGGAAACAGTCTAGCTTCAGATCAATACCCGCGGGATGAAAAACGACATCCAAAGTATGCGTTGTCCAACGTTGAACGCAATAAGGGATTTAATTCGATTTCGTATGCGAGCTTCCTTCTTTCATTAGCATCTAATTTGATTTGAATACCTGATCTAAACGCATACTTTCTTTGATCCACTTGCTATAGGCCGTTTTGATGATGATCCGGTAAAAGCAGATTACATGGAAACATTTTTTTAGGAAGCCTAAAAAAATGAAGCTCCTTATATGTAGCTTTTTACAGTTTCTTTCATTTTGTTTGACCTTCAATTTTTTTTCATAGAGGGGTGATTTTTCTTCCTCGGTCATAATCTATTGTGTGCATCTGTAGAGATGTTTCGGCATAGAAATTGCACCGATTATCTTTTAAGTTTTGCCTTCGTTTCTGAAACTGAGTGCTTTCGGTGCCTGCGTTTCTACTGTCAGGTGTTTGCCTTTAATTTTCCAATTTATCAGTTTCAAGAACGCACCACATCGGATCTCGTGGCATCTCCTTGTATCGCTTCGCTTTGTTGTCGAAGATTGAAGTTCGAGTTGATTCCGCGCATGAAAGGAGCTAGTGACTTCAGAGTCGGTAATATCCCTGTCTCTATTTGATTTATAGCAAGTGATCTATTGCTCTCCCTTTTCCACAATTAACTATCATTTGCATGGGATAAGGCTAAAAAAACATCAATACCCATTTGTAACGGATATAAGATGCAAAAGTTGAACATGTTAAAGGTATCAATACTTTCAACCTTTACAGTTGGTCATTTTAGTTCGCGTGCGTTGGGTTTCAATCATATATCATTTTTGACGGCGCTCCTTTGAAATCTTAAAAGGGTTTTGCTCCGCTTATAGGAAAAAAAAAAGGTTGATTGTCATCATTCAACGAAGCAACAAGTCGGGTGCTTAAACTGCGTAACCGCCTGTTCTTTTGTTTCGTCTTTAATGCTTTTCATCCAACGCAAGGTTGTACAACACTTCCATTTTCACTCTCCCTTTCTCATCTCTTTTCCACAAAGATAATTATTTCCACGCCATTAAGCAAGGAAACATTTTACATAGGAAATGTGCTATTCTTCTAAAAGTTCTGTGTTTCATTTGGTTAGGGAGAGAATGAGTTATGCAAAGCTTCACAGACTGCCTGGCGACTCTTCCATCGTAACCTTTGCCCCAGAAATAATGCGTATCATCCGATAATAACGTGTCCATGTTGTATTAATAGACCAACTATTATTATGAGCCGATAAGGTCCACTAGCTCAAGGGGCTTACGAGTAACATGATCATTATGTTCAACACTAGATTAGCGTTTTATCACAATGAATTGAGAGTGGATTATACCGCATAATCAAGTTTCACAATCCTTCTCTCCCACTTTCAATTTCGTGGTTTGACACCTGCATTTTTTGTTTTGTTTTATCAGGTTGGGGATGTAAAAGTTCCAATTGGAAGCCTCATGTGGTCTAAATTATTACCTTTGGAAAAATATTATTGTTAGCAGGCCACCTAAACCAAGAAATGAAAAGTATTTGCCTGTCATTTCAAGATTTACCGCGAAGAAAACCGCAAGGCTGGGATTGTTTCATTTTAATAAAATAGCCTTAAAACATTGGATTACCAAATATCAAATGCGCTTTCTGTGTATTTAGATACGTAGCACAGCTAAGTGTGATAAAAACTTGTAATGAGATAAATTCCTCTTCGTAAAGAACAACCGTCCTGAATTTGCCTCGTTATCAGCGTGTGGCTTCGTAGCTCAGTTGCTAAAAGCGCTCCAACAGTATCCGGGAGGCACGGTTTCGAATCCCGTCGAGGCCTGAATTTTGTAAGCTTCTTTTCGGCAATAGTGAACGCTGAGATACTTTGTGGCTGGTATGAAGTGGCGTTGCGTCTCGGCCAGAGACTCATAAGATACAGTAACTTAATTTTCGGAAATTTCAAGCAAACTCGACGAGCATCGAAAGTCCCTCTTTCTGGAATTCGAGATGTTAGCAGATTTGATCCTCTATCACAGAAGGATTCCCAACCGCACTTTCGCCAATTACAATTCATCTAATGAAAACTTGCAATTACTAAAATTTTTAATCCACCTGGAAGGATCATTCTTTTGCTTTATTAGTGTAATAACATGATCACTAGAACAGTTGACTTAGTGGAACATGACTTGCAAGAGCTACAGGTGTTTGTCATTTCGAATCATTTCTCAACCTTCAAGATTGTAAGATATTTAGTTCTTAAAGTGAAAAATACAGAATTGATAATGATAAATCAAGAAGGACCAACAATAACTGAGGATGAAGAAGACTGTAAAAGTAAAGTGATTGAGGCACATAACGTGACAAAAGTCTTAATAACCTGTTCAATGATAACAAACAAGTTCCAGAGGAAACTGTTATGTGCAAACATGGCATGAGTATATGTGCTAGGGCGTTTTCCATTTTTAGACAGGATGAGGGTGGGGGAGGGAGGATTAAGCTCTGTCTTGACGTACCTGAAAATGATTAAATTTCGATCATGAACATGCATATTGTTTCGTTTAGGAATGAAGCTCAATGTGACACTGATAACACCAAAGCGCGGTTGGTTATCTGATGGAAATCAATTAAATTTCTATTCAAAGATTTCAGATAACAACTCCAAGAATAGACGATGGTACGCCTTTCAAAGTCACTTTAGAAGCCGAACCTTGTTAAGATTGCTCATCAAGTGAAGAGGAGTGGCATGTCTGAATATAATTTGCGTGATTTTATTTGCGAGTGAGTGGGAGAGCTTAAGTCATGAGAGGTTTTAAGGCAAAGGGTACGTGACGAGAAAAGGAAAGGTCGCATGCACCAACAATATTTTCCCTTTTATTTATTTTTTGCTTGTACTTAACCAAATGTTTACACAAATAATACTGTGCACAGCCAGCGTAATATTGAATTTTTCACCCCTATTGTTATGGAAATACGGCTCTTTCTGTGCTCCTCTTTGGTTTGTCAATTCACAACCCACTCTACGACGATAAAAATAATAAACAAACAGACCTTTTCGATAATGATTACTCACGTTTCATCCTTTATCTCCACCTGAAGCCATTGCCAAGTTCAAGTATATATGGAAAGAAATTGACGTTTGAATATACCAGACCTCGGTAATATTCTTATAAATTTGTTACTGATCAATGAATTACTCGAAAGTCAGCTGAACAGCTTATTGGATTTGGTCATTAGGACCCCCAGAACTGTCTTAAGCCTCTCCGTTAAGTTATCTAACGAAGGATTTGAGGTGATTTTTAGATGATAATCTTTCCTCTTTATTTGGAATTTCTTTCAACAGTCACGGAAGATAGCATAGCAAAGATACGAGACATATCCTGTCTGAAGAGCTTGACACACGCCCTTATTAGAGTTTTTTTATATCACATCTAAAGGTATGCCACAAATATGGCGAAAACTGCTACTATTCTGTTCCCTTTTAATGCTTTGTCTTGTTTCCATTAAAAAGGGTGTTACGTGTCTCTGAATAAAATTACTACAAATAGCTCAAATTTATGTAATTTCTTCCTTTTTAAATTTTCCAGTTTGTCTCACCGTGGTTTATAAAGCCGCACTGCAGACTTAAGTTCGCCGTATTTTAGCCGATGCTAAACTCCGGAAAATGTTAACGCTTTCTCTTTTGTTTGTTTGTTTTTTTCCTTTTTATAATACATTTACAATATACCGCGGTATCATCCAGAATGACCCCTTTCAGATTGTTTCATTTTCTTGTTTCGAGCCATGTTTTACCCCAGGCAATGCGTCCGAAAAACCTATCAAATGATGTTATGGATTGTTTTTGTTTACATTCCCACACACGGACTACAAAGTGTATCACAAATATATAGAAAAAATAGACCTAATAAGCAAAATAATGACTCAGCCACAACACTTATCGGTCGACAAAGCATCTTTTAAGTTTTGGCTAGAAAGAACACTTTTTGATTGTTCCTCGTAATGAATTCTTAAAAACTTACAAGAACGTCTCAAATCAACAGCTTAAGTCGAGAGTCAAGAAGTTGAGTTGATGTTTACTACGTGTAGCCGAGGAAAACCTGAAAGTTCCAGTGATTTCTTGATTGTAGTTAGACATACACCGATGTTCTCTGGTTCACTGCTGTTTGTAAACCTTCTAAATTTAGATCAACTGAATCAAGTTACGGCCCTTGTAATTGCTTTTATTCAAATACTAAAATAGCACATCACTACTTGTACAAATCAGCGTTAAAATGCAGTAACATTCCAAGTAGGTACATTCAGTTGAACAGTTAAATCCAGTTTGTTATCAAAAAAATTAAATCTCTTAACAGAATGCTGTTAAGACGGAACTATACAAAATCTAGAGAAAGTAATCCGTGATTTTATCAGTACTTAATGTATTACTTGTTTCCGCTTCGTTACTTGTGATGCTTGAATAACATTGTGAAGAAACACGAATTTTACCCTCCTGACGAGACAAATTTTTTTTTATACGTGAAGACGACAAGTATTGCATGCTAGACTTCTGACTGAGTCGTGCAATATTTTAAGGGTGTCTTCCGTTCAAGGCTGTTTGTGGCGTGTCATGCTGTTGTTAATTGTCTGGTAATGTGACCAGTGTTCCGTAAGGCGGCTGCGTCACGCACTTAGCGGTTTCCTTATCAAGGGCTAAAAGTCAGCCACAACTGTCATATCAATGAATAAGTTATGCCAGAGCGTTCGTGAAACCGCAAGAGCGCCTCACAGCTACCACAAAGTTACAAAGAATCTCGCTCGCCGGTAAATTCTGGGAGGTCATGAAATAACTCAGTTCTTCGGTCACTTGATAATGTTGTTGATGCATTGAAACATGTTCCATATGTAGAAACGTGCTTCGAGATAAAACGTGCTTGTATATAAAGCCGAGAGTGGCACGCGTGAATCTACAAAACAATTCTTTATCGCTCAGAGGTAAGATCGACTCGATATACTTTGAAGTTCATTTATAACTAAGACCAAGGTTTAGACCTAATTGGCTTAATGATCACATCGATTCCTCTTTGAGTAAGTATTGCTTTTCTGTGATCGTGTTGGAATGGTTTCCTTCCGCGAGTATCAAAACACCGGCGCAGCTATCAATCATATACTTGTTTCTCTTGCAAATCAAAACTAAGCATAATTCTTGATTCAATCAATTCAATCTTTCACAATCGCGATTTGTAACGAGTTTATAGATACCATCTTACTCTATCTTTGTAAACCTAAGCCACTGGCGTCGATTATTTGGTCACCAAGCCAGTTTGGAAATTCCAAGCTCTATTGACACATACAGATATAGATCTAAATGTGCTCAACAAATTATTCCCGAAAATCGTATGTACGTGAATGCGTTCTTAACTTACGAAATTGCGAAATAAAAAAAAAATTAAGCCCAAGGCCATTTATTGACTAACGCGACAACATTGAAGATTGACGCCACCTGCCGACTTATCTGCCGTAACTAACACCTGAGGCGACATTTATTACTGAGGGACCCAACGTCACATCGCTGAGGCTTCGGTCTGAGAGCATTTCTTTCTTGTGAAGGACGTGATGATTGTAATGAAGCGATACGATTCAACCCATCTCTATTATAAAAGACTTATTCACTCGCTGAGGGGTAAATAAAACACCAAGAGGCTCATCGACTTGTTTATTTTGCAGGATTCAACAGTTCCTTACAGCATTAGCCATTAGTCTAACATGGCGAGCTTAGAGCTACGGACATTTTGTCAAGATTTTGAAATGAAAGACTTCATAGCACAAGGAACCTTTGCTAAAGTGTTCAAATGCACGGAGCGAAAGACAGGTGAATGTTTTGCAGTGAAGGAATTTCAAACTGAAGAGGCTAATTTTGACAGAGAGGTTATAAACAACGAAGTGGAAATTTGGAGGACTTTGCAGCATCGCAACATTGTCTCATTATACAAACGCTTTTACGGAAACGGCCACATTTGGGTGGTGTTAGAACTCGTAAACGGAAAAACGCTTTTGGACGAAATTGTAAATAAAATTGTTTTCTCTGAAGAAGAAACACGAGGAATGATGGAACAGGTGAGACAAGAGGAATCCCTTAGATCTTTGCTCCGGCTGTTAAGTAATTTATTACATATCTTGGGTTCCAAGTTTTGCAGATGTGGACATTTAGCTATGACGATAAAAATAAGGAGAACATTTTTCGAAACTAAGAACCAGGATTTAAGATTTTTTCTTTCATTATTTGGAAGTTAAAGCGTTTATCAAGCCTTGTTGACAAGAATCATAACAAATGCGCATTACGCTTCTTGTTTCCTTATAAAAAAAAATACTCATTTCACAGAGATTTCACATCATTAAACATTCTTTAAAAACATCTGGCCACTAAATACACTTGGCTGATCGTTCGCTTGATAGCTGTCGCGTTACAACTATTCAATCGTTAGAGGACGAAATGCATCTTGTTCGCACTCATTCTTTGCGATGTTTATCTTTCAGCTCATTGAAAGCCTCAAGTATCTTCACCGGAAAAGGATTGTTCATCGAGACATTAAAGCTGATAATATCCTTCTAGAAAAGAAGGATGGCAAACTCGTCGTTAAACTTACAGATTTTGGACTTGCGCGGCGACTTCCGGACGATTGTGACGTCATCAAATGTACAGCGGAGGGCACGCCTCTCTATCTTGCGCCGGAAACAATCTTAGCGGACCCTATCGGTCCAGCGGTTGACATATGGGCATGCGGAGTAATTCTGTTTTTATTACTCGTGGGATATCCTCCATTTTGGCACAGCGATGATAGGAAACTGATGTTACTTATTGTGGAGGGATGTTACAGCTTGCCTGCGCGCTACTGGGACCGAGTGTCGGATGACGCAAAAGATCTTGTGAAACGAATGTTGGTGGTTTATCCTCACAAGCGAGTAACTGCTTTCAAGGCATTGAACCATCCGTGGATCTCAGACTTTGAAGAAAATGTGGACGAGGGTATCGAAACTTTTGCAAGGAATCTCGTTTCAAGATAACACATTTCTAAACAATTTTTAATTATAGCGTTCTTTTCCATTTGAGTCGTTGCATCCATATCATGCAGAGTTGTTATCCAAATTTCGCCCGCAAGACTTGGTTGGGAAGACAGTAAGGCTGCCTTACTTTCAATTAAGTGTGTAAATAGGGGAATGAAATTTTCATTAAAACATATTTTAAGATTTTGTTGTTCTGACATTGCCACTTATGCTCCCGGCTACTCTGTTTTCGTCAGATGTCTTAATCAATCGCAAATTGAATTAACAAAACTTTTCACGATCACAATTCAATAATTTTTACAGGCTTGGTGTGTGTGTAATACTGTGAGATAAGGCCAACCTTTGCGACACTCAACCCATCGAGGGACTGCTCATTACTAACCACTTGTGGGAATCAGAGGATTTTGGTTGAGTCCCTAAAAAATTTACCCGTTCACCCCATAAAGCTCTGAGATCATCTTATGAATCCCCCTCCCTCTCCCCCTCGTTGGCAGTCAATTTTCTATGCTCCCCCTTAGTGCTTCACTGGCGACGACTATCTTACCCCCGTTCCCCTGAAACCTGTGTAAACCCCCCCTCCCCAAATTCCCCACCCCACCCTGGGCGATAAACAATAGCTGGTCCGAAAGCGCAAACTAATCAAATAAGACATCATTTTCACCGATCAACTTTTAATGCATCACCAAAAACAACAATAGAATCACAATCTTCATTGGCAAACATCGCGAAAAATGACTTCTTTCAAATCAAAAAAGCGCCAAAGAAGCTGTGGTAGGTATACATGTAGGCAATCCCTACATTACTTGTAGCTGCGACAGTGATGACGTCACCAGCCTTCAGGTAGAAGACGCCTCCAGTCGAAAAAGTGAAACTAGATTTTCGTAGGGTCTGAGGAGGCTGTACCATGGCGACCACTTTGTTATTAACCAAGAGAGAAATCCTGACTGGTTTGCCTCTATGGCCACGGTAGTAGATCTGCTCGTAGATGTAGTACCGTCCTGAGATGGGCACGGTGAGTTTTCCATCTCGGTATTTCATACCACCTGCGAGATGACTGTACGGTGCACTTAAGGTCCAGTCCTTTATCACTGCAACCGAAAACGGAATATGTCAATAGGTTACAAAAACAAAAAATCCGCAGGTGCACGATATCAAAATTGAGAAACGAGTCTCCTGAGTCCGCCCTCTGCCCCTCTCCCTCCCTATAACTATTTTCAAACATTGACCCGAATATACAAATCCTCCAGTAGTTATCTGACCTTTGTGAGCAGTGTAGGACGTATTAGGAGGATACTGCAATTCCGTACAATTTATCAAGTTACACTTACTGTGTTTTGATATCGTCGAAAAACCCTTTTAAACTTAAAAAACTGATTATAAGCTAACGATTCTTGAAATAGATAAGGCCCGTTATTTACTCGAGGTCTAACCCAAACCACGGTTTTACGCAATCCGTGGGCTTCAGGCTTTCTCTGTAAGAGGTTTGATTAATGCAACAATTGTCCTTCCATTGTTTGCTCTTTGTCTTCTCGACGCTATTTACAAAAAAGGTTCCGCTAAATTGAGAATTGTTTAGGACGTGAATTTGTTAAACAACAGCTAAACTTTGTGCAAATAGTCAGACCAAAGAGTTTTAAACCGTATACAAACCTGCTTTACACAAAAGTCAACTAGTCCTTATTCATTTCCCCCTTGATATCCAGCTATCTCATAGAATAAAATGTATATACCTTTATTTACTTGATAGGTTACATCCCTTTTGTTGGCACCTTCAAGGTGTGCGGATGGTTTTGTTGGATCCTATGAAAACAAGAGAATTAATATGAGGCGATGAAAAACAACGATTAAAAGTTACACGCTGCAAAATGGTCACATTTTCTTGCAAATACTTTGGTCACAATATTTAAAGCAGTGATTAGATACATGAAGAACTCCAATTAACCCCCAGATTGAGATTTTCAAATTTGATAAGCAGGCTATAAAACTTTCAAGTTTAAAAGCATTCAAATAAAAGGTCATGATTATATATGTTAGTTCTTCGCAAGCAAGAAATAGAAACTTTCCCCGTAATCGAGGCTAGAAAAAAAAAATTAGAATACCGTTCCACATTAAGGTATCACGTACGATCCTCGAACAGTTTCAAAAAACATCTGTTACCTGCAAAGGACATTTGCAAGAAGCGGCTCCACTATCTCCCTTATCTCCTTTTGACCCAGGGTCCCCCTTGTCTCCTTTTTCGCCCTTACCAGCCTGTGATGTATTAGACAATAGAAAACACAAACCGTGTTTCCTTAATGTTAACGGCTGACTTAAGGACAAACAAAATTAACCATACTAAACTACAAAAGTGCATCAACATAACTTGAAGATCTAAAATATGTTATGGCTTGTAGGTCTTAAGAAATTAAGCCTAAATATCTCAGATAAAATCCGTTTTAATCCTCTCCATCTTTCATAATCCTCTTCCCCTTTTGGCTGATCCTAATCTCTTTTAAAAGGGTTCATTCATACTGGGAAACGAGTATCTCAAGACGTCTTCTTTGACCAGTCTATGCAAAGGACTACCACGGCTACTGGGGACAAAAACTCTTGCGAAAGCGCATTCAAAGACGTCGCTATGATTACATTTTGGCAAAAACCTAGCGTTGGAGACAAAAATTCCACGCAAGGTAATACAGCAAATCTTTCATAAAAATGACTTTTTTTGTCTTTTAAAGTTCTTTTGTGAAGTACTAACTATGGAACATTAAAAATGGTTTTACCTTTGTCCCATCTCCTCCGTGAACATTGATGTTAATAGGATTTCCAGGTATAGCACATTTCCCCTGAAGAATAATACAATACAATAAAAAACCGTGAAAATCATTCTGTCTGTTATTGCTTTGAAAGTATAAAACAAATGGAAGGTTAGTCAGTTGATCTACTACGGAAGCTGAAGTCAGTTGTTCCATATAGGAACTGTTGGTTGCAGAACTAATCCGCAACGTATGATAACTTCTATAGCTTTTTTAGCCTTTAAAAAGAGCAATGCCATGATTGCTGAATTACTCATGTGTTTTTTTAAATGATAGAAGTTTTCTCACTTGATTTCCAATGTCTATCCCTGCATCGCAATTGTAAAATTCGATGCAGACAAGAGTAGCGAATATTAACAAGTACTTCATGTTAGGACAATCAGCAGGGGAAATCGTCACTCTGTGAAAACCGAACACAGACTCAATGCAATGAAACGAGTTAGTAAGTTATGATACAGAGATCGCACGTAAAATCATGAACGTTATTTTCTAAAAAAAATTACTCCTTCTTTTGTCTTGAACCTTAAGATGAGCGTAAGTTGATCAACTTGTCTGTCATTTATTATAACAAGGCTATATTTAATTTTCATCGTGATATTTTCACGAGCGCTCTCTGTTCGTAAGCCCGGTTCCAAAAAAAATATTTTACGAAAAATATGTAAAAAAACACCAGAGGGTAATGCTGTAATGCCATCTTAGTCACAAAAATGTTCAAAATTCGATTTTCTCGAACCATACGACAAAACACTGTCACTTGCATGCGCGAAAATCACTTACGTCACTTGCTATATAGTGAAGCTTACAAATTAAACAACGTCTGAGCGCGCGTCACGCCAATTCGGTTTTCTTCGTGAAACTCTCATTTTTACCTCATCTTTTTCCTTTTATCTTGCATACAAGCTTTTATTTTGTACAATCTGAATCGTCACAATTTCTCGAATTCCAAGGATCAAGCTCCAAGATTTGATATGGGTGAACAGTGTCAAAATTTCCACATATAGCGCCAATGGTAGTCATATCAAGGATCCTAACGATCTCACGAATAAAACCTATTAGGTCACTCCAATTTTGTACACCTACTGAAGCTCAACAAAAAAAAAATGAATCAAAAAATTTAAAGCTGGGAACATTTTAGATATTTTCAGGGCAGTGGTACCATGGAATTTTGGATTATCGCTTACATGCTTTGTTTTGACGGATAATCTTAAGTTGAGCCTGTTACAGACTCTTCGAATTATGGCCACTTTATCTAATGGAATACCAATATCAAATAGTATTGGATTTCTCTTTGCTCAATTCTTATTCTCCGTAAACTGCTCGTGGGAATTTGTCGTCAAAGCGGTTTTTTTTTTCATTCCCACGAAATCTGCATGAACCATCGCCATCGGAAGACAAGGCTTCATGAATCGGCTGAATTCGTCTGTCCCTCTCATTCATAGCATATTCTATGTAAAGGGAATTTAAAGTGAGTCAAGAGCAGATTAGACTGATTGTTTTAGCAAATGCTCACTCAATAGGATTTCTGTAAGCCGCTTTTATCTGTCGAGACATCTAAGGTAGAGATGTCATTCCAGAACAAAAGTGATATCAAACAAAACATAACGAAATTAATATGTGTTCTTTCGTTCTTCTAAGAGCAAAAAAAAAAAAGGTACTTCGTCAATTTTCGGTATGTGAAGCGACGTTATAATAACTTATCAGATAACAGCAATAAGTAGTCAATTAGACACGCGAAAAAATACCATAATACTGCAACATCCACAAACTGGCAACATGGATGCCGAACGACAGGTTGTCTTTTTAAAACTTTTGTCCGGCAAACAAAAATTTTCTTCATGTAGTAGATGTTTACTTTTTTTCTTGAAGATGAAATACACGGTTATTTGTTCTCATAACCGAATTCCGAGTGGAATAAACAAAAAAATCCTTTAATTTGGGGTTGCAAGAAAAATTTGATAATGTTTAAATTTTTTTCTTCTACTTGTAGAGTTTGCAGTGATTTGCATACTATCAGTGTTTATTTGTTTCGTGCCGCGTCATAAACCAAGCAGGAAATTTTTTCACGGTCCTTATTCTTTAGCTTGACGAATTTTTCGCCGATTTCTTGAATTCTTTGGGTGGTATTTTAAGGAAGAATATTAACCGGAAAAAATCAAAGCTTTAGATACAACCGACACAATACGAATTGCAACATCAGTTCATCTCACGATTTCCGCTATTGCATACAACGAAAATATAACTTTTGGGTAAATAAATGAAGAAAATCCTTTTCGGTAGTCTATGGCTATTTTTTCTCTTTTTTGGGATGAAGGTGGGTTTATGTCGATGACCACAAAACCCCAATGGTAAATCAAACGGACTCAACTTTGCACTGGACAATTATTTCTTTCAAGCTCTAAATTGTAGTTTCAAACTTTATTTTTAAGAGCAAAGCAGTTTTATCTTTAAGTAGCTCTCAGTACGATTTTGGAAGGAAGGAAACTTCGAATCAAAAGCAATCTTGAATCTTCAATGTAGGAATAAAATTCCAACAGTCGAAAACGCGAAGAGAATCCACGTAGAAGAGATAACCACAAAATTACGTGTCTGAGTGTTTCCACTGATTTACTCACTATCGCGAAAGTCTGCACCAGACTCCTTCAAAAGCACATTTTCTCCTGACCTCTCGGAGTATTACGTCCAGCTTCAAAAGACCTCAAGTTTCAGATTTAGCTTTGCTGATTTTTTAATCAAAATATAAACAAAAAAATTTTGCTGTGAGAAAATGAAAAGCGTATTTAGTCGTCTAACTAATGGCGCGCGAGCGGAATGATGGGAGATGTAAAATTTGTGCGCACGTGCCATCAGTCAAATTGCGCACAAATCAACTTTATCCCCTTTAAGTGAATCTTCACCAGGATTATCAAGATATCATCGCTTCCTGTTAACCCTTTAGCTCCCAGAGGTGATCAACATGAAACTTCTCCCTATAATATCCTTACATTATCCAGCAAATAGGTAATGAGAATATTCAAACTTAAACAGTTAGAAGTTGTTATCTTGATCTAACACCAAATTCTCATTACTACGTTACAAAAAAATGTGTTGCAACTTGAGGGAGAATTAATAATTTGATCTTGGAATTTTAAGGGTTAAGACCACACAACGGAAATTGCTGAAGGCACTTACCGAATTACCAAGCTGTTTTTTTGCTTTAATTAATTTCTTAATTTCTTCATTTTTCATTGTTACCCGTTTCGAAAACTCGATCGGAAATGAATCTGCCCTTTAAGCCATGTCAGGTTAATTTTACTGGCCACTTCTATTTGGTGTTCTTCTGGTATTTACTGTTGATATATGGTGTAAGTGACTTTTAACGCATTGAAATGAGAGTAACCTTTATTGGAATGCATTGTAATGTACGAAGTGTTGCAAATGTCGTGATAACACCGAAGTGTATCGTAGAACAAAGCACGTTTAGTCCTCCTTACACCGACACGTTCTCCTTATTTTCTCGTGAAAGCTTTATCATTCCTGGTTTCACAAGCAAATGAAAGTACAGCACAAATTAGTTTTTCACATCATGGATATTAATTACAGTCGACATTAAAAGAAATTGGTTGCCTTGAATTGTTTGAGGAAGGTTTTTTTCATGGCAAATAATAACAAGAGCATCAAAAACAAAAAGTTATTGGTAAAATAATAAATATGTTTCTTTTAATGAGAAAGATAATTTTTCCATCGTAGTTAAAGTAAATATGCAGAATAATCCAAACATTTAAAGCTGGCAAGCTTTCTACTCACAATCAGTGTATGCACTAATGACTGAAAGTTACATGAGAATCTGTTAATTAATGTTTTCTGAGCAGTAAATTCTAATTGTATTTCATTTCACAGTCCTGCAGTTCATTTACATACAGTTGCAATAGCATTTCTTGCAACAGTTTCTTCAAGAATTTTCATTTACAGTTTCCTGGAGACTTATCCATTACCCACTTATCTTCCTACCAGTTTGTACACTAAGGGGGGAGGAGGGAGGTGTCCTGGTTCCAGACCTGGCCAGGTCATTGTGTCTCTCCACCAGGGGGTAAAAATGAGTACAATCCAACTGTTAAGATAACCTGAAGAAAGGTTTTGGGGAGGTGCAGGGAAATATGTAATAGAATGGCAAGAGCATCCACATTTTTTTTTTTTAAATCCCACTCAATCAGGGCAAATTAACAAAGACATAAAAAAATTTATCCCAAGATTTTTTTCATTTTTACAAACATTAATTCATAAATATGTGTATACTTTAAATCCTAACACCAGTATCCACATTCTCAACACTCTTCTCTTCACATTTGTTTTAGTGCTCACAACAAGAATTTGTGTAACAATCAAAGCTTCTTAGGCTGGTGATCATTTCCTATATTCTCACCATCTTAATTAATGATTCAGCAGTATTACTGCTAAGAGAAATTAGATGATGATCACTCACTGGGTTTAAAGGGTTAAATTAACTCCAAACTAGCTAAAGTAAATATAGCCTACAATACATAACCACTGGCTTGTGCTTTGTACAAGATTGATGAATAAAATATAAAGAATAACATTAATAACATGTTCATTATAAATTAAGGTGTAACATCCATCAAGTTTTACTTGACCTCTTTCTCCTGCTGGGTTTAAAATAATATTCTTTTCTTAGAGACTCAGCAAACAGTGAACACCTGGAATATTTCAGAGAGTTGTGTATGAAAAATACATCACATCATGACTAACTGCACTGAAGATCAGGTAAAGAAAGCAAATTATATAACAAAACACTTGTGTTTTGTATTTCAATGGTGTGTGACCATGCCCTCATAATAAGCATTTCAGCACAAGCATTCCATCACTCATGATGTGAGGCCTTGAGCTAAGCCAAAGATCTGCAAGGGGCTTAGCACTGAAAATGTTATGTCAGATCCCCAGCTCAACTCTCCCAACTTGTCTCAAATCTCCCTACAAACAGAGAAATGTGATATAATAATGATGGCCTATTCACACACTTGTATCTTATATCTTCCTAATTTCTTCTTTAAACAAAACATTCTCAAAATATTTCTGGTGTTCACAGTTTTCTGAGCTTGAGATTAAGCTTCTAAAATGTTTGATAACAGCACTGTAGCTGTTATTGTATTGTACAAGCTTGCGATCCATCCCCCATGTTGCCTGATGCCTTAGCAAAGCATATTGCCTGCAGCCACTCCTGCTGTTCCTGTTCGCTGTCAGCCGAAAAAAAGTAGACGCGTCTTCCTCCGCTGGGCTTTATTCTAAAGGCAAACTGTTTTTTGTCAATGTTGCAATCTGACATCTCACATCCCTCCAATAGAACTACTTTCTCTTGATTCTACAAATGATAACAATAGTAAATTATAATTAAAAGAGTGAGATGCACCTCATGTTTAAGTTAACTTGTTTTAACATCATGCTTGTCAGGTTTATAAAATCAAAAACTTACTTACATTTGCTTCCACAGAGGCAAATAAATACCTCCTACTACCCAAGTCTGAGGTCCGTATTGTATGTTACGGGCCCCGTTTTTCCTCTCGGATTTATGGCCCAAACACAAAGTGCACAAGTCACAAATCCAAGGGGAAAAAAATGAGGTTCTACAACTTACCGTATAAAGCCCAGGAAAACAAGATAATTGAGATATTTATTATATTTCATTACTATATTTTCTGTTCTTTTTACAGAGCAAATATACTCTACTTGGGTGAGCGGAAACCTCAGGTAGCAATCTCAAGTACTTTAATTTACAAATCTTAAAAAATCAGGAGACACAAGTTACTCTCAAGATGAAATTAAAGATAAGCCTAAATTTAAATAAATTACAGGAATATGAAAATATATGTATTGTACTTCAATCTTAATCCATTAGCTATCGTCCAAAGTCTGCAGAAAAGTCCTGGAGTACGAAGGACCGTGATCTATGATCGTCTAAAGAAATTTGTTGAAATTCACGAATGTACTCGTATAAACAACAGACTTAAGGTCGGTCCTTCATTCTAAAGACGCTACGTTGATTCCAAACTGCAGATCTAGAGATATTTTATCCAAAATAACTTTTATTAAATTTCACTAGATCAGTCATACTTCATAGCTCGTGCATGACCGTCACATTTTCAAGTCGATAACAAGTTGACGCTAAACTTTGAACTCAAGTTTACCTCTGCTGTTAAGCCATAAGTTAGTTCATTTTTCCTTAAACAGCACCACCGCTTGTCCCAGCGTTTGGAAAGACGACTCCGTTTAGATAACCACCCCTGCTTATTGATGGTTTCACTCACAGAACTTCCTTCACTTTGTTTATCGACATTTTGAGTGCTTTCCGCCATGTTTGTTTGGTACATTTGCGAAGCATCATGGGTATCCTGAGTAATAACAAAATGGCGGGTACTTGACACTTCGCGCTCACCTTCTTCTGACTTTAATTTTTAAGTGTTTTGGGCCTGCATGAAAAACCAACGGCGTGAATTGAACGGCTTAAGCATACATGGCCAAAACCTGAAAGTTTCTTTCAAAGGAGATGGTGTTTTGACGTCATCGATTGAGATAGAACGTTCAAGACAGACACCGTCGGGAGTTTTTTTCCTTGTTTTCTTTCTCTCTAGCATCGTTGGAACTGTCGCTCTTCTTCAGGTAACAAAAAGGACCAATGTACTTTCTCTTATTTTTAATACATTTCCATACACTGCCCAACTATTTTAAGATAGCTTCTCGTACCAAAGCGGTGTTCTCTTAAAGCACCGCCGGCAGGAGTTCTCACCCACCTCTTGTTACATTACTAGGCAAGATAGAGGAACAACAGTCTTTTCCTAAAATAAAATCTTACGTTTACCTTAAAACTGGACAATAAGTAAACACAAGGCAAATACTCTGAATAGCTCATAAGAGCTATCAAGCTCCCTTTGCTGGCAAAGAGTGAGATACTGCGGGCATCACCAACGGGTGGGGTGGGGGGAGGGGGAATTGTAAAAAAAATTAAGTAGGTCAGTGGAAAATTTTCACTGGTAGAGACTGTGTGAAGGAAGTCCAAAGGGAACAAAGAGTAATTATATTTGGAAGGATAATTAATTTTTTTAAATAAAGGAGCAGTGTGCTTACTCAAATCGACAACAACAAAAAAATACCTTGGAGATTTTATTTTGCAGAAGGTGTAGAGAAAAAAAAAAATTGAGGGACCGAATTTCTGCTAACCTTAATAGGAGGTGTTGGTCAAAAACAGAATGTTCATCTAGCAATACACTGTTATTACTGATTAACAATCAGCTCATGTCTGTATGTTTTCATTTCTCTCCTGTCTCTTGTCTCCTGACCCTTTCTAGGTCCCACATCCCTAAATGGTGTTTATGTCAATCATTTACTGCCTTTTATTTTTCAATCATTACAGGAACTTCTGTCATTAACCAGCTTAGTAGTTTGGACTTTTGTGGTGATTGCCATTGTTCTTTTGAAATTATATTGCTGGGATATTCATAAAGGTGAGATGAGAAAGGTACTGACTGCTTTTAGGTCTTACAGTTAGTGTTCTCATAAAACAGTAATTGTAGACCAAGACACTGAATAATTTAATTTTTGGTGTGAAATTAGTTGCCAAAATTTTTCCTTTTGGCTATGGCAACCAAGTGGTCTATTTAGCTGGAGATAATTCTGGTCTCCATAAAATGAAGTGACTACTCCCCTGGGTGGGATGCCATTTTATCGCAAGGTTATCCCCCTCTAGCATTTCAACAGACTTCCTTGACAATACACTGTTACCCATTTATGCTAATGAGTGAAGAGAGGTACAGCACAGTGACCCAGCAAGGTTGCAAACCCAAACCCCTTAATTTGGAGTCAGTCCAGTGCACTAAATATAAAGCCACAGCCTCTCCTACATGGAGCGCTGCTTGGACTGTGAAAGGATCAGGTCAGACTACAAGCCACAGGACCAAGTAACAGCTCATTGACATGAAGAAAGTAGGAGTAGGATTAGAGCCTCTCAAACCCCCTTGTTCAAGATAGGATGCTTGTATATCCTATGTTATCTCCAACCCAGCATTTCATCATTCACAGTTTGCTGGTAACCTATTTTACTTAGGGGAGGGGGGGGGGAGGGGAAGGAGGGAGAAAGGATCTGCAGATGAACTTGCCTAACCATAAAAAGCCTCATGAATTTATCTTGCAGTTCCTTGAGCATGCCAGAAGGAATTGGGGACACATGAGTCCTTATTTTGACTAAGCCTGTTTGATCAAGGTGTCAAAAGACTGCACCTGTTCTTTTTCATTTTTCCAAAAAAATAAATTGACCAATGGCCATGTGTCTTGATCTCACACTTGGTCAATGATGAGCAATATTTCAACCACTCTATTCTTTTCGTAGAATCTGTTTTAATTGTCAAAGATCTTGGAATTCAGTACACCAAATCATGTGTCCTTGGGCTACAGACAAGTCAATTTATTGAACATCATAAAATTGTGGATGTGCTTATCAATGAAGTTATAACTATGGTATGTCTTGTGTCTGATAAATGCAATACTGATTGTTGCAGTCTTGCCAGGAATTAATGCAAAGGATTGTTTTTAGAGTGTATCTACTGACACTATAAACAATAGCCTCCACTTGGCACAAATGTATGCTCAGATATTTGTCCGGCCATTAGCATGGGCTGTCTGACAAGTGAACCCATCATTCTATGACTTTTTCAAGGATAGAATTTTAATGTCGTTTTAAGTAAAATTCCCTCTGTTATACTTCAATCCATGAACACACCACCAGCATGTGCAATGAGATTATGAAGCACACTTGGAAAAACCTTCTTCTAAAATTTGATTATACAAGATTTTTCGGATCAATATCAGTATCTGGGCAACTGCCCACCTACCCCTCCCCTAACCCAACATTAACCTTAACTTGTTGTCAATCGACTGTTGTTGAATTAAGGAGAAGGGTGAGTGGGCAGTTGCCCAGATACTGATATTGATCTGATTTTTCTACTTTTGTTTTAAAATATTTTGATCCATCTGGAGGCAAAAATAGTCTGTTAACACACCTCCAAGTGCTATCAACATACCTTCACTACTGAGATTATTTCAATTACTGCTAACACTAGGATGCATTTCATAGCATTTTTTATTAATTTGAGGGAAGATGATGTTTTTGATTGATTGCCTTCCAGCACCAAGTTGTATGTTACTTGACATTGCTCATTTCTGAAGGAAAACAGAACCAACGAAGAAGAAAGCATGAACTGCTCCCATTATTCATGGTAATTTTTCAATCTAATAATTTTTAAAGATTAAAATTTGTTTACCTGAAATTACTTCATTCAGGTTTCAAGTGTTTTCATTCAACTGGATAATTCATGACCCTTTTACTCCTCAAATAACAGTTAAGGAATAATCAGTTAAGGAATAATCACATTTTTGTGTCAGTTAGTTATTTTCAATTCTTCTTTTTATTCCAGGCTACAGTACCAAATCTAGTTACAATCAAATCAATTTATCATGGCATGCAGAAGATACTTGAGACATGATGGATGAATTAAAGATTTAATCCTCTAGACACTTGCTACCTTTTTCACCCATTTTTTAACTCCCAAGAATTGATCATTGTCAATTCTCCCTCAAATGTAGCTGCTACACAGTTATTTCTTGTGAATGAATGAATTTGGTGTTAAATCAAGAAAATAACCTCTATCTGATAAGTTTGAGTGCTCTCATTACCCTTTTGCTGGATAATAGTTGAATGTTATAGGAAGACGTTACATGTTTTAAAATCACTTCTAGGAGTTAAAGGGAGAATGCATGACAAATTAAGTTGCCTTGCCATAATTGAATTGTTGATGTTAATGTTTGTTGAAGCAATCAGGAACTTTTGATTCTGGTAAACTTTCTCTGAGGGAGAAATCCCTCATGGAGTCAATGTGATGTATACTTTACTCTGTAAATATCAACTGTTCATTACAGAAACTTGCTTATACTAGTAAAATTTGTCATTTATTAACTTTTTTGTTGTGAATACATGCAGTATAAGAACAAAACTAGATTATACATGCAGCAACTACACTCATTATGTTTTATTTCAACTGACTTATTTGTTAAGAATATCTACCATTATTCATTGCCCTCGTTGTTCATACTGATTCATCAAAACCGCGATCACAAAGTGGGAGGAAAGGTGTTGTTCTCATTGTGACAGCAGCGAGTTATTGCCTGTCCTTTGCTTTCAAATCTTCAGAAATATTTTGGAAACAGAAGTCGTCTCTATCATGGAATTTCCCTCAAATCCATGGCACTGCTTCTTCAATTCAGAATTAGTTGCAGCATATGTTATCTTTTCCTTTACTCCAACGCTACAGAAAGAAGTCAGAATTTATACAGAAAGATAAATTTCAACACTAACTAGGTGAAAAAATTATTAGCCTCAGTTATCATGCTAAAAGTCATCATACCAGAAATAAAATTTTCCTGTGAGATCTGTAAGTTGGTTTTCACAAAATTGCGATAAGACAGAATTCAACTTCACTGTATACATCTGTGAACATGCAAGCTGAGCAAAGTGATGCTTTTATTTAGTAATTACCTTTTTGAAAATAAGATGGTTTTCTCTTCAGAGTCCCACCATATAAGGAATGAATACCATAACAGAAATGAAACTATCACATCACAACTACGACAAGAAGGAAATCAAATGCATTTTTTTCCGCTATCATGCAAGCTCAGCAAAGTGTTGCTTTCATTTTGTAATACTCATAAAATGTTGTCTTCTCTTCAGTATTATACCATACAAGGAATGAGTAAAACAACAGGAATATAAAATCATCTTGTTGGTATTAAACATGACAATGTGATTTTTGCATAATTTAAACTGGTTCAAACTGTCACGGACAAATGCGAGTATACAATCGAAATTACGTCAGACAGTTACATTGGTAAACAGTGCTCACGATCATCAACAGATGAAACGACCGTAAAAGGAAAATAATTTATCGTTTCCGTTGACTTAACAAAAGTGAAAACATGCATTCAAAATGTGGATGATTCTTAGTAAATTCAATTGGAATACAATTTGTAGAAAATATGACTACTGAGTTTCCTTCCGCAAAATGCAATCGTCTTGAAGCTAATATAAAGGTAAATTATTTGTGGGAAAAAATGCGTTACTCATTCCGTTTAACTTAATCTTGAAACCTAGAAACACCTAACGCCGTGAATCTCAGAGAGCATTTTGGTTTGAACTATTGTTGACTGAGGCGTCAAAACCTTTTGTCAAATTAAATGATACAATATCGAAGCTTCATCAAAAATAGTGTTAAATAAATCGACCAGGAAAGAAATTTTGAAACTGGGAGGTAGTTTATAAAATTTCTGCTTTCGCGAGTAGCGCTGTTTTAAACATTACCATATTTGGGCACAAAATTGTTCCTGACTTACTTCAGCGTTGCAAAACTAAGAAGGGTATGATTTCGCTTACTTAATACAAAGATAAATTCAAATTTACTTGGTACTATGCCTTGTTACGATAACTTACATCAAAGTCGCAAAGCGTTCTAAACGTCGTCCCAATAATTCCGTTGAGTTGCGTGACACTCTTCCTTACATATATAATCAAGATTTAACGGATTATTTATGGTACTTCGCGACGAAAAGAATGTACATTCAAACTTTTAATACCTTTCCCTATATTACAAGCTCCATATTTTGAGTTCCAAAGTTTTCAGGACATGTGACATTTAGAATTGTGCACAAACCTCGTTACTTACAAGTGACTCTCTTTTTACGCAGCATAATTAGTTTTCATTTCTTTCCTCAATCATTTGAAAACCCATTTAAGGGCAAGCATAGCTCTCCACTTCATGCTTCCACTGCTTACTCATTTGCCTCACCTCTTAACGGACGAACAGTTGACAAGTGAACCTATTGTTCTAAGACTTTTTCGAGGCCGTAAGTTTAATGTTGTTTCAAGAAAAATGAACTGTGCTATGCTTCGTTGCATGTGCACACACTAAAAGCATGCAGGACTATGAAGCAGCACATTACAATTTTAGCTTTGTTTTGAGATATTTTGATCCATCTAAAAGCAATTAAAGAAGTCTTTACATAAGTTTCTAAGAACTGTATCCACCTAGTACCTTCACTATTGAAATTATTTCAGTTATTGTTAGCATCAGAATACTGTTATCCTTAATGTTATTGATTAATTTGAGAAAAGAATATATTAGTTTGATTTTGATCGATTTTCTTCGAGCATCGGGTCTTACGTTACTTGACAAAATTTGCTCACTTCTAAAGAAATGCAGCTCAGAACAACCAGTAGGATAAATTAGCGGCTCCTTGATACTAGTTACAGTATGAATTTGAGTCTAATAAATTTTAGAGATTAAATTTTGACCTGATGCGAGCTTCCTGTCATAAAATTAACTTTCGGGTCTTTGTTTTCGGGTCTTCCTTTCGGGTCTTAGGTCTTAGTTTTCGGGATCTTCTTTTTCACTACAACCAAGCAGTTAGTCCTGTAAACCTCAAATTTTTTACGACTGAAAGCACAATTGAGGGTCGTTTGGTAGGCAAAGGAGATTGGAGATTTGTCTTGTGACTTTGCATAATTCTGGAGCTAGATTCAAATGGCCTTACCGGTAAGAGTTTGAATTGTACACAGAATAGAATCGTACATTAATTGACACTGCCAAATTTCTCAATAAACACCCTGGATAATGAAACATTTAACATTTAACATTTCTGTTCATCACAGAAACATGCTTATACCAGTGAAATTTGTCATTTATTAACTTTCATTCCAATAAATACATTGCAGTGTAAGAACAAAACTAGATCATAAATGCAGCAACTTCACTCATCATATATTCTATTACAATTAACTTCTTTCTTAACGTGATCTACCAGCCGTAGTGCTTCTTACTGTTAAACTGAGTTATCGAAACTGAGATAAAAAAGTGGCAAGTGAAGGTGCTGTTCTCTTTGTGACAGCAGCAAGTTATTGCCTGTCTTTTGCTTTCAATTCATTAGAAATCTTTTGGAAACAGAAGTCATCTTTATCGTGGAATTCAAATGTCTCAAATCCATTACACTGCTTCTTCAACTCAGAATTAGTTGCAGCATATTTCATCTTTTCCTTTACTCCAACGCAGTCATCATCGCACCTTAAAAAGAAAAAAAAGAATCATTCAATGCATTCATCCAGTCATTTAACCAGACCCGTAGATTAAATGGTTTGTGAAAACTGATTGGCCCCAATGGGAGCTCAAGCGAAAGCTGTTGCAAGTTATTGCATGGCATCGAAGCTCATGGAAAACTGTTCATTTCTCAGAACAAATTATATCCGCGAAAAAAAATGTCCGTGCTTACATTGCGTCAAATTGAGTCTATCGTGTATTTACACCTCAGTATTTTTTTAGGCTTCATTACCTACATGTTCTCTTGGGCAGATAGACTGGAAATTTGAAAGTCAAGTTTCTTACCCAACGACACAGCACAACAACATGCCTTAATCCTGACCTTTCAAAACCCTATCCAATACGCCTCTGCACCTTCCCTCTTCCCCTCCCCGCTTGCATAAAAAGTTAAAGTAAACATTAAAGCTGCCTGGTCACCTACCAATAGATGTAAATTGGTTTATCTTTGGTAGCACCACTCTTCTGTTGGTAGACAAAATCGAACAGGATGTAACATGGCCCGTCCAGTTCTGCTACTTTCCCTTTCATGGCTTCAAAGAGTCTTTCATTTTCCTCTAAGTCAGTGTTGGATACAAGTTTGCCATGTTGTTTCATAAGAACAACTTCCTTATCATTGTCAATCTTCATGATGGCCCATGCGTGTTCATGCTTGTCTTTGACCAAAGAGAACATTTTCTTACAGCTTTCGTCCAATTTGATACCTGAGGCCTTCAAGAAAAAAAGGGCACACCTATTAACTTCATTTAGGATTTTGGATGGTTGAAAGTTAGAAAGGGAGTAAACTAATCATTCAGAACACATCATAGATGACACTGTACAGCAAAAGCATAGAGTGCCCTGGGCCACTCGGTTAATTGGGGATCATTTAGAACTAAAACTACAGCAAAACTCCACTATTTCGAACACGGCTAAACCGAACTCCTTGATAACTCGAACAAAATGCGATTTCGACTAGATTTTTTTCCCACTTTTTTTCAGTTATTTACTATCAGCCAAATCGAACTCGGTGAAGTCGATCGCCCGTGTAACTCAAAGACGTTGGTCAATATACGTCATAAGGTAAAAACGAGGCTGACTGACGCGTCTAAATCATTAATCGGTATTGAAACAAACGTGATAACAGCTAAGAAAACGCAATACAAACAGCTTTACTTCCCAAACTAAACGAAAAAAAGCTCTTATTAAACAAACTTAAAATACAAAAATCATTGTCGATTGTAAAAGAATGATTAAGATATTATTGTCTATTAATTATTAACAGGATATTTGAAATTCAACCCCAAACTCGTGACGCAACACCTCAAGATCCTCGCACCATTTTCCCCCTTTGAAAGTGGTTCAAGTTAGCGGGGTTCTACTGGATTGCCAACACTTACCATGATGTCAACTGACGAATTTAACTTCCAAAATAAGGTCCTGAACAAAGAAAGGAAAGTATACAATAGTAACATAGTCAGAGCAGGAAAGGTAAATTAGGAAGACTGATACTTGAAGGGTTTGGGATAAAAATAGTCAAAATAAGATGATAAAATGACCGCTCTTCAGACGAATTACTCATGCATCTGTTTTTCAAACAAACTTCAAAGCTTCTGCAACACTTTAACACTTTTTTTCTGCAACAGCTTTTGTAACACAGTTAAATCCCACGTGAATAAAATTAAGAGAGAACATAATAATAAAGCTAAATGCGAGTAAAAACTAGGGAAATAAATTTCTACCTTCAGTATTTTAAGTCATCAAAGCAGAAATAAAATTTACCTGCGAGATCTGCTGCAGCTTGGCTTTCACAAAATTATGATAAGACAGAAATCAAATGCACTATATACATCTTTTAACATGCAAGCTCAGCAAAGTGATACACAAAGTGAGTCACAACTTTTTAAAAATAAGATATGGTTTTAACTTCAGAAGTCAACCATATAAGGAATTAATGCCATAATAGGAATCAGTACTATAACAGCATAATTACGACAAGAAGGATCTAAATTAAATGCACTTTTTTTTTCTGTAGGACATGCAAGCTCAGCAAAGTGATGCTTTTATTTTTTTCATCACCTTAAAAGATTGTGTTCTCTTCAGAGTTATACTATACAAGAAATGAATAAAAAAACAGGAATATGAAATCATGGTTTTTGCATAATTCAAACTTTTTCAAACTGTCACGGACAAATGTGAGTATATAATCGAAATTACGTCAGCTTTTACGTTACTGAAATAAATCGACCGCGCTCAACAGGATCTGGGAAGTAGTTTTCAAAAATTTCTGTATTCGCGGCTGTATTAAACATTACCATATTTGGGCACGATATCGTCCCTGTCTTGCGTCGGCGTTACGGAGGTAGATTTCCAGTCTAACAAAGCGTCTGCCATCACTTTCTTCATGCAAAGGTAATTCAAATTCACCTGATACTGTGCCTTTTCGCAATCACTTAGTTGAAAGACGACTTCTTATTCGCAAAGCGTTCTCAAAGCCGTCCAAACAAATCTTTGAGTTGCGTGACATGCCTAGAGACAAGATTTTCAATATTCCTCGAACTTAAATATCTGTCTTTATTCATGTCACACAACCCAACAGTATTATGGTTCTTCGAGACGAAATGAATGTACATTCAAACTTAAGGCACATATTTCTAGCTCTACATTTTTTGCTCTGAAAGTTTTTCAAGATATGCGACAGTTCAAACTCTGCACTCACATCGTTGATTATGATGAGTCTCTTTCATAGCATTAGATTATATTTATTCTCTGAATTATTTTAAACCTATTGTATGTAAACGCTAGAAGTTCTCCAGTTTGTACTCCTGTTCCCTTCCCATTCGCTTCACCTCTAAACGGATCAGTTACCAAATTTCTTCTAACCTTAAGAGGAGGTGTTGATCTAAAATAGAATGTTCATCTAGCAATACTCTGTTATTACTGATTAACAATCAGTTCATGTCTGTATGTTTTCATTTCTCTCCTGTCTCTTGTCTCCTGTCCCTTTCTAGGTCCCAACTTCCTAGATGGTGTTTATGTCAGTCATTTACTGCCTTTTATTTTTCCAATCATTACAGGAACTTCTGTCATTAACCAGCTTAGTAGTTTGGACTTTTGTGGTGGTTGCCATTGTTCTTTTGAAATTATATTGCTGTGATATTCATAAAGGTGAGATGAAAAGGTACTGACTGCTTTTAGGTCTTACAGTGAGTGTTCTCATAAAACAATAATTGTAGGCCAAGACACTGAATAATTTAATTTTTGGTGTGACTACCCCCCTGGGTGGGATGCCATTTCATTGCAAGGTAACCCCTCTCTTGCATTCCAACAGACTTCCTTGACAATACACTGTTACCCATTTATGCTAATGAGTGAAGAGAGGTACAGCACAATGACCCTGCAAGGTTGCAAACCCAGACTCTTTAATCTGGAGTCCAATACACTAAACATAAAGCCACAGCCTCTCCTACATGGAGCACTGTTCAGACTGTGAAAGGATCAAGTCAGACTGTAAGCCACAGGACCAAGTAACAGCTCATTAGCATGAAGAAATTAGGGCTAGGATTAGGGGACTCTCAATCCCCCTCGCCTATGATAGGATGCTTGTCTATCCTATGTTATCTCCAACCCAGCATTTCATCATTCACAGTTTGCTGGTACCCTATTTTACTCAAGGGGGGGAGGGGAAGGAGGGAGAAAGGACCTGCAGATGAACTTGCCTAACCATAAAAAGCCTCATGAATTTATCTTGCAGTTCCTTGAGCATGCCAGAAGGAATTGGGGACACATGCATCCTTATTTGGACTAAACTTGTTTGATCAAGGTGTCAAAAGACTGCACCTGTTCTTTTTCATTTTTCCAAAAAAATACCTTGACAAATGGCCATATGTCTTGATCTCACACTTGGTCAACGATGAGCAATATTTCAACCACTCTATTCTTTTTGTAGAATCTGTTTTAATTGTCAAAGATCTTGGAATTCAGTATACCAAATCATGTGTCCTTGGGCTACAGACAAGTCAATTTATTGAACATCATAAAATTGTGGATGTGCTTATCAATGAAGTCATAACTATGGTATGTCTTGTGCCTGATAAATGCAACACTGATTGTTGCAGTCTTGCCAGGAATTAATGCAAAGGATTGTTTTTAGAGTGTATCTACTGACACCAAGGCTGTGCAGGAAACCAATCATAGCTTTATTTAAACAATAGCCTCCACTTGGCTCAAATGTATGCTCAGATATTTGTCCGCCCATTAGCATGGGCTGTCTGACAAGTGAACTCATCGTTCTAAGACGTTTTCAAGGATGGAATTTAAATATTGTTTTTTAAGTAAAATTCCCCCTGTTATACTTCAATCCATGAACACGCCACCAGCATGCGCAATGGGATTATGAAGCACACTTGGAAAAACCTTCTAAAATTTGATTGTACAAGATTTTTCGGATCAATATCAGAATCTGGGCAACTGCCCACCTACCCCTCCCTAACCCAACATTAATCTTAATTTGCTGTCAATTGACTGTTGTTGAGTTAGGGGATGGGTAGGTGGGCAGTTGCCCAGATACTGATATTGATCTGATTTTTCTACTTTTGTTTTAAAATATTTTGATCCATCTGGAGGCAAAAATAGTCTGTTAACACACCTCCAAGTGCTATCAACATACCTTCACTACTGAGATTATTTCAATTACTGCTAACACTATGATGCATTTCATAGCATTTTTTATTAATTTGAGGGAAGATTGATGTTTTTGATTGATTGCCTTCCAGCACCAAGTTGTATGTTACTTGACATTGCTTATTTCTGAAGGAAAACAGAATCAACCAAGAAGAAAGCATGAACTGCTCCCATTATTCATGGTAATTTTTCAGTCCAATAATTTTTAAAGATTAAATTTTGTTTCCCTGAAATTACTTCATTTAGGTTTCAAGTGTTTTCATTCAACTGGATAATTCATGACCCTTTTACTCCTACATAACAGTTAAGGAATAATCAGTTAAGGAATAATCAAATTTTTGTGTTGGTTAGTTATCATTCTCAATTCTTCTTCTTATTCCAGGCTACAGTACCAAATCTAGTTACAATCAAATCAATTTATCATGGCATGCAGAAGATACTTGGGACATGATGGATGAATTAAAGATTTAATCCTCTAGACACTTGCTACCTTTTTCACCCATTTTTTAACTCCCAAGAATTGATCATTGTCAATTCTCCCTCGAATGTAGCTGCTACACAGTTTTTTCTTGTGAATGAGTAACAAGAATTCGGTGTTAAATCAAGAAAATAACCTCTATCTGATAAGTTTGAGTGCTCTCATTACCCTTTTGCTGGATAATGGATGAATGTTACAGGAAGAAGTTACATGTTTTAAAATCACTTCTAGGAGTTAAAGGGAGAATGCATGACAAATTAAGTTGCCTTGCCATAATTGAATTGTTGATGTAAATGTTTGTGGAAGCAATTCAGGAACTTTTGATTCTGGTAAACTTTCTCTGAGAGAGAAATCCCTCATGGAGTCAATATGATGTATACTTTACACTGTAAATATCAACTGCTCATCACAGAAACTTGCTTATAAGTCTAGTAAAATTTGTCATTTATTAACTTTTTTGTCAGAATTTATACATAAAGATAAATTTCAGCACCAACTAGGTGAAGAAATTATTAGCCTCAGTAATGTTAAAAGTCATCATACCAGAAATAAAAATTTCCTGTAAGATCGGCTAGTTGGTTTTCACAACATTGCAAATCAACTGCACTGTATACATCTGTGAACATGCAAGCTAAGCAAAGTGATACTTTTATTTAGTAATTACCTTTTTGAAAATGAAATGGTTTTCTCTTCAGAGTTCAACCATATAAGGAATGACTACCGTATCAGAAATGAAACTATCACATCACAACTACGACAAGAAGGAAATCAAATGCATTTTTTTTCCATAAGTTTAATGTTGTTTAAAGAAAAATGAATTCTGCCATGCTTCATTGCATGTGCACACACTAAAAGCATGCAGGACCATGAAGCACATTACAATTTAAGCTTTGTTTTGAAATATTTTGATCCATCTAAAGGCAATTAAAGAAGTCTTTACATAAGGTTCTAAGAACTGTATCCATATAGTACCTTCACTATTGAAATTATTTCAGTTATTGTTAGCATCAGAATACTATTATCCTTAATGTTATTGGTTAATTTGAGAAAAGAATATATTAGTTTAATTTTGATCGATTTTCTTCGAGCATCGGGCCTTACGTTACTTGACAAAATTTGCTCACTTCTGAAGGAATGCAGCTCGGAACAACCAGTAAGATAAATCAGCAGCTCCTTGATACTAGTTACAGTATGAATTTGAGTCTGATAAATTTTAGAGATTAAATTTTGTCGTGACGCGAACTTCCTGTCATAACATTCACTTTTGGGTCTTTGTTTTCGGGTTTTCCTTTCGGGTCTGAGGTCTTAGTTTTCGGGGGTCTTCTTTTTTACTACAACCAAGCAGTTAGTCCTGTAAATCTTAAATTGTTTACGACTGAAAGCACAATTGAGGGTCGTTTGGTAGACAAAGGAGATTGGAGATTTGTCTTCACTTTGCATAATTCTGAAGCTAGATTCAAATGGCCTTACTGGTAAGAGTTTGAATTGTACACAGAATAGAATCGTCCATTAATTGTCACTGCCAAATTTCTCAATAAACACCCTGGATAATGAAACATTTAACATTTAACATTTCTGTTCATCACAGAAACATGCTTATACCAGTGAAATTTGTCATTTATTAACTTGCATCCCAATAAATACATTGCAGTGTAAAAACAAAACTAGATCATAAATGCAGCAACTGCACTCATCATATATTCTATTACAAATAACTTCTTTCTTAACGTGATCTACCAGCCGTAGTGCTTCTTATTGTTAAACTTATTTATCGAAACTGAGATAAAAAAGTGGCAAGTGAAGGTGCTGTTCTCATTGTGACAGCAGCAAGTTATTGCCTGTCCTTTGCTTTCAATTCATTAGAAATCTTTTGGAAACAGAAGTCATCTTTATCGTGGAATGCAAATGTCTCAAATCCATTGCACTGCTTCTTCAATTCAGAATTAGTTGCAGCATATTTCATCTTTTCCTTTACTCCAACGCAGTCATCATCGCACCTTAAAAAGAAAAAAAAGAATCATTCAATGCATTCATCCAGTCATTTAACCAGACCCGTAGATTAAATGGTTTGTGAAAACTGATTGGCCCCAATGGGAGCTCAAGCGAAAGCTGTTGCAAGTTATTGCATGGCATCGAAGCTCATGGAAAACTGTTCATTTCTCAGAACAAATTATATCCGCGAAAAAAAATGTCCGTGCTTACATTGCGTCAAATTGAGTCTATCGTGTATTTACACCTCAGTATTTTGTTAGGCTTCATTACCTACATGTTCTCTCGGGCAGATAGACTGGAAATTTGAAAGTCAAGTTTCTTACCCAACGACACAGCACAACAACATGCCTTAATCCTGACCTTTCAAAACCCTATCCAATACGCCTCTGCACCTTCCCCCTCTCCTCCCCCCCTTGCATAAAAAAAGTTAAAGTAAACATTAAAGCTGCCTGGTCACCTACCAATAGATGAAAATTGGTTTATCTTTGGCAGCACCACTCTTCTGTCGGTAGACAAAATCGAACAGGATGTAACATGGCCCGTCCAGTTCTGCAACTTTCCCTTTCATGGCTTCAAAGAGTCTTTCATTTTCCTCTAAATCAGTGTTGGATACAAGTTTGCCATGTTGTTTCATAAGAACAACTTCCTTATCATTGTCAATCTTCATGATGGCCCATGCGTGTTCATGCTTGTCTTTGACCAAAGAGAACATTTTCTTACAGCTTTCGTCCAATTTGATACCTGAGGCCTTCAAGAAAAAAAGGGCACACCTATTAACTTCAGTTAGGATTTTGGATGGTTGAAAGTTAGAAAGGGAGTAAACTAATCATTCAGAACCCATCATAAATGACACTGTACAGCAAACGCATAGAGTGCCCTGGGCCACTCGGTTAATTGGGGATCATTTAGAGCTAAAACTACAGCAAAACTCCACTATTTCGAACACGGCTAAACCGAACTCCTTGATAACTAGAACAAAATGCGATTTCGACTAGATTTTTTTCCCACTTTTTTTCAGTTATTTACTATCAGCCAAATCGAACTCGGTGAAGTCGATCGCCCGGGTAACTCAAACACGTTGGTCAATATACGTCATAAGGTCAAAACAAGGCTGACTGACGCGTCTAAATCATTAATCGGTATTGATACAAACATGATAACACCTAAGAAAACGCAATACAAACAGCTTTACTTCCCAAACTAAACGAAAAAAAGCACTTATAAAACAAACTGAAAATACAAAAATTATTGTCGATTGTAAAAGAATGATTAAGATATTATTCCCTATTAATTATTAACGGGATAATTGAAATTCAACCCCAAACTCGTGACTCAACACCTCAAGATCCTAGCACCATTTTTCCTCTTTGAAAGTGGTTCGAGTTAGCGGGGTTCTACTGGATTGCCAACACTTACCATGATGTCAACTGACGAATTTAACTTCCAAAATAAGGTCCTGAACAAAGAAAGGAAAGTAAACAATAGTAACATAGTCAGAGCAGGAAAGGTAAATTAGGAAGACTGATACTTGAATGGTTTGGGATAAAAATAGTCAAAATAAGATGATAAAATGACCGCTCTTCAGACGAATTACTCATGCATCTGTTTTTAAAAACAAACTTCAAAGCTTCTGCAACACTTTAACACTTTTTTTCTGCAACAGCTTTTGTAACACAGTTAAATCCCACGTGAACAAAATTAAGAGAGAACATAATAATAAAGCTAAATGCGAGTAAAAACTAGGGAAATAAATTTCTACCTTCAGTATTTTAAGTCATCAAAGCAGAAATAAAATTTACCTGCGAGATCTGCTGCAGCTTGGCTTTCACAAAATTATGATAAGACAGAAATCAAATGCACTATATACATCTTTTAACATGCAAGCTCAGCAAAGTGATACACAAAGTGAGTCACAACTTTTTAAAAATAAGATATGGTTTTAACTTCAGAAGTCAACCATATAAGGAATTAATGCCATAATAGGAATCAATACTATAACAGCATAATCACGACAAGGAGGATCGAAATTAAATGCACTTTTTTTTTCTGTAGGACATGGAAGCTCAGCAAAGTGATGCTTTTATTTTTTTTATCACCTCAAAAGATTGTGTTCTCTTCAGAGTTATACTATACAAGAAATGAATAAAAAAACAGGAATATGAAATCATGGTTTTTGCATAATTCAAACTTTTTCAAACTGTCACGTACAAATGTGAGCATATAATCGAAATTACGTCAGCAGTTACTGAAATAAATCGACCGCGCTCAACAGGATCTGGGAAGTAGTTTTCAAAAATTCTGTATTCGCGGCTGTATTAAACATTACCATATTTGGGCACGATATCGTCCCTGTCTTGCGTCGGCGTTACGGAGGTAGATTTCCAGTCTAACAAAGCGTCTGCCATCGCTTTCGTCATGCAAAGGTAATTCAAATTCACCTGATACTATGCCTTGTCGCAATCACTTAGTTGAAAGACGACTTCTTATTCGCAAAGCGTTCTCAAAGCCGTCCAAACAAATCTTTGAGTTGCGTGACATGCATAGAGACAAGATTTTCAATATTTGTCGAACCTTAAATATCTGTCTTTATTCATGTCACGCAACCCAACAGTATTATGATTCTTCGGGACGAAATGAATGTACATTCAAACTTAAGGCACATATTTCTAGCTCTACATTTTTTGCTCTGAAAGTTTTTCAAGATATGCGACAGTTCAAACTCTGCACTCACATCGTTGATTATGATGAGTCTCTTTTACATAGCATTAGATTATATTTATTCTCTGAATTATTTTAAACCTATTGTATGTAAATGCTGGTAGTTCTCCAGTTTGTACTCCTGTTCCCTTCCCATTCGCTTCACCTCTAAACGGATCAAGCACTGCTGACAAGTAAACATATTGTTCAATGCAGTGATTTCTTCATGCTTGTTGTTTAAAGCGAAATTCCCTCTGCGTCAGTGCATGTACACACACCACCAGCATAAACGACACTAATAGCGTTTTCTAGCTTTGTTTTTAAATATTTTGATCCAGAGGGAAAAAAAGTAATATAGCAGAAAACAAAGGTACTATCAACATAGCTTCATTGTTGAAATTATTTTTATCATCGTTAACCCTTACATGGCACTCCCACAACCTGCTGTGGGAATTCTCCTTGCTGTCTGTCATACAGTTCTTATGATGCTAGCTTGGATAATTGGGAATTTGATCCTCTAATAATTCCTTAATTGATATTTCTTTTTACAATTCTCATCACTTGTCACGGTGTGCTTGATATTGTATCAATAATATTGTAAGGAGAAATTCTGTCTTGGTCACTTATGGGAATTAAATCATTAACATCAGAGTACAGTTATCAATATTTTAGATTGATTTGAGAAAAGAAATATGATTTCCATTGATTGCCTTCTGGCTCCAAGTCGTATGTTACTTGACATAGCTCACTCCTGAAGAAATACAGGAACAACATGAATAAAACATCTTCCCCTAGTTGCAGTAACTTTTCAGTCTAATGATTGTTAGAGATTCAGTTTTGATTGACTGAAATGAATTCATTTAGATTTCAAGTAAACACAGTATTTTTCATTCAGTTTGGTTATTTTCCCCAGCACCCTCTTTAAAGTAATTAGTCCTATAAATCCAAAGTGTTTTAAGATTTAAATCAGAAAAGATGGTGTTTGGTTGGCAAAGGAGATTGGAGGTCTGCAATTCTATACCCAGCCAGAGTTTATCTAGGTTTCCTTAGCATAAAGGGACCATGAGCATCACTACTACCCCCTGGATGGGATGCCAGTCCATCACAAGGCTACCCCTAACATTAGGCTTCCCTGACAATTTACTGGACCCATTAATATACTCTTGGGATGGAGAGAGGCCCCAATAAGAAAAATGTCAAGGAGTTTAAGCCTGGCGTAATTGCAGCTCAGTTCTGCACTATCTATTGTAGAGTACATCTCCAACACTTTTTTACACTTTCACTTGTTTCATCAAACAATTGTAAAATTCCTTTTCAATCTTTGGCACAAGTTGTTTCCTAGCTATTGCGACTCCAATAATGATTGGGTCAGTCAGTCATCATTTTGAAGTCTTTTGTTTTTTCGAGGCTACAGTACCAAATCTAGTTACAATCAAATCAGTTTATCTTCACATGTAGAAAATAATTGGAACATGAGCAATTGTTTTCTTTTCCACCCATTTCTTCTCTATTTAACTCCTTAAGTAACCAATAAACTTAAATTGTTGCAAGCTCAGTTTGTTTGTGTTATCGTACAGAAGTAGTTCTTGTAAAGGAAAAGGTTAAAATGTCATTTTATTATAAAACAATGTCTATACTCTTAAAAATGAGGTACTTTGAAGAATTGATTTGTGGTCGGGAAGGCAATGTAGTGAATCATTCACCTCAACCTGATGCTTACCATAAAGGTAAGGCCCTGTTCATAAACACCACTTGAGACCATCTGCTCTCAACTAAATCTCAATAAAATTGTTGCACATGAGAGTGCTAATGTGTTTTAATTCAAAGAGTCAACATCCTTCCTTAGACATTCCCATGGGCAATGGAACTTTTGAGGGGCAAAGGTTTTTGGTGCTGTTGTTGCTTTTTTCACTCGAAAGCATTGTTCTAGAGTCAAAGAATTGTCCTTCTACACTATTCGTTAACGAAGGATGACTTGTGTGAACATAAGCTCCTCCTCTAAAATGCATGTATTATGCTGGAGAGACTTCACACTTTTAGTGCAAACCCCCCACCCACCCCGGTAAGGTTAAAATTCTCAACCTCCCCAGACATAGACAACAGTGAAATGCTTGTATGTTACCTGTGTTAGAGTTTAAGTTTCAAATTGATTGTTTCAGAAGATCTTTGATGAAAAAAATAACACACCAAAAATATCAGAGGCACTGAAAACAAGACTGAAATACTGCCAGGTGCTGACATACAGTTCTTAGAGGCATATACCCTAGTTTTCCATTGGTATCTCTTGACAGATGCCAAGATGCAAGCAGGTCAATATCTCTCCTTTGACATTTCTACAGCTGCAGTGTTGCAGCTTAAACATAAATCAATGTATTTCAATGTCTGAATTAAGATTAAAGGCAGGTTTCCTCGTTTGTTCATCTTAGCTGTGATTACAATAAACTAAGGATGCTGAATTATTTCTAAGTCATGACAAAGATGGAGAATTTCAAAGCCAAAATGTCAATTTTTGAAATCTGATTGCTGGCATCTAAAATATTTTCTGTTCAATTGACTAGCCAATTAAGACAAAGCATTTCAGGAAGTGTTAAATTGGGTAAACTTTCTATAACAGAAAACTCATACAGGGGCATGATTTATATTTTAAGCTGTGAATGTCAACTGCTCATTACAGAAACATTCCCAAACTAGTGAAATTTGTCATTTATTAACTTTTTTCCCGTAAATACATTGCAGTGAGAGAACAAAACTAGATTATACATGCAGCAACTACACTCATCATACTTTATTTGAAATAACCTCTTTGCTGACGAGATCTAACAGCTGTAGTGGGCTTGCAATTTATACTGATTCATCCAAAACTGAGATCACAAAGTGGTTGGTAAAGGTACTGTTCTTATTTTGACAGCAACAAGTTATTGCCTGTCCTTTCCTTTCAAATCGTCAGAAACAAATTTGAAGTTGAAATCATCTTTATCATGCATTTCGTATGGTGCAAATCCATCGCATTGCTTCTTCAATTCATTATTAGTTGCAGCATACATCATCTTTTCCTTTACTCCAACCGTGTCATCATCGCACCTGAAAGAAAAGTCATCCATTAATTTAAACAGAACCATAAATTTAATGGTTAGTGAAAACTGATTGGTTCAAATGGAAACTCAACCCAAAGCTGTAGCAGGTTAATGCAGAGCATCAAATCTCTTAGAAAACTGCTCACTTCTCAAAACAAATGATGTCTGCAGAGACATATCTTTGTTTACTTTTGTCCAAAATAGAGACTTAACAGGGCGTGAAATTGCGCCTAATACAGGCGCCAATGCGACTAAATTTTTCACTTTGGCGACCAAATCCTGAAAGTTAGTCGCAAAATTGGCGACTACAACGTTTCATCATACCCTTACCAAGAGATATAGTGAATTAAATAAATTTGCAAAGATAAATCCGCGGCAAACTTCCTCGTTAAGTTTGTTTCCAAAACGTAGCACATGCATCTCGATCGATAACTAGACGCCATCTTGGATTTAGATGAGCCTGAACGTTGTATATCATACATCCTAGTGTCCACTTTGTAGCACGTTAAAGATCTTTTCCCTAACTTAATTTTGGAGGGTCTATCTAGAACGCTGACAGCATAAAGAAAGATTTTGTTTGTCTTTGAAAATGGCGACCAACTTTTTTTTGAATTGGCTACCACTTTGAAGAATTTAGGAGCCAAGTGGCTATCAGAAAAAAAAGTTAATTTCACGCCCTGGACTATTGTTAATTGAACACTTGAGCATTCTGTTAGGCTCCTCTGAAATTTCCCAGTACCAAAAATACTCCTAGTCACAGAGAGGAACTTTAAAAATTAAGTGTCTTGCCCAGCAACACAGCACAACAATGTGGCCAGGGCCTTGAATGACTTTTTGAAACCCTTAGTGAAGAGCACTATCCAATAACCTACTGTAGCTTCTCTCTTTCTTATGACAATAAAATAAAAAAACCAGCCCAGTCACCTACCAATATATGTAAATTGGTTTATCTTTGGAACTACCACTGCTCTGTTCATAAATAAAGTCAAAGAGGATGTAACAGGGCCCTCCCATTTCCTCAACCTTCTGCAACATCTCGTCAAAGAGTATCCTATTTTTTCCCACATCAGTTCTGGATTCTAGTTTGCCATGAGTCGCCTTAACCACAACTGCCTGTTTATTTTCAATCTTCATGATGACCCATGCATGTTCGTGCTTGTCTTTGACTAAAGAGAACATATTCTTGCAGCGTTCGTCCAATTTAATACCTGACGACTTTAAAAAATAATATGGCACACATTAGTTTTTATAACTCTGCACCTTGCTCAAATGCTCCTTCCCTAATCAATAATACCGCAAGTACTTTGTTACTGAGAAAAATCTGACTCCTGCAAGTTGTCCAAATTTGAACAAAAATTTTTTATGTACAGATGAGACTTACAAGAAGCCATGGTGAATGACCACTTTTCCACAATCTCACAATTAAAGCTCCAGGGAAAATGAAACTCCCAAAATTATTCCCAGGTCACAGACACTAAGGGTCCATCAACAAAAGAGGGTGCATCTTGAAAAAGTTGCCCTCTGTGTGCTACTTTAAAAAATAAAGCATTGAAGAAATAGGTATCACTATGCCTAGAGTCTTTCTACTGGTAGGCATGTGCAAACCAGTTACCAGCCTCATCCTCACATGTCTTAACCCTTTCACTCCCACAAGTAACCAAGACAGAATTTCTCCTTACAATATCAATACAGTATCAAGCAGGCAGGTGATGAGAATAGAGAAGAATATCAATCATGGGATTATTAGTTGATCCAATACCAAATTCTCTGAACTACCATCATAAGAATTGTATGGCAGATAGTTAGGAGAATTACTAATCAGATCTTGGAAGTGAAAGGGTTAAAAAAGTAACATGACATACATTAAATTTTCTAATTCTGTTCCCTGCTCAAGTACTCCTTCAGAAAAACTTGCTGCTCTCAAGTTGCCCAAAGTTGAGTGAAAATTTGAATGTACAGGGACTTTAAAGGGTGAAGCAGAGGGAAACAGTACTCTTTTCCAAGGATGTCAATATCGAGGCTTCATGAAAAAGTGAAACTCCCAAACTTATTCTCAGGTCACAGACACAAAGGGATGATCAACAAAATAGAGTACCTTACAGAAAAAATGATTCTCTGTAAGCTTTTTTAACAGATACCAAGGAAAACCTTATGTCACTAAGAAACTTTCAAAGTCTAAATTCTGAAAATGACAGAAGTTTTAGCAGTTTTGGTCTTGAAACACAAATCTGGCACTGTTTGCTTAACTGAGTAACCAGCCTCCCAAGTTAAATCCAAACAAAGTGAACAATATCACTCTGCAGACGATGGGCTAACTAACAGTTGGAGACAATTTTCTCTTAGTCCCTAAGAAAATCTATATTGAACTTGGACAAAAGGAAATATTTTGGTTGCATTAATGTGGTGGAATGTTACATGAATAAAATGTTAATTTTCTGAAAGCTTCTCCCACTTTGGTTTTTAATATCTGACAAATATCTTGGTCAAGTTTCATCAAAATCTGACATCACCAACCAATGAAAAGCAACATCAACCTTCCTGGCAAGTCTCATTAAAAATTTGGGGGATAAAATTCAGGATTAAATTCCTGAATTTAAAAATTCAGGATGAAAAAGGAAAAGTAGGCACAGCAAGCTAGAGAAGAAGAAAAGTCTACCTTTGATTTCTTTGACCTACGCTTTCTCTCAGATTTTACCCAACTTTCCTCTTTTTGCCTATTTCATGTATACTTAATTACTACTTAATGTTTTACAAAATGTGTCAGAAATTCTTTTCTTCCTAACTGATGGTCGCATGTTTTACTCCTAATCAGAGTACTAGGTGTTCTTTTTTGGCAAGTATGCTTGTGTCATTCATGAATTGCATTATCTTTCACTTACCATGATGACAGTTTAGGAATTTCTCTTCGGAGATAAGGTCCTGAACAACAAATAGCAAAAGGAAACATTATTGATGAATAGGCAAGTGCAATTGTAAACTTCATCATAGCTGGGATGGTAAATATAAAGACTGGTAGATTACATATGGGGGTTTGGGATAAAAAAAAATGTTGATAAAATAACCACTATTAACATGAATTACAGATGCATCTGTCTCTAAAACACACTACAAAGCTACTTGTTTCATTAAGCTGTAATATCATTAAATCCCATGTGCTACAGAATTAAGACAGAGTTAAAACAAAAGGCTAAATTTTAGAAATAACTAGGTGAAGATATTATCAGTCACGGTAATAAAATTCATCATACCAGAAATAAAATTTTCCGTCTTCAGCTAATAGTCAATTTAACAATTTGCAACAAGACAGAAATCAACTGCCCTATGTACATCTGTGAACATGCAAGCTCAGCAGATTGATGCTTAATTTAGTAATAACCGTGTAAGATTTTTAATCCAGAGTAATTCCATGTAAGGAATAAATATGACAACAGGAAAATGAAATCATATTGTTGATATTGGTTCAAACGTTCAGCAACAAACGCAAGTATACACTCAAATTTACAACAGAGTGTTACATTACTTGACAATGCTCAAGTTTACCAACAAGAAATACTCATAAGCAGCAGCCATAGAAGGAAAAGGTATGCGGTTCCCCCTGACTTAAAAAAGTGCGCAGATAATTCAAACTTCGTGAAACCTCGTGTATATGATTCATTATATATTAAATCAGAATAATTGGTAGGCTTGTAGAAAATAATTAGTAAATTCACAGAAAATAAATCAGTTATTTCTTACAGAAAAATACACTTGTGGAAAATTATAATTCGCGTTCAACGCTTATGTTATAAACCTAGAGACTACCGTAAATTTCATCGTTCGACACAAAAATTTTGGTTTTAAAGTACAACTGTTTGTGCCTTTATAGCCTTTTCTCAAGGCTTTTGTGAAATTTAATGATACTGTATTCAAGAACCGCAAAGAGAGGTTAAAGAGAAATCGACCGCGCTCACCAGGAAAGAAATCTTGAAATTTGGACGTGGTTTAAATTTCCGTTTTCGCGTAGAATAGGCGTAATATATTATCTGTTCTTAACATTACCATATTTGGGCACAAAGTTGTTCCCGTCTCATGCCGGCGTTGCAAAGCTGAAGAACCCTCGCATAATTTCCAGTTCAACGAGGCGACACTTATCATTTCCTCTATCAGAGGGTCATTCAAATTCGCTTGGTGCTATCCTCTGTCACAGTTACTTGGTTGAAAGACAACTTCTTAATCGTAAAGAGTACGAAAAGCCGTCCCGATATACCGTTGAGTTGCGTGACATGCAAAGAGAAACAGACCAGATTCGAAGGAATATTAATGATACTTCGCGACGAAATAAATTTTCACTGAAACTCAAGGCTCCACATTTCTAGCTCTAGAAGCTTGTGTCTTTTCCACCAGCTGTGAATGAATGTAATTTCCACTTTCCGCACTTTTAAGAAGAAATTTTACGGTTGAGAAAGCGCAGGCTACAGCGAAGCTTCACCACAAATCTATTCGCAGATTTCAATATAAAAGCTTTAGTGTGATGCATATCTTCTTATCCGAAAAAAGAGGGTCCCACCAAATCAACGTTCACACGATATAACTAATTTTTGTCCTTGAAACTGACCGTTTTCTCGTTGCCTTTTAGTTTCGAACTAGATCGTATTGTTTTGGCGTGTTACCACCCACCAAACTCAAGCCACCTTATTTGCAGTCTTAGAGAGTTTCACTTCGATCCACCACTTTTGTCCTACCTTTATCGACAAAAGAGGGAAACCTATCGTTTGAGGTAACAATGACATAAAATCTGTTTCATATTTATCTTTAAAAAGCGGTTCTTACCTTGGGTTTCGATGGTATAATTTCTTGTATCAAGCACGCTTCGGTCCGACGGCGAAGATGTAAGGAAATGCGTAGAATACTCTTGAATGGGTCAGCGGTACAGAAACACCACGCCCCAAGAAGGTGGTGACAGGTGACTGACGTTCCAACTGACGTAAAGACAAATAATTCTGGTCTGAGTGCAACTGAAAAATAGGTCTGCAATGCGTACAGGCATAGGCATAAATTGCATCTATTGCATGAGGCCGAAGTAACCTCGAACAGTTTAAATAAATGTTCTGAGCTCTCTTGGAATCCCATTTGCCTGTTTCTTGTATGATCTAGATGAAGTGGCCTGTTTTGGAGCCAAGATTGCCAAGAATTCATTTAACTTGCTTTTCTTTCGACTATGGGCATTCTCCTTGCTTCTTAAAGAATTGCTTTACTGCTGGTTTGTTTCGGTCGAGGGGGATTGTCATCATTCGAAACACTTTAAATTTAAAAATTTCCTAGCAGGAAAAATCGAGGTTCCCTATCTTACAGTTCAGACCGAGAAAACGAGGTTAGTGAACAATTTATCAGATCTCAGATCAAACAAAGGGGTAAGATTTCAATTCAAACAAACTTTTGAACTTTAAGGGCAGAACTACGGCCCACTGAATTGACTAATCCTAGCGCACGTACTAACTGAGGGATGTAATGTTGAATAAGCACGACCGTTCCTACAAGGAGATTTAGAACATGATGACTCATTAGGAGTTAGATATGATAACCTCGCACTTGAAGTTACAAACAGATACTCCTCATAAATTTATTCAGTCGCAGCACCTGCGTGCATCTTACATGAAACTATCTACAAGGTCAGGAAACTCCCAGCCTAATAGCCTACGAGCAGGCCCCAATTACAGGCGCTTCAGCTCGAGCTTTTCTTCGCTCGCGGCGAGAAATCGGTGAGGAGTTGTGCACGTAAAACATCAGATCCCTGGCAAAACTGTCCCCGACTCGTCTCTAGTCTTCTCCGCGGGCGGAGAAACGCACGTCCTTTACTACTTAAAAAGTGTCCCCTATACCCATCAGTAAAACTTGATCACGTAAAAATATTCGGTTTTTTCATGCATCAAGAATAATATCCAAGGCTCTAACGTTCACGCAAAATTCACGCAAAATTCAAGACAATCACGTTGGAATAATATTTTACTTTTACAGTCTTAACCAGTCTTACGCGACAGAAGATGACGTAATGTCTTATCTTATTTGTTCAAGATCCGTTAGTGGTCTGTTTCAAGACTTCCAGCGATTCATTTGAAGTCCATCTCCTGTCAAAACCCTTGTTAAAATACGCGCATATTCAAAACAATATAGTAGCCAGAAAATTCATCACGTAAAATAAAATGGTTCACGATTGAGTCAGCGCTTAATTCAGGGGTCTTGTTTGAATAAAAAAAAATTCGTTCTCGTTGACATGAAGAGATCTTATAATCTTTAATTACAATTCAAGGATCAAATCAATCACGCTTCACATGAAAAGTATGGGGGATCCTCATTAATCATGGAAGCCTGATGGCAAACTAACAACCTAAGCATCATTAACTAAAATGTCATCTGGGATTTTCACCAGCTGTCCTCGATAGTCGACACTACTTTGTCTTATTAGTACACTGGAAAGTTGTCATCTATATGCTTAGCCCATGCATAGAGTCCGCCAGCAATGTCTTTAAACACAACATCCACTTGCGTGCTTGTGTATGGAACCGCTTGCTTGTTTTCATACTGAAGAAAGTCATCTTCACTGCGCAACAGTTTATTCGTGTTTCCGTCTAACATAGTTTCTCTTAGCAACTTGACAGCTTTTTGTGAATCATTGCCTTGTTTGCAAAGTACATAAACTGCATTTTAACCAGAAAAAAAAGCGAACGCACAGTTGAACCATCTGACTGGACTAAAAAGAGAGTTTCAAAAATCGTTCATCGGCTAAATTTCAGCACAATAAATATTGTGAACCTACCATTTACCGTAGATAGTTTTTTCTCGTTGTCAGCCAGGTTCAATATCGCTTGCATTAGCACATCTTGTTGGTCAGGGGAATGGAGAACTCTCAAGGGAATATCTTCCAAGTTATTTCAATTAAGAAATGCTATATTTTAAATCTGTGGAGAAGCGGTGGCCTCAGGTTTCACCCTCTGACCCCCTAAGAGTGACAAGCATCTAATTTACCCTTGCAGTATCACCCCTGAATCAAACACCAAGGTCGTGAACGTAAAGGAAATGATCACCAACTAAAAAAAAGCTGTTGATTGCTACACAAATTCTCTTTGTCAGCACCTTTGGAAATGTACAAAGAACAGTACAGAGAATATGCATACTGATGTTAAAATGTAGAGGTTTAATGCGCTGAACTGAGGGTCAAGACTTGCAGAACCCGTTTCTACGAAAGTTCCGGTAACTCAACGTACCTGTAAGCGTATTTTAAAATCAAATTTTAAAGAGAACAGAGAAGCAAGTTTGGCACTCTAACCAGTCCATTTTGTTTCTCTACCGAACAGTTTCAAAACCTTTTAAACCCCATCTTGAATGAAAACAATTTAGCTCTACGGACCAGTTAACTTACGGGACCTTTGTGAAACGGGTCCTTGGTCGGATCACTATGTTGTGTTTTCTGGGGAAAACACTTAATGGGTATCGGCGAATTTTCACCTTGCCGAGGAAATGAAATACTGAGGGGGGTAACCTTGCGATGGACTAGTATCCCATCCAGGGGTGAGTGGAGATACCGTGATAAGTTCCGGCTGAATGGGCCACTTTACCTTTTAAATGTTGCTTAGACGGTTACCTTATAACTGCGATGATTGTGCGTTGAAACTACTTTTTTAAGCCATGATTCTTGAAAACATTTCACTATAAAAAATTGCGATAAAACATTTCTTAAAAACATTTTAAGATTAAAAAAATTGCTAAAAAGCGACGACGTTTCGACGTTGGCTGAACGTCATTATCAAGTCAAAATAAGTAGTGATTTTTGGTCTATAAATACTAAAAAAACAACAATAGCTGATAAAAGATTGTAACGTGAGAAAATATCAAACAAGGAGTTTCGCACGTATAGAGTCCGTCTGAATATTTAAATTGGGCTTAAGTTTCTTGATGAAGAGCATTTCAAATACTAAGCAATCAAATTTGCTCTGGCACTTTCTTAAAACCGTGAATTGGCTTTCTCTCAAAAGGTTGTTGTTACCATGAGCTTCTAAGAAATGTCTACCGATTGCCGAATTTTTGTGCTCAGCAATGCGTTGATGAAGGTGTCGGGCTGTATACCTGACATAATCTGCATCGCACAGATCACATGAAAAATTGTAAACAATACACTGCTTATTAACAATTGACGGCTTGATTTCTTTGGGTCTGAGGTCTTGCCCCAATTTCTTGCTCACGAAAACTGGTTGCAAAGTAGGGCCAATCTTACGGCTAAGATCGCGTAACTGCTTACGAACCGCATTAGCGGCCACTTGATCTTTAAAAGGAAGATTGCCGTCAATTGTTAATAAGCAGTGTGTTGTTTACAATTTTTTTTTTGATTGCTTAGTATTTGAAATGCTCTTCATCAAGAAACTTAAGCCCAATTTAAATATTCAGACGGACTCTATACGTGCGAAACTCCTTGTTTGATATTTTCTCACGTTACAATCTTTTATCAGCTATTGTTGTTTTTTTAGTATTTATAGACCAAAAATCACTACTTATTTTGACTTGATAATGACGTTCAGCCAACGTCGAAACGTCGTCGCTTTTTAGCAATTTTTTTAATCTTAAAATGTTTTTAAGAAATGTTTTATCGCGTTTCTTGAAAACAAAACAAAAACAAAAACAAATTTGTACTCGATAAAATTTTTTAAAATATATATCTTTGGATACTAAGCGACTCCACTGGAAGTGAACAAATTTCTAACTCCACAGGTTCCCTTACGTCCAGAAGAATATGAGGGCTGCACTCGTCAATAAACCGCTTATATTCCTGAGGAAGAAGAAAAATGTTTTCCTCGGCGAATTTGTTGACTGAATTCCTGCCCGCGAGCTAGTCTTCGTTATCAGCGCTTCCGCAAAAGCGTTTCTTAGCCCGTAAGAAAGTATGAGACTTAAAACAACACTACCCGTCTTGAGTTCTGCAAGGTGCCTAGCACTGATAATGACTTATTAGTGCCAAACCCCCGGTAAACCTTTCCCCGACTCGCCTCAAATCGTCCCCCGGGCGGAGAGACACGCGAGGGCCTGCTCGTAAACTACTTCAAAAGTTACCCGTCCGTTTTACGATACAGTATTGGAATTCAGTGTTGAGTAAGATCCTCTCAACTTTATTTGAAACTCAGGGGTTAGTCAATCTTAAAGAAGAGTTATTGGCAGCAACTCCCTAGACTGATTAATTTGTGAGTCACTGCTCTGATATTGTCGCTTTGACCGTTGAGAGTGACTAGCATCTAATTTCTTCTTACAATAACACCCCTAAATTGCACATTGTAAAGGAAATTATCACCAAATAGAGAAGCTCCTGACTTTTAAACAAATTTTCCTTATTACCATCTAAGGAAATGTGTGGGAAACAATATAGAGAAAGAGTATATTGGTGTTAGGTTGCAGAGGGTTAAGTGTCAAGTTTGAGCTGAGGTTGACTTTACCTGTATAGAAATTCTTTGTTGTTTCTGCAGAATTTCCAAAGAAGGGGTCTAAAAAAATAAACTCATGTCAGAGAAGATAACAAACTTTTAAGTTAACCCTTTTAACGCCCAAGATCTGATTGTTAAGTCTCCCCTCTTGCTGCTACACATTTTCTTGAAAAAAGTTATGAGAATTTGCTGTTAGATTAATAAGATAATAACTTCAACCTGAGAAGTTTGAGTATTCTTGTGACCTGTTGGCTGGATAATGTTAGATAGTATGGGAAGAAGTTACATGTTAGTCACTTCTGAGAGTTAAAGGGCTAAATGAGATTTGTAACACAATGCACTGTGGTGTAAAATAGAGAGAACACAGCAAATGGTAAATAGGATTACAACAGAACAATCATTTCAATCTGTTTTCTGCTCTGTAATGCTACTGAACACTTTTCACCCAAGCATCAGTATACATATTCTCCATTCTATTATCTACACTTTTCCTTTGATACTGACAAGGAGAATTTATTTAACAATCAAAGCTGTTTAGCTTGGTGATCTTTCCCTTCATTCTCATGATCTAAATGAATGATTCAGCAGTATTACTGTAGGGAGAAATTTGATGTCGGTCACTCCAAGGTAAAAGGTGAATTGCTTGTACTACTAAAAGGTCAAACAGAAAAGTATTCTAAGAGTGATAAGCATCTAATTTTCCCTAAAGTATCATGCCCAAATCAAACATTATGGTTATGAGAATAAAGGAAATGATTACAAACTCAAGATGCTCTTGATTGTTACACAAATTCTCCTTGTAAGAATCATAGGAAGTGTATAGGATATGTAATAGTGTAGTTTGATTGTCCGGGTGAGTGTAGTCCTGAGAAGGACTGTTGTCGGTAATGGTCACCATTACCGACAACAGTTCTTCTCAGGACTACACTCACCTGGATGATCAAACTACACTGTTACATGTTACCCCCGGGTTCAAACCATTTACTGTATAGGATATGTTGTGTAGAATGTGTATGCAGATGTTACAATGCAAAGGGCTGAAAAACTAAATATCTGACAGGGCCAAATTAAAGCCCCAGAGTAATTGAAAAGGAGGAAAAAATTAATTTTATGGCCTCAAGTGTGAGAAAACACATATTGCAAAGTATTCAGCTTTTGGCGTTGCATTCAAATGCTCAGAGAGTATGGTGTAAGTTTTCAAGACAAATCATAACAAATTCAATCCTAAAAATTGCAGATCAATGTCAGAATCTGAGCAACTGCATATCTACCCCTCCCCTGTTACCCAACAACAGTCAACTGAAAAAAAGTCAAGGTTAATGTTGGATTAGGGGAGGGGTAGGTGTGAAGTTGCTAGGATGCTGACAATGATCCAAAACTGCATTGAAATCAACTGAAAAGAGCTCTTTATGGTGGTACTGCTACGACTGTCAATGTAACTGTTACAATTATTATTTCATTCTATAATACAGTGTCCTTAAATACTAAACTGTACCTTATCTGTTGCTGAAGCTCCACAAAAAAGTTCATAATCCATTAATTTTATTATTGATGGATTGTCTCCACAAATGGCACAGTTTGACTGCCTGGGACGTAATTTTATTGTTAGAAATCTGCCATCCAGAGCATCATAAATCAACATCTTCTGAGAATAGGAGGCTGTTTTATGAGTACAAAAGTTAAGGGAAACATATAAAATACATATTAACTAAATTATATACAATTAATCATTTTTGGTTACCTTCAAGTTTTCTTAAGATTTAAACATTAAATCAATTCAGTTATTCTTACTAACTCCATATTAATTTTTTTTCTCTCCTATATGCAAAACATTAATTAATTAATTAATTAATTAACCCTTAATTACCATGGGTGACCAAGACAGAATTTCTCCTTGCAAAATCAATACAATATCAAACAAACAGTGGATATCAGTAAGGGCATTATTTGGTGACATCAATTTGGGGATTTTAGCTGATATCAATAAGGGGATTAATAGATGATCCAATACCAAATTCTCCAATCATCAGAATTGTATAGCAGACAATATTAAGGAGAATTAATTATGAGATCTTGGAAGTGAAAGGTATTCTCATGAAAATGGCTATCAAAACAGCTACATTATGAGTGTAAGAATTGGAGCATGTAGCCACCTTACAGAAATGAATGGGAGTATGACTGTCTTTTCCAGGAATTGTGAAAATTATGCAGAAATCCATGTATTTTTTTTTCAGTGGAGGGGGGAATTAAACAAATTAAATTTCCATTTTTTAGTCATGATAATTTCAACATTCAGACACCTTTCCTTATAAATTTACAAAAAAATACTAACTGACAAACTTGACGAAAGGATACATTTAATTCCAACAATTATCTTTATTGCCTCTAAGGCTTGTAATGTTCCAATAACTCCTGGTACTTCAAAACATCAATAAATAAAACAAAACAAAGTTACATGACTGTAAATACTGTATCTGATGTAGTTATTGGCTCTTTAAGTCCCACACATGATTTATATGTATCTTCTCCCTTTATTGTCGATACATTATCCAGCAAACAGGTTACGAGAAAACTCAAACTTAGCAGGTAGAAGTTGTCATTATCTTGATCTATCACCAAATTCTTGTAACTAATTTACAAGGAATTCTGTCATAGCTACAGGAGAGAATTAAAAATCAAATTTTGGGAGTTAATGGGTTTACTCAAAGAATGCATGACACCAAGCAATTTGTTCCAAGACAGATTGATGAGGTTTACTATTTACATACATTAACAAAAAAAAACTTTTCATGCAAGTGAAGAGAGATTGTGCAGTAGTAAGAGCTAGTCCTCACTCAGACTGCTTTGACCTGGGTTCAGTAAGGATGAAAATCTGCACTAATTCCTACAGATAAGAAGCTTTGTTGACATAATCTTACCTGGTCCCAGAACTCCATTATCTGAACAATTTCCAACTGATTCTGGTGGAGGAGGTTTGGGAAATAAGCAGCGGTAACATGGACCTCCATCATGGTTATAAACTGTCAGCTACAACATAAATGAAATAATTTTCTTGTGAAATAAGAATTCTCAAATACCAATGGAAAGTTTTCCTATTACATAGTAAATGTAAATGTAATTTCAACAATAGCTGTTAGTACATGTATACAAAATAAATTTTGCTAATGCTTTCTTTTTGCACCTTTTGATGAGAACAAGCAAAATCTTTGATCTTTAAACTCAGCAATTTTTTTAAATTAAAAGCCACCTTACTAAGTTAAACTTGTTCGTAGACAAGCTGTTTGACATATCCACAAGAGTTTGTATCAATTTATGCTAATATTGAACAGCTGCTTCTGGTGCAGAGGCAGCTTGTGGTGGATATTTACAGAGCTGTGAAGGCAACCTTTATTATCTGATTCCTGTAACTGACAGAGCAAATCAAAATCCATTCTCACTGAGGTTTTGGTCCAAAAAATGATCTTCATCTTACCTGTCCCTCAAACCTTAGAGCACTTCCAGAGACTAATGGTTTACCAGCCAGGATACATGCATCATTCAAGAGGTATCTGGTGAAACAGTACCAAGGACCAGTTATAAGTCTTTCCAAAAAGACAGCATCACAATTAAGTTACAAATGACCCTACAAGGGTATAGCTGGGATTTTCCAGAGGGAAGAGGGCACTGTGCCACACCCACACTATTTACCCTACCTACCTAATGTCATGTCAACAGCAACATTAATTTTTTTTTTAACCCTTCAACTCCCAAAAGTGATTAACAAGTAACTTATTCCTATAATATCCATACATTACTCAACAAACAGGCTATAGGAATTCCCACAATTATCAGGTAGAAGTTGTTACTTTCTTCAAATTTATCAAACAGCTATAGAACTTCAAGCACATACCATACCAAGTTGTACCAAGTTAACTATTGCGTAATTAACTCTACCATCACTGACAAGCTGTTGATTGGAATTACTATTGGAGCCTAGACAACCTTACCTTGTGGCCACATTGTCTGTTGCATCTAACACAACATCATATGTTTTCCAATTAAGGATCAAAACATATTCATAGCTATTCTCTGGATGAATGAACCAGATGGTATCTAATCTTTTCTATTAGTTACAAGGTTAAAATTACTTCTTTTTTCAGCTTAACCAAAGTATTGAAATTCAAGGCAAGTACTTTGTAGGCTGGAGAAACTTAAATAAGTGGGCTAAAATGACTAACCAGTTATATACTGAATGATGTTTTTCGTCTTGTCACAAGGGTGGGATTAGGAAAAAAATGTGAGTCCCTACGAGGAATTGAACCTTAAACCTTCAGAATCAGCACTCTGGAATCTTTGTCCCATGCTCGTAACAAGACGAAGAACACCTTTCTCTATTTATTTCCCAAGCTCAAAGTTTACCATCTTTATTATTCTATGTGCAAACATGACACTATTTGGACACAACACTGCTGATCCTTGCAGTATGCAGGATGAGTGTCATATACAAGCTTCACAGTGGCCCTTGCTCACCATAGAATCTCTTTGGCTTATTGGTAAAGCTTCGTAGCAAGGAATCTGAAGGTCTGAGGTTCAATTCCTTGTGGGGACTCAGAATTCTTTCTTTGTCCCACACTCATGAAAAGACCAAAAACATCTTTCCCTGTTTCTTCAATAAGCTCAAAAAAAAAAAAAAAAAAAAATTTGCCATCTCTCCTTACAAGTAATACATAGCTATATACCAGCCTATACATGTACATTATGTGAAAGGATATTTCTCAATTATCTCTAGCGCATTACCACTTGAAAGCTGTGTGGAGTATGGAATGCAAGAGACAGAGGAATTTAACCTAACAGCAAAAAAAGTCAAAACAATGTTTGGGTAATGAAACAGAGTAACAGACCCATGTGTTTGATTAATCCCTATTCAGTGGACATCAATTCTACACTCAAGATCTCATTAGCAATTCTCCTTACTGTCTGTCATACAGTTCTTATGATATTAATTCAGAGAATTTGGTATTGGATCAACTTGATATTTTTTTCTTTACTCTCATCACTTGTCTGCTTGATACTGTATTGATACTGCCATGACAGATTTGGATTTTAACATGATAATGGAATGTTTGATGATATGTAAATGACTAAAAAATTATTTGTGTCATATTTAATTTACTGTTTAGATGTCAAATTTACTTACTGCTGAATTTGTATCTTTATAGACTCTGCCTTTGAGGTATTTACTCTACTCTCTGTATGAAGTACTTGTCTGTGCAGATTGCTTGTCTCAACTGTGTCGTAGTCCACAATACCTATGCATCCTACACAAAATATTAAGTCAAAGGTTTAGTTTTGCACAAGAAAAAGAAGACAATAAATTTAAGACCTTGTTCAAATTATCATTTTCATTTGTTTTTTTGTATGACTATGTATGGTAATGAATTTGAAATAAAGGGAAATACTGTTGCTTGCATCTAAGTGTGATCAAATGACACTGAAACATTTGTTTGATGACCAATCATGGCATGTCTGACACCCAATCTAATCATGTTTTAGTATCATGTTTATCCTTATATACACACAAAACTGAAACATTTAAGCTAGATTCCATCATTGTAATAGGGGCTGTTTTTGAGACAAAACTGAAAGGACTGTACTTGACAAAAGAATAATATGAGACATTAAAGGAGTATTTTTTTTTTTTAACTCATGAGTGTTTATAATTATGTAAAAGTGTCATTCCTTGGATTCTTTTCCCCACTCTATCAAATTCCCTGGCTAATACCTTAACTTATTGAATGTCATACCTACTCCAGCAGCAGCTAAATATTGTGCCACAGGGCATCCAAGACCTCCAGCTCCGACTACCAGCACTGAAGCATTACATAGCTTCACCTGTCCTGAAGAACACAGTCACAATAAAAAAGAAAGGAAATAAATTTAACAAATTAGTAACCCACCAAGTTTCGGACAAAATTATCATAACTAAGGAAGTTGTCTCTTTCTCACATTGCTCCCACACTTAACCCTTTAACTCCTAAGAGTGACTAAGACAAAATTTCTCCTTACAATATGAATACAATATCAAGCAAACAAGTGAGGAGAATAAAGAAAAATATCAGTTAGGGGATTATGAGTTGATCCATTACCAAATTCTCCAAACTAACATCAAAAGAACGGTATGGCAGACAGTTAAGAAAATTACTTAAGAGATCTTGAGAGTTAAAGGATTAAACTGCATACCTTTCACGCCAATCTCGGACAAGATAAGCTGTCTGCTGTAGCGTAAAATTTCATCTTTTGTAAGCCTTTCTTTTTTCTCTGGTTTGACAACATTTGGGGAATTTGACGCAGCTGAACGCGAGTTTGAAGCCTTGTACTCTTTTTCCTAGAGATGAAAATAGAAAAGAAACTCGATCTACGTCAATAGGATTATAAACATAGCGCCAATCAGCTGGTTTCTACAATAAATATATTTTTATGAACGATTCACTCAAAATGAGATTGTATTGCAAAATAACAACAAAATTTACGAAAACTTATATTATGGTGTAATTTTAAAGGGAACTAACCTTGAGTGCAAACAAATTTTTCAAGGATTCGAGTTCCAAAGATTTTCGTTCAATCTCTCGCCGCAAAGCTTCTATCTCATCCGCCATTTTGAATCTACTAAACAATTTAGTACTCAATCTCCCTTGAGTAATCTTGCATGGTTACCAAGCTTTGAAAGCAAGATGGTGGAATCTTTTGGCATGTGTGCACCTTGAAAGTCCACAATGTTTTCAAGGCCTGCAGCCAAAGATACTGAAAATGATCTACTTATGCTGCAAGATAAATTTGTTACAGGTCGTTTGAACCCTGCAGCAGCCGTTGTTCGGTCGAACACAAGCGAGGAATCTCGGTCACTAGGGGAAAAGAGAGACGCACCATGCGACGTACAAGTTACAAGAGACGTCGTCACGTTACAGGGTGAGGATAATGAAGTCTTTGAGACGAAATGCTATTACCTCTACTTAAGTTAAATATTGAATAGGTTTATTTAGGTAATAAAACGGTTTGGATTTGGTTTAATTATGCATGCGTGCATTCTGTTTTGACCTCCATGTAGAGTTTCGCTGAGGCTTTTTATCCAGTGTCAGATTCAGAGGGAGTGTTCTATCAATCGGAATTACCCCTACCCCTACCCCTACCCCTACCCCTCCCCCTCCTCCTCCCACCCCAAATATGTTTTTTCTACTTGTCTAACACCAAAACTCTTGTAATGACAAGAGGGCAAATTTCCGCTGAACAGCTGGCTGATGTTTTTCGTGTCACAGAGAGCGAAGAGGGGCATAGGTTGGTGGAAAGTGATTTTGGACTACCCCTGTTAAAAAATTCTGGATCCACCTCTGCTATGGGATCAGTCCCTTAGCCTATTAATCATGGCTGAATTAATCATATAGGAGGAGATGCGCAAATCTGTTTCAGTACATTAAGATAGCTGTATGACAACCTTACCCTTTCATATCTGTCATCTCTCTGTGCCACCCAACCCCAACCCCTACCCACAAACATTAAACATGTCAGACCAGAACACAGTATTAGTGTCTTTCCCCTCTTCTGTTTTGTGGAGGAGAGTTTTCCTTGACACATGTATCCCCAAGTACAATGGTATGCTGGGATAGAAGTCAATTTTTTGGTACTTTGGTCAATTTTTTAACTGTTCCTACACATGTTCGTGTTGCCAGGGCTTAACTAATATATTAAAGCCCTTCAAGTGACATTTCATTACCTTCAGGTCTTCCAACAGTACAACCATCCAGCAGATTAGACTATGGAATCCCACCAAAGAAGAAATCAAGATTCAAAACAAGACATCAAGAGACCTTTGTATGTTCCTTCCTTGGCATAGTGTACTATCTGGGCAAAAATATTTTAATTAACCCTTTAACTCCCATGAGTGACCAAGACAGAATTTCTCCTTACAATATCAATATAATATTAACCAGATAAGTGATGAGAGTAAAGAAAAATATGAATTTGGGAAAAATTAGTTGATCCAATATTTAATTCGCTGAACTAACGTCATAATAATTGTATGGTTGACAGTAAGGAGAATTACAAATTTGATCTGGGTTAGAAGGTTAAGACTGCCCAAGATGTAATTTCATTGTTGTACGTGTAAGTGTAATAGGTTATTACCTTAGTTTCTAAATATTATTCTGTATCCTGTACAGAAGAACAAAAGGCGAGATGGCGAAGAGGAAATGGACTGTGAAGAACTTCTTGACAGTGAGTTTTATTATTAAGTAATAAGAGCAAATTTGTGGCAATTATGTTAGCAGAGCTTGGATAAAGCTTGAGTTTACAATAAAAAATACTGTAACATTACAAACATACAAGAATGTATGCAATTTTCCAAATTCAAATTTGTTTCTTGATCTTTTAAAAATTTTGGCTGATGTAAAGATTTGAATGTTGCCCTACTTTTTTCTTACATTTTATAGTTCACGACAGGCATGTGACTTCAGTGCTGTCTCAGATTCAGGTTAGTAACAATGGCAAGATTTCTTTCTTCAGGATGATAAGTACTCCACATATGTACTTGATGTGGGTCATCAATTCTCTCCTAGTTTGTTTTACTGGAATCAAGTGTCCATGGTAGATCTTAAATGACAAAGATATTAAGAGTGTCCTGATTGGTCAAAAACTTATTGTTTGTTATTCCATTACATCCAAAGAAAATCTATGTTTATAGTAGCAATAGACCACACATTTTATCACCTCCAGCTCCTGATTTTTTCATGATGTGTTCTCCCAACACCCTGTGTGTGAGTTATTACACCGTCTTGTAAACCTACAGAAAATCCACTCTATTGCTCTATAAAAAGACGTGTCTTAAAGAGGGCTAAACTTATTACTGAGTGTAGACTACTTTGAAAAAAATTGGTAACTGTATTTAAAACACAAGCTCTGCCTTAACAAAAGAAGATCTTTCAGTAGGATGGTACATCTTTTTTACACAAAACGAGTAGTATCCAAATTATTAACACCAAGAAACATAGCATGTGCAGTTGTTATTAAGAAAGAGAAAAGGGTTTTAAAGAATCAGGCTTAAATTACTCACCATCCAAACCTGCATTTTGCAGAGTGGCAGAGGTAATTTTTGAGGTGGCCCATATTTTGCTGAAGCATGATCATTCTTGAACCCTTGGAACATACAATTATATGGCTTTCCATGGAAAATTAATTAATCACTTTCAATGCACGGGTTGATCAAGGTTGAATCTTGTCATATCTTTACTATCAGTTATCTTTTTTATTGAGTGACTCCTTATAAAATTCTTCAATTCTCTATAGGAGAAAGAGATTGGTAACCGAAGTATTGCTACTCCAAGAGTATCTGAAAGAGGATTTCCCATGGTTCTCCATCGTGGAAACATCAGTGAGCAAGTGAGAAAGACTTTACAAAATCTTCTTCTTCTTAGTTAGAGTCGGAGGGCAAACTCTTGAAATGTCAGCCTTTAACCCTTCAACTCCCATGAGTGACCAAGACAGAATTTCTCGTTACAATATCAATACAATATCAAGCAGACAAGTGATGAGGATATAGAAAAATATTAACTAGGGTATTAGTAGTTGATCCAGTACCAAATTCTCCAAACTAACATCACAAGAACTAAATGGCAGACAGTAAGGAGAATTACTCGTGAGATCTTAGGAGTTAAAGGGTTAAACTCTTTATGGTGGCCTGAGTTTATGTTTAACTTATCAACTCAGTTGATAGGTATGTTGTAGTTTGAAACAGTTTCAGGTCAACATCAATTTCAAACTTGTTTTATTTAGATTTTTCTTTGTTCAAGGTCCTTCGTAATTTATTTGGAACAGAAATAATTTGAAACCATTTTGGCCTGAATTTAATTTTGACCTGAAATTAATTTTTCAATACAACATGTAAACCAATTGATTTCATGCAAATTCTTGATCATGCACAAATCTCTTTAGATCCCTTTTGACTCCAAATGGTTTTTTTCCCTTTTTTCTGCAAACTGAGATTTATTGCATGTGGTCTTTATTACAGAATGAGTCATCAAAAGAAACCATTTCTCAAAGCAGAAAAAGTTTGTTTGCCCAGCAATTTGCTGCATCAGGTGCAGTCACATTTGGTGTGCCAAAACACCAAAAAGACAATTTACAGAAGACAATAGAGGAGGTTAAAGTTACCCAAGCAGGTTCTTGTCCAGTGAAATATCAAAAGTCCTCCTTGATTTCTGGAGAAGGTCTGGCACAAGGTTCAGAGAGAAAGACTTTGAAGGACAAGGCAGTTGATGAAATTCACAAAGAGAACGTAGCTAAGCTGGAAGCTATGACACATGAAGAGATCATGGAGGAGCAAGCCAGGATAAAATCAGCACTGGGTGAGTTTACATTCTGCTTCTGTTTGCATCGTGTTGCACAGTTATACTATGTTCCTGAGGAAGTGATTTTCTGATCCTCATTGGTGAGTTTGCAACTGAAGAATTTATAGACATAGAACCCTTTACACCCCAAGAGTGATAAGTATCTAATTTCTCCTTGCTGTATCACCATTGAATCACGCATTGAGGTCACAAGAATACAGAAAATTATCACCAACTGAAGAAGCTCTTGATTGTTAAACAAATTCTCCTCGTTAGCACCCAGAAAATGTATAGAGAACAGTATAGAGAATATGCATACTGATTTTTGGGGTACAAAGGGTTAACATCAGTATGCATATTCTCCATTCTGTCCTTCATACATTTCCCAGGGAGCTGGCAAGAAGAATTTGGATGCGAGCACTATAAATCATATGATAGATGATTTCATTGATATAAAATATAATTCCATAATTTTCCAAATTCATGGGGTTTTTTAATTAATATATATTATTGGTGTTATATTAGAAAATTGCAGATGTAAGGCATTCAAACCTATGATAGTTTTTTGCTAACCTGTCTATTGATGTGCATAGTTTTTGCTTTCCTGGGGGACGGATGAGGAAGGAGCATGAATCCCATTTGTGGTTGTGCTAGATTCTTAACTGTTGGCTACACTTGTTGGCAGTCTAAATATTCATTTAGATTTATTGATTTGACTTTTGTTACCTACAGATCCAAATCTTGTTGCTTTTTTGACATCACACAAAAGAACAAGGGTTGAGGCAATGGATACAGCTTCGACAGAAGAAAAACAAGTTGGTCACAAGAACAGTAACAACCCTACTGGAGAAAACATAGGCCAAGTTGAAAAACAGGTCCAATTCAATGAAAATGTTGAAATGATCAAAGAAGGAAATGAACAGAATAGAATACAAGAAAAACAGTCTAGTGAAGTGAAAAAGATTGGAGATGTTGAAGTCTCCAGCAAATGGATTCACATGGACACTGTGGAATACGAGAAGCTAGAATGGATGAAAGATTGCCCTCCACCAAGCGCTCTGGAAAGCAAGGTGATGAAAAATTCCAGAAGAACGCAAGGCAATAATCGGCTCAGGTCTTGTACCCAGATTTCTTGACAGGTGGTCCTGCATGGTAATCATTAGCCTAAGGGCTTAACCCTTTAACTACCAGGAGTGATTACCATGCAACCTTCTTCCTAAGGTGTCCATATATTATCCAACAAGTAGGTAGTGAGAATACTCAAACTCGTCAGGTACAAGTTATTACCTTGATTGAACACCAAATTCTTGAAACCAATTTAAAAGGAAATATGTAGTAGCTAGAGGGAAACATTGACAATCAGATCTTGGGAATTAAAGGATTAACACCCCACTTTTTCCTTTAAAGCTCCAGAAATCAAGATAGATGTATGTAAGCTCTGGTAAAGCCACTTGGGATTTATTTTTACCGGAATCTCTCAAATTTGAGGACACATTCTGAACTTCTTATTCTAACAGGAAGGAAACCAAGCTCGCTTTGACTTCAACGGCTGCTTAGTTTCAAAAATGGATGACATCCCAGTGTACCTTGGTCTTCATCACCATGGTAAGGACCCAAGCTCTCCAGGTTATACACTAGAAGAACTCTTTATTCTGGCCAGAAGCAGCTTTTTACAGCAGCGTGTGTTGGCTTTGCAAGTTTTGGCCAAAATCACGAGACAGGTACTGTTGGTGTATTTTTTAGTAATTAATGAAAATGAATATTTTCCACTGAATTGTTTTTGGGAAATGTGCACCCCATGAAATAATTCCTTCTGGTTTCACATCAATAACGATCGGCAGACATTGTACAAGCTCAGTGTAGATATATTTGGTATTTGCTCAGATTTTTAACAATTACTCACCCAAGTGGAGGTGAATAATGGTAGATATTTACCTTGCCGCTTTGCAGTTCAGTACTAAATATCCACCACTTTCACTGACATTGAGGTAAATAATAATTTTTGTTTTAGTGAATAACACCCATAAAGCAGATAAATTATTCAGTTTATTTGTGCCAACATACCAAAAATGGTTGGAAATTAAATTGTTGAAGTGCCATTTTGCCTCTTCAGCTGTTAATCACCTGCTAATTACTTCTGGGGCAGCCACTCAGCATGCATAAAAAGCACATGTGGTATATACCATATAATGAGATATCTGGCTAGTAGTCTATTCACAGCAGTAATTTAATAAGAATTGTCATGGGAATAAATTCTAATCCAGATGCTCTCTTGGTCCAAACCCCAATGAAAATCCCTGTTGAAATACTAAACAATATGTTATAATTTTCAAGTCTAATGGGAACCTTTTTCATACTCCCTTTCAGGATCAAATGGGAGCATTTCAAGGACATCTTCAAGGTGATGTCCTGTCTGCACTACTGGATGCTGGAATCCTGTTCCTTCTCAGATGGTCATTGGATGACACAACAGATGCTGTCATGGCCGCTGCTACACAAGGATTAGCAGCCATCCTCATTGTGCCAAGTGATAAGGTAAATGTAATAACCTGACATATTTCTTCATTTTTCACTTGCTAAATCTGAGGCCTGTGTCTCTTAATTTCAGGAATTAGCTGACAAGATGTATGGTTTTCCACGAGGACAAGAGCTCCCAGCGCTCTCTCCTGTCAGGGAAAGCAAAGAACAAAATAAACAGCTCAGAAAGAATGAAAAGGAGGAGGAGAACAATCTAACTGATGCTGAACTATTGAAACAGGATGTTGTGAAAGTAAGAAGATTACAGAATTGAGTTGTTTTTACACTGACAATTCTTGATGCCAGTTTTTAGATCATGTTACACAAGTCAAGACAAATTTTAGATAAATAAAACTTTGTTGATGAAATGGTCAGCAGAGTGAACTAGATGAGATGATTTTGCAGTACCATTTCTCCTCCAATAAGTGATGACAGGAATAACAGTGAAGGCAAAGCAAGCCTAAAACAGTAGAAACTGTTTTTAGACAAGTTGTACAGGATCATGGTAAAGACTCTGAAACAGTAGAAACTACAACAGGTGCTCGAGGAGTGATTAAGTTTTATTAATCTTACGTGTAAAATGTTCATATTTCAGAATATTTAGGGTTGGAAATCGGCCTTATTTCATTTGCCATACAATTCCTCATAATGTGGTAAAATTCTCAGTGGTCCCTTGCGTATCTTAACACCATGCCACACAACATGTGACATTTTCATAAATTGATCTGTGGCTTTTTCTCAAGACTTGAGCTTGGGATGCTTGTGGTATAACGTGAACTTAAGGAACTCTCCTACTTTTACTAGCTATTCCCAATTAGTTAGGCAGCATGCGTTATACCATTGTGAATTGATCTACCATCTTCCTTCAACAAGCACACCTTTCTATTTTTTTGTTTTTTTTCTTTTTCAACCAAAGTCCTTATTATGTGAGAACCTTAACCCTCACTTCTTTGTGTCCTTTTGGGATTGATCAACAGACCCATTTATTATCAAATAATTAATAATTAAAACTGATCCACCATTAATATTAAACCTTGTAAAATCTTATTTTTGAGGGCTTGATCCAGATGAGTATTTTACCAAGACTAAGATACATCTTGGAGGTCTGTCATCCTTCTGTTCTGGTAGTTCATGACATCCTAGATGTACTGACAAGAATATCGCAGCATTCAACACAAGCTGCCAATGAAGTACTGCGGTGCCCCAGACTTATGGAAACCATCTTTACTAACTTTCTTCCCCTCTCATGGAAAATGTCTGAGCCAGATAGTGATGCTGTATATGGTGTTCCTGTCAGTGCAGCCATGAGACTTGTGCGGACAGTCTGTTGTGCAGGAAGACACATGGCTGCAACTTTGGTAAGTTCAGTTCTGCTATTATTCATCTCCTAAATGGTAGAGCCAGCTTACAAGCCAGTAAACCCATTTTTACCAGAATTTATTGTGACTTTTTAATCAGTGTTGTGAAGAGACTACAAATATTGTTACTCCCTGTTGATGGATGCAGGTTTACCCTTTAGCCTTTGGTCAGGCCTCTCTGTTAATTCACTAGACTGGAGAGAAGCACTGTGATTGTAAATTGTATTGCCTAAGAATACAGCACATTGTCCAGACACTACCCTGAACCTTGAGGTTTTGAGCAGGAGGTCAGTGCACTAACTGTTAGACATTCCCTTTACACTGGAAAATTAATACAAGCACCTAAATAAGCACCCTTGAATTTTAAACAATTTCTCGAATCAAAGTAATAATAGACTCAAATTGAACAGAATTTCTATGGTAGTCTGTTTCTTGTATTACAAATGCTCTCTGTCTAGCTACAGATGAAAAAAAAATTGCAAGGGTGAAAATATATATGCTATCTGTTGAGTGTTCTAGTAAATTTTGTACTTCGTGGCAGATCTCAAAGTACAATTTGACTGATCGACTGATGCGCTACACTGCTCTGAACCCCAGGAACATGCAAATGGCACTGCAAGAGGCTTATTCATTATACACTGAAAGTTTAAGAACATGGAGGGTCTGTGTGTTGTATGGCTTGGGCTGTGATGCTGTTAGGTGAGCTACAAGCTTTCAATTTCCGCAAGAGATATTAGGATAATTAAGGAAACCAGGACGGGTGCGGCAAGTTTTGTTTTAATTAATGATTAAATCAAAATAGACAAGTTGTACAGGATCATGGTAAAGAATAAGGCAGAAATGATTAAATCCTTAAACCAAATGGTGACCAGCATCTAATTTCTCCTTGCAAAAATACTGCTGAATCATTCATTAAGATCATGGGGATAAAGGAAATGATCATCAACATAAGAAGCTTTGATTGTTAAACAAATTCTCCTTACCAGTAACAAAAAAAAGTGTATAGAAGAGTATGGAGAATTTGGATGGTAAATGCTAGGGTGTCAAGAGTTAACCCTTTAACTCCCATACATGACTAGCATGAAACTTCACCCTATAATATCCCCACATTATCCAGCAAACAGTTTAAGAGACTACTCAAACCTATCCTGGGTAGAAGTTGTTATCTTGATCTACTACCAAATTCTCTTAACTAGATTATAAATAAATGTGTTGAAGCTAAAGGGGAGAATTATGGGTCAGATCTTGGGAGTTAAAGGTTTTACGTTCCAAGGTGATGATCTTTCTTCAGAACTCTTTTTTCTTTCCTGCAGGGAGATGTACTCAACATTTATTGAACACCTGCAATCAATTCAAACTCTTTCCATTTTGATGACAATGCCTGAGGAAAGATTGGAACTCAACTGTGCAGCTGCCATATTTAGTGTAATAAAAGCAGTCATTCAGGCTGCTGCAGCAGCTGCTGACCAGCAGGTACCAGCAGAATGTCATGGGATGGACTCTCTACCACCTCTGGCAATTAACTGGAGTCATGTGACAGGATTTCTACCTCTGATTGGTGGATGTGTAAATAAGTGGGTCAAGGAGATACTGGGTTGTGGTCAAGGTCTTAAAGATCTCCAGGTATGACTGATGCTTATTTGATTTATAGGGTAACCTATGAATTTTGCATTTGCTTTTGCTTTACTGGGCTTTTCCTTTAGGAACTTTGGCTGTTAAACCATGTGAATTGTAGTCATTTATTGTTTTCTAGGCTGTAGACTTTTTAAGATAAGAAATAAAGCTAAAATAAAGCCAAAATGTGTCAGTTAGGTTCTTCATATCAGGTCAGATAATGATAAACTACTAATTTATTGAGTTGTGTGTCAATCCCTGTTTCCCAGTATGAAAACCTCTGTCTCCTGTCAGGAGCTTTTGCTGGTTTGGTGGCTTTCTACTCGAAACTTCATGACCAGGTTGGTGTTTGTCTCTTCTTTTGTTTGCCTTTTCCTAACCATGTCATTGTATTTATGCCTAATGCTGCCTGTGTGAACTGATTTAACTTGGCATAAATCTGCTTGATCACAGGTATCCCACTCTCCTGTGGAGACTCTACAGCAGTTAGAACACTTAACCGGCACTGTGCTCCTTCCAGTGGTAGAGCATCATGTCCTGGACTGGTGTTTTACACAAATCAGGTAATTTAATTTTTGTGAATTACATTGAGATGCTCCTTTGAAAATTTTGCAGCACTTTTGCTATCAGGCATCATTAGAGAGTTATTTTGTTAAGTGTCATAAAACCAATACCTAAGTAACAGCAAAGTCCAATCAGGAGAAAGGAAATTTTCTTTAGGAGCTAATGAGAACTCAGAGTCAAAACAAATAATCTGCCTAATGAGCGGAAAAATGTAGTGACTTAGTTGTGATTGATTTTACTTTTAATTAGCTTCTGATTGGTTGAGAAAGTGGTGCAAATTTTCTGGACCAATCACAGCTCTAATTAAGCAGTCCTTAATCACTTTTGACACTCAATATAAAATTGCTCTTTAAGGTTATTATTGGTGATTGTTAGTATCTTATTTTTCACTTAATTTGAAGTTCTAGATCAGCTTATAACACGACTGGAGGATCAAGGCTTTCTAGAAAGGCTATCCCTAGTCTTCCAGACTTTGGCTCTATAGAACTGGTGAACCCTGGAACAGAACTGGTGGAGTCGAGCAGACCTGAACTTATTGCATTCACATCATGTATAATTGAACTTATATATCATGTCACCAAATTGCACAGAGGAATCACCCACAAGGTATCTTATACATTAGACTTATTACAAAAAATCTGATTAGCTGAGAGCATTCAATCAATTTACAATAGTGTGTGAACCTGATATGTTAAATTACAATATATATGGAGAATATTGCATTTATCATGTTGAGTTCAAAGTCTGTTGTAGTTTCCAAGTCCCAAGTTTCCAAATGTGAAAAAAATTATAATAAAGCATTTATTGAATTCGGTTTTTGCCACATGATGTCATGCTGAACCTCATCCAATAATTGCTTTTTTAAACCATACTGTTCACTTTTCACCATGGATATCAAAAAATAACTCTTGAATTATACTTGAATTACGACATTACTCAATGCAAATGCTTGATTAGAGATTTTGTTATTGTTCTCTTGACAAGATATGATCTTACTTACACTTTTGTTTGTTCATTTGTGGTTCTTTTGTCATTTTATCATTAGTTCTCTGCCATTCTTTCCAATAATGCTGTCTTGGAGTATTTGAAACTTGTTGTTGAATCCCAGGTTTGTGCACAGAGTTTTGCTTCATATGATAATGAGGAAGAAAGCTTCAAATTTTTGGAGTTCCATGTAGAATGGAATGTACATAATTAGCTAATTACAATGTCATGTGAACAAGTATGATCCAGTTCGGTATAAGGACTGTTTTTGATCAGGTTTGCCTAGGCACCATCAATTGTATTTATTACCAGGAAGTATACATGTTATAACACACTTGATGATTTTTTGTAGTTTGCGATAACATTTCTGAATTGAACTTATCATATGACTCATACACTTTCTTGCATTCTTCAAAAATTTCCAGTGTGATGCTGAGAGCAGGGCTGGAAAAAAGTCATACAGCCCAGCAAGCTGTGAGCCAAAAGGGGAAAGGAAGAAAAAGAAAAAATGACGGTCATGTGATAAAACAGTTATTGACTGAGTTTGACTGGGGTAGACAGGAAAATACTCAAGGCTCTCGATCATGATACATGGAGTTTGCTGCTCCTGGACCATGGTTAAAGACCAGACCTAGAGTTAAATATTTTTGCGTTCTGCTCTTTCGCTCAGTCAATAAGTTCATATTATTGAATGTTATCATTTTGATTTGATTCCTAACAGAGTGTTTCCTCATCCTTCTTTGTTCGTCAAGAGCATCATTTGCAGTACTTCCTGTTGAAACTTGTCAGTAATTTGGTAAGGAAAAAATACATTATTTAAGCTTTTTTCCCTCTCTTTCCTGTATGTGTGATTGAGTGCATATACCATCCTCTTAAAGCACAGCTTATAACTTTCTGGCTTGCAGATAGGACTACCAGAATCAGATGAGTGTTCAAGTTATGTTTCTTTATGGCATGAGGCTGCTCTATCACTGTTCTCCAAGATCTTCCCAGGCGATGAGTTTTATGCGCAAGATCTACTTTCGACAATATTGTTCAATTCAAAGTTTTTCAGGTGAATTGGCCATTTTTTGTGCTTTTAAGGTTCAGAGTTAATTAGTGCATTTTCAAACACAATCGTAGTGTCCATCAAGTGACTAGGTTTCGTCCACTTTGGTATTTTCATTCCAGCAAAGTGAATGGACCTCTATCCGTGGGTGTCACCAGAGACCTCTCAGAAATGACACTGGCTACTCCTCCAGTTCCAAGTACATATGATACTACAGCTACAAGTAGAGGAGATCTTATAGCTGAGGCTCATAAAAACTTACCTGGTATAAGGTCCACATTCAAATGTGCCTTTGAGGGCATGAATTATCCCTTGAGAACTTCTAGGTATGAAAGCTGAGTTCTGTCTTAACACTTTTTCTCTTAAGGTCGGATTAGTAATTCTCCCTTGTAACTGTCAGACATTTCCTTGTAAATTAGACAAGAGAATTTGGTGGTATACCAAGAGAAAACTCCCTAGCAGATAGGCTTGGTTATTCTCATAACCTGTTTGGTGGATAATGTATTGAAATCGCAAGGAGAATCTGCATGTGTATCACTTCTAGGCGTTAAGTTACACAAGGATATTTTCTCTCCTTTAAAACTACATTTATCTAAAAGAGGAATACGAAATATATTCACACAAACTAGGCAATGAACAGCTCTTGAGGAACAAGTATGGGAAAGGATGGAGATGATCCAAACAGAATGTAAATGACAGGCCTTAAATAGTGAACATATCCTAGATTATGTTTCAAGGCGTACTTAAATGTAAGACTGTTGACAGGCATAGATTTTGAGAAACATTTTGACATCCATGCACAGGTGTAGCTGACCACTGCATGAAAAAGAGTAATCAGTTTACATGTACTTTGCTAATTTTCACTTCTGAATCCCTCTCAGGTCAATGGCCCTTTGTCAAGTGCGTAATATTCAATCGTTTATCGTCCCCTCATGCGTAGGTCCTCTTCAACCCGCTGACTGGGTGTTTCTCCCCATAGTGGATCTGTATAACCTGGCAATAAGTGTGTGAGTAAATATCAAAGTTCACAGCTGTGTTTTACTGAATTTACATTCCTGCAGATTGGGTGCCGCAGTTTATTTAATTAGTTTCAGTTGCATGAATAGAATCATTGTGAACCACTTAAATGTAATATGCATTTTGTAATCCTGAAATAAATAATACTTTCGGTTTTCATGGTAGATGTTCAGATGTAAAGGAACCGTTTTATTTTATGCAAAATGAAGAGCAAAAAGTGGTATCATTTAAGGCTTGGATGACATTAATTACTTCTGTTCTTTTACCTGTTTGTCTGTTTACTTCTGTTAGTGAAATGAAGGGCGACAGCATAAATACCATTTCAGGCTCGGCAGTTTCCATAGTAACTAATACACTTCAACTGGTTCTCTTGCTTGAGGAATGGCGGCCGTCCTGTTTACGTCACGTGACTATGGCATCACGAATAGCCAGGCTCATGTGCATCTTCTTGACAGGTGAGGTGACTTAACCTTTCAACCCCTAAGAGTGACTAGCATCTAATTTCTCCTTAAATATCACCCTTGAATCAAACATAAAGGTCGTGAGAATAGAGGAAATGATCAACAACTAAAGCAGCTCTTGATTATTAAACAAATTCTCTTTGTCAGCACCTCGGGAAATGTATGGTGAATAGTGTGGAGAACGTGGATACTGATCTCAAGGGGTTAAGGGGGTAAAGAACTTTTGAAGTAGAACGTTAAGGGTTCAGTTTGTTCTTTTCACCAGGTAATTTACTGTTTTCTACTCTGTTTTTATAGGAAATGATCTGTTCCTGGACAGTGGCGTTCACAATTATCTATCAGCTCTTTTGAAGATTTATACGAGCCCCTCACATCTCTGCCGCCTTGATTTTAATTCTCCAATTCCTGGACTTACATCCTTCTATGACCTGTAAGTAGCTGAGGGTCAGCAGTGGTTCTGCTCCCATCTCGTTTGACATTAAGTTAATTCCCCTTTTTGAGAGGTGAGACCAACATTCTTTGGGAAGAACAAGCCTCCACTCTGGAGGAATAACAATACTTTCACTCTCTTCGAAACTGGAATAAGTTCCTGTCATGTTGGGCTAAAAGGCCCGTGTCAACTGAACAAAATCATTTTACACACTGATAGCGGAGCTCGCAGAGCGTAGCCCCATACAAAATAGTAGTAACCCATCAAGCCGAAAAAATTTGGTTGTACGACCGTACGACCGTAACATGCGTGGTTAACTGTACCGCGGGCACGCCAACGTCACGGCTTTGTTCAGTAGTCCTGTGGTCAGTGCACTGGGCTCCGAGTCGGACGACCCGGGTTCTAGTCCTGGTCGGGGCAAGGCGTTGTGCCCTTGAGACGTGCGGGGGAAAAAAAATCCGCTCCGCTTTTAGGCTTGGCTAAATCTATATATTATTTGAAATATGGCATTATGCCATCGCAACAATTCGATCCTGGGCAGCAGTCTCACCCTGATTGGTTTTTTACTCTGTCCAACCACCTTTGCCAAAATCTAATCTCTACATTTCTTCGCGAAAGACAAAATAGGAAGAGAAACAAAATTCCAGTGTTGTAACATAACCTTTCATTGCTATCAACTCTCCAATCAAATTCTGTGTACATAAGAAAGTGAACTAAGGTCCTTGACTTTACCTCTTTTACTTTTTTTAGGTACGCATCACTACTGTCCCAGTACTCTGCAGTCTCCTTTGGAGATGCTCTCTTTGGTTGTTTTGTTATTTTACCCTTGGCTCAGAAGCACAACATGAAATTTAGAACAGCTGTTTGGGATGAACACATAGGAGTCTTGAGAGCTTTGTCAATACCCCTAGACCAGGTAAACTAGATCAAATGGTCGCTGTAAATCTACACAAGTTTCATCCTTTTCGTGCTATGAGATAGCCAAGTTTTTCCTCCCCTAATGAGTTCTTCTGTCCCATATTCCTCTACCACTAATGTATAAAAACTTCCATTGTTCATCCACGAGATCCTTACCCAATACGATGAAATTTACAAAAAGTTCTATTTTACAGCTTTTTATTTTCCTTTTTTTATCTATCCCATAGCCGTTTTTGGAGTTACTTTGACTTCATAATGAACCTGTTGTGACGAAGAGATAGCTCTATTTTGAATAGTTTGCTTTATATTTTTTTGAACGGAAATCCGGCTCTCTACCAAATCTTGGGATTGGATATAAAGTAACTATTTTGTATAAGAATACTGTGGCTTTAAAACTACAATTTGATGGCTAGTATAATTTTTTTCCCTCTGTTTCCTTCAGCTACCCATCCCCCTAGAGGAATTCCTGTATCCTGTTGAGCAGAACCAGTCATTACTGGCGCTTTATTTACGAGCTCTTGCCACCCAAACAGTCAGGTACGCGTGACAAATACACTTCGCCTTTGTTTATAAATACAAACAGACTGAGCAAGTGTTAAATTTAGTGTTGAAAGTTATCTGGGATTCCTTTCGTCTTTGCTTTACTCTGCTAGATGTGATCGGTCCATAAATGATTCCCCTTTATTACTGTGAGAGATTAAAGAAATATTATTATTTTGAAATAGACGCCACCCTTTAATAAGCATCATTATTGACGCTCCGGCACCAGCATTTCTTCGCCTGCCGAGAAACATGAGATTTAGGGCAATGCGAGTTAGTAAGAGGTCTGTAGAGTCCGCCAAACCTCTCCCCGACTGGTCTCAAATCTTTCCGTTACTGGCGAAATGAGCTTCACTTTTTAATGTCGTGCTAATTACTTTTACTTTATTTCAGACCGCGGTGGTCCCCTTTGTTTTACCTTGCAGCTGTTCATCACGTTAATTCTTTTGTTTTTCAAAGAGTCGACCCTGAGGTCAGTATGCACTGTCGTCTAAACTGTTACTAGCATAACTTGTTCAGATACTCAGCTATGCCAGACACCGAAACGTCTAGTAAGAATTGACAAAGTAATATTATTTAAAGTCAGTAATGTTCCTCTTGTCATGCAAAGGTTTTTTTTTAATAACCTTTTATTTTATCCTAGGATTCACATGAATTGAAAAAGAAGGTAAATTTCTTGAAGCAAGTTCTCGCAGTGCAGAATGAGGTAACTGTTTTATTTAGTTCAATTTTGGCTCATTTCTTCTGTAATCTTGTGATCAGCAATTCCGTCTGTCCTTCTTTAAGTCTCCAAGTGAGGAGCTTGGTCGCACAGTTTGATCGTTCTGTTTACTTATCCAGGGTGCGCCGATTGTCCGGGACAGGTAGAAATTTATTTCGGACATGTAAACCTTTCATATAACTTGTCCGTGGGACAAGCTCATTTTTAGTACGGAGAAGTAAAGAAACAACTGAAAATTGACTTCAAATTACAACAGAGTTAAAGTATATCTTGTAGTCGTTAAAAAAACCCTTATACTTAGCAAAATAAGGTAAAATATTCCTCTTCAGTTCGCTATTCCACGACCATTTTAGTTTTTTTTTTAAAGAGCTCTGTTTGGCTTGGGAACCTGGCCGTAGTAACCAGGCCTGTTAAGAAGTAACTCATTCCCAGGCTCAAAATTCGAGTTAGCCAAGATTAATGCAGTGCATGTCTGAAAGGGAAAGGATAAGAAAATTTTCCTCTTACCCTGCAATCAATCTGATAATCTTTCTGTTAGTGTATCTACTTTGTCTGTCTTTCTTCCCACCTATGGGTATCTGTATGTCTGCCTCCTTACCTAACCTTCTGGCTTTTTGTCTGCCTGACTGTATGTCTTTTGGCTTGTTTGAGTGTCTTGTTGTCTGGCTCTGCTTGTCTGTCTCCGACTGTCTCGTTGTCTGTATGTTGTCTGTCCATCTGCCTGCTTTTTGACAGTCTATCTTTCTATCTTCCTGTCTTACTGCATTTCTGACTGATTGTCTGTCTGTCTGTCTGTCTGTCAGGGCTAACGCTTGAATTGCCAGCTTTGAAACCCTTTATGGAGGCCAGTTTATGTTATTAAGTCAGTTGATAATACCAAATTACCTTGTTTTACTCTCCCACTGATGCAGCACCACAGTTTCTTGTAATTAGAAACTTACCTTATATTCATTTGTCTACCTGTTCGTCTGTTTGTATGTCTGTCTTTGCTTTTCCTGACTATCTCCCTGAATGTTTGTCTTTTTGGCTTGTTTGAGTGTCTGTTTGTTTGGCTCTGCTTATCTGTCTCTGCCTTGTCTGTGTCTGCTTATCTGTCCATCTGCTTGCTTAGCTTTCTTTCTTTTTTATTGAAATGGTTTAAGTTTTAATTACTGTGGTACTGCATCAGTGGGGGAGTATAACAAGATACTAGTGTAGTGGCCATCATCAAGAGTTTTTAAAGCTGACGTTTTGAGCACTGTCAGGACCTTTTGAAATTGACCCTCCCTCTCCCATCATTTAGGTTAATTCGATTTTGTTTGTTTTTTTGTTCAATTACTTTAGAGTGTTCAACATGATTTACTGCACTATTTCAAACCAGCTACCAGCAGTTCCTTGGAGCCTTTTGTAAAATTCACTAATCTTCCAGCTGACCGACAACTCCTACTGAGAAATCGCAATGACCTTGTGGAATGTCACAAAATTTTCCAGAAAATGGCCTCTGAGTAAAGAATAGTGAAATAATATGAAATCTAAAATTGTGAAAAAAGCATGGATTATATTTATTTCTTACCAAGTAATAAAAGAGCAATGAACAGAGAAGCATATGTAGTACTGTATTTTGTAATTTTTATTGTCCACTTCAGTTGACTACCACCCCTTCCAAACAGAGCAGGAATCTCTCTTTTCTCTGCTGTCAGAAAACTATTCACTTCTTGGAACCAAATATGTGTGCAGCTTTGACTTCTCAAAGTTCACAGTGGTGAAAAACCTTAAAAATATACTCACTGTGACGAACAATTCAGTAAGTCAGGATCTTTGTGAAGAAACCTCAAAGTTCGGTGTGGGTCAGGATCTTTGCAAAGATACCACAAAGTTCACAGTGGTGAGAAACCGTGCAAATCTACTCATTGTGACAAAAGATCTAGTGAGTCAGAATCTTTGTGAAGACATCTCAAAGTTCACTGTGGTGAGAAACCATACAAATGTATTCATTGTGACAAATGTTTTTCACTTAAGTCAAATCTGATAGTGCAAGACAGATCATACCATAGGAATTGGCCATACAAGTACAGCTATTGCAACAAAGGCTTTGAGGATCAGAGGAGAGACATAAGTGTAGACAACTCTCCAGGGTAGACAGAAAGAAATTCATCTGTTGGATGTGCGATGAATTTTGTCAATTTTTTTCAATATTTTTGAATACTTTTCATGGCACATTTGCATGTACTGTTAGGGGCCTGATCAGCCTCATCAACCTGAGTTGAAGTAAAGTTAAGCATACAAAGGTAAAGGTAAGCAGAAAACATCACAAATTTATCTTTGGCAAGGACTTCCAATTCACCTCATAGATGACCTGTGGGTGTCTTAATTGTACTTATCTCACTTGAGCAGCTTAATTTTTATCTTTTATTTGTTCAAAAGTTTTATTTATTTTGTGCAATGCTATGTGAGAATATTTCTTAAATTATTTAATTTTCTAAGAGTAAACATACTCCTGCTCGTCCCCACCCTCTCCCCTACTTTCTACAGACAAAATTATCCTAGGAGTAAGTATGCTCTTGCTCATCCCCCCCTCCACCCACTCCCCCACGCTCTGCAGACAAAATTATTGTGTAACAATAACTATACCTTTGTTTTGACCATCCAACAAGAGAGCATGTCCCATTATCAGCATACCCGCTGGTTCCTTCATTAGAAGCCTTCCCTCCCCTTCCCTAAGACACTAATTAATTGACACGGTTTACGAGACTTCCACAAACATAACTCTCGTCTCATCCATTGTGAAGGTTGAAGTCAAACACTCACGTGCATTTAGCGTGTTCGCTTGAATTACAAAATTTGTGTCGGCGTATCAGCTTGAATTACAAAAATTGTGTCGGCGTATCAGCGTGTTGTGTCTATGTGGCTTCAGCGAGCGATAATTTACCCATGGCACTCGAAAACTCTAGAAAGATACCATCGTTTAAGCCCAAAAATTTTCTCTCAACGACATCCTGAAACCCTTTTAGGTTTCTCGTCTCGAAACAACAAGATTCGATAGCATTTACGTGTTGAATATCTATCATTGTGCTCAAAGGAAAATCGTGGTTTCTACATTTAAGATTTCAAGAGTACCTGACCGGCTGATATTTAATAATCGTCTGTTCTAGAAAACGCTAGAAGGATCTGGAATATTCTGGATCTTCCCAGAAAATGTCACAATAACGGAAATGCTTACTGAGCATGACAGCGAATTTCGTAATTTGCCGAATTTAGAAAGTGGCGCGCAAATGAACCAATCAGATTCCAGGATATTGTTCAACGAACCAATCAGATGCCGCGTTTTGGTAGTTTTTCTAGAAAGTTCTAGAATGTTCCATAGGTCAGCTATAAAAACTGACGCGTACACACGTGTTTCTAGACACATTTTCTGTAAGAGTCGTTGCGGCTTAAAGTTTCGCCAATCTTCTCTCCGAAAAAACCTTTAAAATTAGAACTTACCTGCCAAAATGCCTGACATCGAAGAAGTTCAGCAAATGGAAGAGGACAATGAAACGGAGACCTTCGCTTTCCAAGCGGAGATCGCACAGCTGATGAGTTTGATCATCAACACGTTCTACTCGAACAAAGAAATTTTTCTTCGAGAAATCATCTCCAACGCTTCTGATGTGAGTAGACCTGTACTAATTTCCTCTCATTGTTAAGCACTGCTGCTATCGCACTGTCTCAGACTTATTTCGAATCTCGAATATCTAGGAACAAATTTTGTACCGCGCGTATGGACTCTTGGGCCCTACCTTGTCAGCAACAAATTTGAAGAAAAATTCGGCAGCTGCCTTTTTTGTTATGCAACCAATCTCACGTACGAAACTGTACAAAGACTAAATGATACAGATTTCTGAAGCGATCGAGTCTTGCCGATCAGTTCTTGGACATGAAAAATTTGCTGGGAGGAAGTAATAGGAAGTGAAACAAATAATCGTTTGGCTAGTTTACTTTTTCCTTAACCGGTCTATGTGATAAATCTTACCCAAGAATCTTTTCATTTGTAACTAGCGATTTAAAATCCAGTGTCACTCAATAATCGATGAATTTAATGTTCCATTTTGTCTTAGAGTATAGCGAAAGCGAAACCATTTTGAGCACATGGCGTCGTTTAGATCACGTGGTCGTTTTCTGGCGAGTTCTTCGAGCCGCAAAAGTTCTTCACTTAACATTTCTCCTCGCCTTTCAAAATTATTTGTCATTGTTGAGGTAAATAAACTAAATGCTTATGTGTCTTATGTTCTAGGCCCTCGACAAGATTCGATACAAAAGTTTAACTGAACCATCGAGTTTGGAGAGCTGTAAGGAGTTGAAGATCGAGATTGTTCCGAATAAAGATGACAACACCCTGACAATTCACGATACTGGAATCGGTATGACCAAGGCAGATCTCGTTAACAACTTGGGAACCATCGCTAAGAGTGGAACGAAAGCTTTCATGGAGGCTCTGCAGGTAAGCACATGACCGCCCCCCCTAGAAAATCAAATTTAAAAAACTTTTTTCTTTGTTAAAAATTTGATCGCTATAATTTGTTCGATTATTTCTAAATTTGATATGTTCAGTTTTGTTGGAGTTGCTGACGGATTTGTGAAATTATATTACATTTTGGGTTTTGTTTTGTGACAGCATGGTTAACTTTCAGATAATACTTTGTTTTTTTTGAATTTGACAATGACAACGTAGTTAAATCTCCTGTGTATTAATTTTTTTTCTTCTCCATTAGGCTGGTGCTGACATTTCCATGATTGGTCAGTTTGGTGTTGGTTTCTATTCTGCCTATCTGGTTGCAGATAAGGTAGAAGTGTACACCAAACACAATGATGATGAACAATACATCTGGGAATCTTCTGCTGGTGGTTCCTTCACTGTGCGCCGTGTGTCAGAGGAAGTGATTCCCCGTGGAACCAAAGTGATTCTTCATCTCAAGGATGACCAGATGGAGTACTTGGAAGAGAAGCGCATTAAGGAGATTGTGAAGAAGCACAGTCAGTTTATTGGATATCCCATTTCTCTGCAGGTAATATTTTTCTCGAACATGCGAGCCTGAAACCTGGGAAAACTGTGAAAAAACAAGATAAATTTTGAGATTTCTCTTTACAGTAATACTGCTGAATCATTCACTAAGATTGTGAGAATGAAAGAAATGGTTCCTAACCTTGGAAGCTTTGATGGTCAATATATTAGATTCTTCTTGTCAGTACTAAAGGAAATATATAGGGAAAGAGTGTGGCGAATGTGGTTGCAGATGATAACCAGGGTGTAAGAGTTGACTGGCAAATGAAGTGTCTGCTGTCAAGTCAAATTTGAAATCAATCTGCATTGTAATAAAAATAAATAATTGAAGAGCTTGACTTTTGAGTTACCAGTTTGTGTGGATGTTAAATTTGAACTTGATGGTTGTATTTTGAAACTATGAGGAGGAAGCAATAGTCTCTTGGTTGTTTTATGAAAGGAAATTTTGGCAGTAATGGCAAATATAGGTAGGATTAAAAGACAAGGTTTTAAAAGTCATCTTGTCAATCTCATTTACCCTAGGTGCAAAAAGAGCGTGAGAAGGAGGTCAGTGATGATGAAGATGAGGAGGAGGATGAAAAGAAAGAGAGTGAAGATGGTGAAAAGAAGGAAAATGAGGAAGATGATAAGCCCAAGGTAGAAGACTTGGATGAAGAAGAAGAAGAGAAAAAAGGTGAAAAAAAGAAGAAGAAGATCAAGGAGAAGTACACTGAGCTTGAGGAACTCAACAAGACCAAGCCATTGTGGATGAGGAACACTGATGAAATTACACCAGAGGAATACGCAGAGTTCTACAAAAGTTTGACAAATGACTGGGAAGAGCATATGGCGGTCAAGCATTTTTCAGTTGAGGGACAATTGGAATTCAGGGCCCTTCTGTTTCTTCCGAGGCGGGCACCTTTCGATTTATTTGAGAACAGGAAAAAGCGCAACAACATCAAGCTTTACGTGCGTCGTGTATTTATTATGGACAATTGTGAGGATCTTATCCCAGAGTATTTGAACTTCATTAAGGGTGTCGTGGATTCTGAAGATTTGCCGCTTAACATTTCTCGTGAGATGCTGCAGCAGAACAAGATCTTGAAGGTGATCAGGAAAAACATCGTCAAGAAGTGTTTGGAGCTGTTTGCTGAAGTGACGGAAGACAAGGACAACTACAAGAAATTCTACGAGCAGTTTGGCAAGAACATTAAGCTTGGCATCCATGAAGACAGCGTTAACCGTTCCAAACTTGCAGACCTTCTTAGGTATCACTCTTCTGCTGCTGGAGATGAGATGACATCGCTCAAGGATTACGTCACAAGAATGAAGGATAATCAGAAAGACATCTACTACATAACTGGTGAGAGCAAGGATCAAGTTGCCCACTCGGCTTTTGTGGAGAGGGTCAAGAGCCGTGGATTCGAGGTGTTGTACATGACAGAACCAATTGATGAGTATGCCGTGCAGCAGCTGAAGGAATACGATGGAAAGAAACTAGTCAGTGTCACCAAGGAAGGCCTTGAGTTACCAGAGGATGAGGATGACAAGAAGAAATGGGAAGAAAAGAAAGCCAAATTTGAGCCTCTTTGCAAGGTACTGTTTAGTGATAAACTTTTTGCGAATTGAAACAAGAGTGTATGCTAAAATTGTTTTTAAGAAAAGTGGTTGGTGTTTTCAACTGTGCTTTGTGACCTACCTGTGAGAAATTGAGAAAAAAATAGGAACTTTTGTCCCTGTTAAAATAATGTTTCTTAAATTTTTTCTGGCATTAACTGTTTCCCAGGTTTCACATCAAACTTGATTTTAAAACTGTTGGAGGAATTCTCAATATCCTATACTATTTGTATGGTGATATAGTGAGGTGCTTTTAAAAATTGTAGCATTTCTGATGTGGCATTGAGTTGAGGGCCTTGTTGGTTTCACTTACTGAAAATAATTTCAGTAAATCATTAAAAAATGTTATCTTGAAGAGACATGTGTTAAAAGTTTCAGTGACCCAGCAAAGACAGACTTGAAATTGTCTGGCCTGTGATATACCCAATGAGAATGCAAGGGATGAATTGTTTTTCTGAGTTGTATTGGTCTCTTTTTGGTAATTTTCTAATCCTAAATCAAATGCCAAATTTATGGGGAACTAAATCCAATATCATTCTTGGGATGTTAAATATTGTGTCTTTTTTCAGACTGTGAAGGAGATCTTGGACAAAAAAGTGGAGAAAGTGGTAGTGTCTGCACGTCTGGTGTCATCTCCCTGCTGTATTGTGACAAGTCAGTTCGGCTGGACTGCCAACATGGAGAGAATCATGAAGGCTCAGGCTTTGCGTGATAACAGCACTCTAGGATACATGGCAGCTAAGAAACACTTGGAGTTGAATCCTGACCACTCCATTGTTGAGACCCTCAGGCAGAAGGTGGAGACAGACAAAAATGACAAGTCTGTGAAAGATCTTGTCATGCTGCTGTATGAGACCTCTCTTCTGTCCTCTGGCTTCACGTTGGATGACCCTCAGGTTCATGCTGGCCGCATTTACAGGATGATTAGTTTGGGTCTTGGAATTGATGAAGAAATGGATGGTATGCAGAGATAATGTTTTGCGAGAGTTTTGGATGTTTTTCTTAGGCCCAGCCAGGGGTTTCCATAAGGGTTAGTAGAGGCCCAGAACTAATCAGAATTGTTTATTCATTCCACAGCGGGTGAAGAAGTGGCAGCTGAGGGAACTGGTGAAGATATGCCCCCTCTTGAGGGAGAGGATGGTGATGATCCTTCAAAGATGGAAGAAGTTGATTGATCTCTTCTGTTCTGGAAATTCTTGACAAGAGTTGCTATCTGTCTTTCAAAAGTTACATTGTTATCATAGCAGAAATATTGCTGTTTAAACAAGAGTGAAATGATTTCTTACAAGATTACTGATCAGGTTTTAGAATGAAGGCTTCATCTAATTTGTTGGCCATTAAATAATTTAAAATTTTCATGAGAGTTTGGGTGCAAAATATTATCCACTTTGACATTGTAGAAGTTTGCTAAGGTAATAATTTTGTTCATTAGTTTTGTTTGTACTGTTTCATTGTGAGTTTGTTTTGTTTTGTGGTTAATAGTCGTTCAGTATTATAACCTGCTTAACAAGGCTGTTGAGATTTCAAAAACAATGGAACACTCCAGTTAGATTTTCAGACATGAGATAGCTGACTCTGGAAGTTAAAATCTAGTTTAAAGAGAGGACGGGCTCTGATTACTTAGTCACTGTTAGCCATGTCTGCTGAGTGATAGAGATAACGCATTTAAACAGTATCTGGTTGTTCATTATTAACTGTTTGCTTAGCCAGTGAAATGATCTTCATTAGACCTTGCAGAAAACAGGCAGTTGGCACCACCGCTGCAGTTTACTTTGCCTGCTAAAGTTTTATCTACCTAACATTGTAACTTTAGAGTGGGATATGCATAATAAAAAGCAAGTTCATTCAAACTATCAATCTTGTGTCTGATGTCGTCCTTAAAGTGACTCTTGTCTTATTTTTCCTCTCAAAATCACCTCTGCATCAAATATTAAGGTCAACCAAAGTGAAGGAAATGATCACTAACAAAAGCTCTTGATTTTTCAGCAAATTCTCCTCATCTGGTGCAAAGAACCATACAGAGAAAGTGCATATTGTTGTTAGGGTGTTAAGAGCTTCAAGATGAACTCAAAGTGACCATGGATGAGACAGAGCCATAAAAATATTCTCTCTGAAATTTTCAACCTTCTGACCCTTAAGAGTGACTAGCTTCTCATGTCTTGTCATATTATTACCCTGATTATTATGAACACACATGAAAAGGAAGTGATTACCACTTTAAACTCTTCATTTTTAAATCAAGTCCCCTTGTCTGCGACTTAGGATATTTAAAGAGAATAGTATGGTGGATATGTATACTAATAGCATGCAAAGGGCTAAGGAAAAGGAAGGTAAAAGGAAGAAAAATTTCGTCCTTACTCTACTAGTTTCCTTATTCTACTTCAGATCGACTTCTTGGACCTCTTGTTTTGATGGCTGTGTGATTAATGGTTTTGTATGCCCATGGAAATTAACCCTGTAAGCTGCGTTTTTATTCGAAAATTCCTTAGTCTTCAGTCGTGTTGAAGCCACAAGGGCTACATTTACTACAAGAGTATGACAGAATGGCAATTACCCTAACCATTTAAGAGGTCCATGGTTATTTGAGTTTTAGTTTAAAGAAAGAGGAGGAGAAGGTACATGGATGAGAAGCAAAGAAAAACAAATTGTTTACAAATTAGTGTAGTCCAATTTCCAAACTCTGTGGCCTTGAAGACATGGGTAAAATTTACTCAGTACTTATCACCCTTTACTTGCCAACATCAGTATGCATACTGTCCACACTGTTTTCTATACACTTCCCATGGTGCTGACATTGAGACCTTATTAAACAATAAAGAGCTTGTTTAGTTGGTGATCATTTTATTTATTCTCACAACCTCAATGTGTGATTCAAGGGTGATGATGTGAGAAATTAGATGCCAATCACAGTTAGAGGTTGAAGGGTTGTTAGGTGTTTTGTAACAGTGCCAAAGGTGTATGACTACCATTTGGCAATTGGAAAAGTTTCTCTGAATTCAAACTGGATTCTCTTTTTTAGGAGATTGCGAAGAAAAGTGAACTACATGATTTGTACATCCTCTTTATTCAATTCAAAAAGACCATTCAAAATATCAGAAAAACCTACCTTGCAAGGAAATTCAATTCATGTAAACACATATTTGAAACACCCAAAAGACCATGTACTGTACATTTAAAAAACCTTTTGAAGAGGAAAGAGTAAACCATTAGGAACATTAATTGTCGTGATGCTAAGACAATGACAAACAAGAGAAGTAGTGACTCTAACCGTGTTGAAGATAAAGGCAAAGAAAAGAGCTCTCAGTCAAACACTAAGAAATAAACTTGGTCTTAACTTGGAAACGGTTAAAAGGATTTGGTGATTAACATGTGAGTTATACCTTAAGAGACGAAACTGACCCAGTTAAATATTGAATTCAATGAATGCAGAGATGAAGATGTCGAGAATGAACTGAGACAGACAATGGATGTATCAGCAGTTTATTAAGTGGAGCGATACAAGCTGTGATGTTAAATGTACCCACAATATGATAAGGGGAATTATACAAGCAAGTCACAGTGTTCAGGAAAGAGACATGTAACATGTGATAAGTGTACCAGCAGGTCTTCAAATCAGTGTTCTCTTGTTACATAGTGAATCCATGGATGCTGATAAACACAACGAACCAATATGAGACAAAAGTTAACCCTTAACTCCTGTGAGTGACCAAGACAAAATTTCTCCTTACTAAATCCATACAATATCAAGCAGAGTGATGAGAATAAAGAAAAATATCAATTGGGGGATTACTAATTGATTCAATACCAAATTCTTCAAACTAACATAATGAGAATCATTTGGCAGACAGTAAGGAGAATTACTAATGAGATCTTGAGAGTGAAAGGGTTAACTAAACTAATAATTGACTCAAAATATTAACGGTAAATTGTTAGAACCCAAGAGTGAGTTCATCATGCTGTCTGATTGTCTAAGTGAGGGTAATGTTATCTAAGACCAGGACACAACTTCTCCTTACAATATCAATACAACTTCACACCAACAAGTGATGAGAATTAAGAAAATATCAATTAGGGGATCATTAGTTGATCCAATACCAAAATCTCCAAACAGAAGAATTGTATGGCAGACGGCAGGGAGAATAACTAATAGGGTGAGGCAGAAATCCTAATCAGACTTTCCCTGATGATAGATTTCTACTCAGTCTACTACCAGTAAACTCTGTGAAAGTCACCAGCAACCATTTCAGAGGCCTGGGCAGTCAGACTACATGATGAACTCCAAGTGATAAGCAAAATAGAAGTAGTGCAGTAATAAATCAAAAGACTATGAACAACTGATTACCAAAATGACTTCAAAACACATGCACTCAATGTTGGGCTTCTGATAAAAAAAAAAAAAGTCAGTTTGAAATAATGACACAGGCAAAAAACTGAATAAAAGTTGAAGTTAAAACTTTGCAAAACTACTTGCCATGAGGAAAATGGTTCATGCACACCCCTATGAAATATTGAAGTCAGAAAGGATTAAAAAAAAAAAAAAAAAAGATACTTGACTAAAAATTTTTGAGGTAAGAGGTAAAACATCTGACTGCAAGAATGCCAAGGGTCAGTCATGGGTTGTCCATTATATCAAGTTCCATGTTGAGACAAATGCCTCCACTACAGTTGCAGAGACAAAGATATAATTAGGGAGAAAAATATATCTGTAAGTGGTCCAATCAACAGGTAGAGTCTGTCTCAATTTCCTCAGTTGTGTATGCTTATAAAACAAGGAGAGTTATGGATGACACAAGTCAGATGAGGCTCTTTTTCACCACTCTTCAATTGCAAAAGAAAGCACAAACCCACAAAGACCTCTTTTTTTTCCTTGCAGTACAGAAGCTTTAGTTGGTTCCAAAAAATAAACAAATCTTAATTTTTAATATGTGCTAGTAATCTTATGGTATTGTATAGGTACTGCAATCTTTAAATTAATAACAATAATCATTCAAGTTAAAAAAAAAAGGTTCCAAAGTAAGCCAGATGGATTAAAAACTAACATACATCCTTTCTAGATTTCATCAGTACAGCCACTGTGCAAAAACTGACTTCCACTTCCTCACAGCAGTAAAGGTTTAATTTAAGCTAGCTATTTCTTGTGTGAAAGCATAGTGAGGAGTGGCCTTTGCTCTTGGCCAAGAATTCCCTGTTAAAGCTTTAGCTGGGGAGTTGCATAGTGTCTCTGGGGAAGTAAAATGGGTGTGGACAAACCACTTGGGAAACAGAATGGATGGGAGAAGCAATACTCCCAGCTGTGATAAGCTTGTGCTGTGGGCTGCCACTGGGCTCCAGAGTAGAATTAAATGTTTTTGTATCTCTACAGATGAATCAATGGCCATTTATCAGTGGTGTTAAGTGGCTGAATTACCAGATGAGTTCTTTTTAATGTTAGATTGTTCTTTGATTCGACAAAAGCATACTGCACAAAAAGACTGATCCCAACCATCCAACACTAGTCATCAATGAGTAACTATCTGTTGGCTTGCTGACATTAAAATAATAAAATACACAAAGGTTGTGCAGCTAAAACTTGCTGGTGAAGTCTCTATTGTGAAATCTTCCAAGGAACCCAAAGGCTGGCTACATAGAAAAGTAACCTTACATGTAATTCTGTACCATGATATAGCTCTCTTTCATTCATATTAATGACAAATTAAGTGTAGAGCTTCAATTTGGATTCTAAAGTACTTAAAATGTACCACCTCGCCTAATTGTGAAGCTGCAGTACCCAATATCATTTTCAACTATGACCACATCCACACGTATCTGCCTTTCTTCAATGACACAAATTATTCGCCAGACTTGCCTTCTGCCTACATCAAGTATCAGAAACCTCTCTTCTAAAGTATTTTCCAGTGAACAGATCCTGAAAATGCTGTAATAATGCAATTACTAGAGTTGAAGGGAAAAAAGGGCCTTAAACAAATTGACAGCACACATGTTTAGGTGCTTCATTTTAAACTATTGCTGACTTGGCAACTGTTCCATATTAGCTTACAACAATAATAGCAGTGTTTTCAGTCCCTTCACTTTGAAAGTTTACATTCTTTTTTCAACAAATTAGTAAAATTTCAATTAAAGATTTTCAATGAACAAGGGATACCAGCAGATGAGGTCTTAGTTGTGACTCGAGTATCTACCTTCCAAAATGACGAAGAAATTGAGAATTTGTACCTGCTACATGTAACCAAGCACGAAATTATCATGATAAAACCTACCTTTCATTTTAAAATTGGTTTAAATACCATTTACTTTTCTTAATTTCACCTCAAGGGCAATAAAAGGCTCACAATTTCAAAATGTCTCCTGCAAGCCAAGATTCAATCTGTACTGACTGGCAGATAAATAATTCAATACCTAACTTAAAAAATCACTAATTACAGATTGGCCTCTAACAATGCCAGTGTGTGACCTCCTGAGAACTCAACTGAAGGACTTTTCACTAATTTTTTTTTTACATCTAATAATACTAGTTTAGGACTTTCACTTCTCTGTGAATATCTCTATTCAAACTGACGAGAATAGCATAAATTTGGAAATGAGCAATTAATACTGTATAAGTTACAGAAGATATTCAATAATAATAATAATTATTATTAATCCACTAACCTAAGTTTTAAATAATGATAAATTATCTATCATTATTCAGTTCTGTACAAAGTTTAGCCTGACCGAGCCACCAGAGCCTTTTTTCCAGTGGTGGATAAGCTTCGAATTTCACAACACAAAATATGGTATAGCATAAATGAATAAATGTGAATTTCACCCAAAATGAAATTATAATGTACCGTACAGTGCATTTGTAAACAAATAATGGAAGTTCCCTTAAGAAAAGTGGCTAATCATTGATGTAATGAAAAATCACACAGAAAATTAGGAAATGTGTGTTTTAGGTTCCATTAATTGGATTAAAATTTATGTACTCCACACCAATAAAAAAAAAACAATTGATTTTCCATGGTGGTGGATGATGTTTTTTAATTGTTTCTCCATGGACCAGCTTGAAATTGCATACATGTATATGTTGCTGTTACATTATTATTAAAATGATAATGATAATAATAAAAATAATAATAATAATAATAATAATACTACTAATAATAATTACAATAATAATAACATTTAAAGATGTCACCAGCACAAACACCATGTCACAATAAGAGCCCACATTTCGAAACTATTAATTAAAACCAGTCAGTGTGTGTGTGTATGTGTGTGTGTAGGGCTAGAGATGCAGAGGGCAGGATAAATTCTGTGACTGCATGGCGGTTATGAATGCTGTCCTAAAAGCCTCTCTGCTTCTACTTGTTGGAGTCGTTGCGTGATCAAAAAATGAGCAGTCTGTGCGCAATTGAAATCACCAGTAATAACAACTTTCCTATTGTTAGTGCCAGGAATGAATTCTCCTTTTTGTGATACCTGTATCTTGGCTCCACTATATTGCATGATTTCATTGATAGTTTTGCCCTGTTTACCGAGGACTGCACCGATCAGCTCATCTGGCACAGTCAGCTCCAAGGTTGCGGTTGATTGTATCTGTGAACCAGATGTTGATAGTCCCAGAGGTCCCAGATTTCCCATCGCGTTGAGGAGAGGGTTATTTGCTCCCAGCCCACCCCCACTTAGTAAAGCTGCATGGGCTAATATGCTATTAGCTGCAGCACTATTACCTGTACCCCCTGAGTTGGCAAACCCCAGTCCACCCAACCCAGAACCTGAAAGGCCCCCACCACCAAAGGCATTAAAACCAGCAGCATTTCCATTTGAGAGTTTGTGAGCATTGTTGGATGAAAGACTAGAGTAGAAAATGTTGTTGTTCAATGCATGTTCAGGGTCCTCTTGTACTTTTGCTGCTATAACTGTGCAAGCCGCCTGCACTTGCTCTAGAGTTCCAGAGACACCGATAACTCTCTCGCCAGGCACCGAGTCGGCATTTTTCTGACTTACTTGTATCCTAGCACCAGTTTGATCACTTATGTATTTGATAGTTGCACCACTCTTACCAATAATAAGTCCTGCCGTAGAGTTGGGTATCACAATTTTCATCTGCTTGGCACGCTCCTTGTCGTATGTCATGGCTGGATTTAGTTTCATTGCTGGCGGCTCTTGCCTGATCTTTTCAATAACAAAATTTAACATTTTGTTAATTGTTTCCACTTCCCCCATTATGAGACCAACTCTCTCCTGTGTTCCAGGATAGTAATCATTGTTGGGTGACAGTTTGATTCTAGCTCCTGTTTGCTGTTGAACTTCAGCAATGTTGGCCCCTCCTTTACCAATAATTGAACCAGCTGCATAGTTTGGAATGAGAATTTTTATGATAGGTGTTTTGGCAGCTGTGAAAAAAAAAAAAATTAAATTAAATTTCCATTCCAGTTGCTAAATGTAATTCTAGCCCAAGAAGAAAAAAAAAAACACAAACCAAAACCTAAGGGTATTAATGATAGGATTGATGACACCGACAAAGATAACAGTGTAATATATAACAAAAAACACTTCAAGCAGCAGTCACAGGCGATTCACCATGTCACTTCTCCACACACACATACGCAGTATCAAGCAAGCATATGATAAGAATATGAAAGAAACTCATAACAGAGGGCTACAATCTTGTCAGATGCTAAGTCTTAAAAACTCATTTTTAAGGAAATTTAATTCAATAAAAAAGAAAATTTGTCATTAGAATTTGCAAGATTAAAGTTAAAACACATTCTTTTAAAAAAAATTTTTAACCATTTGTACAATAAGACAAAGAAATTATGTACAAGGACATATATTTCCATTAAAGAGAACAAATATCACTGTGCATTAGGATAATTCTATTCCTAGCAGTAAGTAGACAAAATACAACTATTATCACGTTTTAGACAGGAAGTAAATAGCTGAGAGCAATTCAATTGAGTCAAGAACACAACCTTCCATCTATCAGTTAATTTTTATCTTCCTTCAAATTTTACTTGATTACAAAATTAACACAGCTATCAATCTCTATCGAGGAAGTCATTCCTAGATGTACAGTATAAATTCAATTGATGTCAAAGGAAACCTATCCCTGTTAAAATGGATCCACAGCATAATTAAATTCTACTATCAAACCTCCATGTCAAAGTATAGAAATGCTGATGACAAAACAACCATTCCATCAGAAACAATAAAGTCAAATTTCCAGAGATGACACCAAAAATTTTCTTTGAAGCTTGTAGTTAGAGAAACTGAATAACTTGACATATGTGCCCACAAAGCAGATTAAATTCAACCAAAATTTAATGCAACAATGTTCTCAATTTCCGCTACAAAGGGCAATGATGTCAGATAAGACCCCAAGAAGTTTCCAGAATGTGCACCGGCTTGCAGCTTGGGAATACACAGCACTATTCAAGGTGGAAACATTTGTTGCAAAACATCACACACAAACCAAGATAAAAAAAAAACAATGCAAACACCAAATTTAAGTTAAATGTTTGCTTATAGGCACTGGAATACAAATATTACCTACAACAACAATACACCGTGTTAAGCTAAATATATTTCAAGAATCAAAGGTCACTCAACAAATATTTGAGCTCATTGTTTCTTGAAGCACAAAAAATTTGCACAAACATTAAAATGGCAATAATTACTCAAATCAAGTTGGAATGTATCAAGGAGAACAAATATTATGATGATGAAACTGATCTACTTTCTTCTGTCTTACATGCAAAAAAAATGCACGAAATGCTCCCAGCATGTTGTCATTATGCAAGCTGGCAGGTCACACTAATAGAGAAAAAAAAATACTGGGAATTTCAGCCAGAATAGAAAATATATAGCTGTATCAAAAGCCACAAACAGTTTTAATGCAGTTTGTAATTAAGTTACCAAACAAAAGAATTAAATGGGCAAAGGGGGAAGTTTGAAGTCACAGGTAAAATGTTATCACTGGCACCTCTTTGAAACTTGCACATTATTTAATCAAGGTGTTTTCTGGTGCCGCAATGCTTCGAAGGGTCAAAATGAAAACAAAATTAATATCACATGGCCATAGAGTCAGGAGTGGAACAATTGTCATTGTCTGAAATATTGTGAATCAACAGGGTTGAATAGAGAGACACATTAGTGAATCTGTCTTCACTAGTAAATAAATTCGAAACTGCAATGGAATTTGCCTCAACAAAATTGTCATTACCATGATGATTCAGTGCTAGACTGATGCTAAAATGAAATAAGGATTTCTCAAGAAACCACCAAACTTAAGAGGAAAGCAAAAACTAAATAAAATTAATAGTTGTAAGTGTTGGAATTATTGATTACTGATTTTTAAAGATGAAGGAACGTAGAAAGTTAACTGTCTGAAAAGGCACTTATGTGGCACTTATTGTAAGTCAAGGCATTTTGTGAGTGCTCACCAAAAGATCTGAACATGATTATGACGAAAAGCAAGCCTATTGGAAATTAAACCCTCTTGATTTAAAGAACAGGGGATCAACTCAGATCTATTGATCACAAAATCTTGTTCATTCCACTCAGTCAGCAGAACGGCAAAACAGTGGGTGAATGCCACAGCATTTTTTTCTGTCTTCAATAGATAATTAACAATGATCTCAATCAAAAGAATATAAAAATCCGAATGCAATATTCACCTTTCAAACTCCAGCCCATGTGATACATCGTTGCAGTTAAGGAGAAGGGAAATTCATGTAAAAAATGTCAACACACACGACGGTCAGTTGCACGATGAGCACCGGGTGATGGCCAAATGAAATGCTTGACCTCTGGTTGAGTACCACACGACTAAACACAAGCAAATGACAGCCGCAGACAAAAAGAGCTTTTCATAATGACCACCTGTGTTTCATGATTAACAGAAGAAGAAAATATTCGTCTATTTTACAACAATGCCCGAATTACTGTTCCCTTATGAATGGTTGCAAACTAGCTTTCTGGCAGAAAAATCGCGGTTTTTCGAAGGAAATTACCTCCAGACTTTCAAACTTTTTGCATGATCGACTCCGCATTAAAATTCTTAGCAAGTGTCAAGTAATTCACTGCATGCATTGAATTGTTTCGCTTTTTTTGTTTGATAAAACATTGTTCATTCCATTTCACAGGGATCAAATTACAAAAGAAACGTTATTTCATCACCATGAACATTTACAATTACACTAGACAGCGAGTTTCGAACGAACGAAAGTTACTAGATCGACCCGTTTCCTATCTCAACAACAAAACAATCTTATTATTTATATTCTTGACAAAAACACCGGTTATATTTGGTCCTTAATTTAATATTCGAATGAACAAAAGATTTTGCTTTCAGGGTCTGAAATGAACTCGATTAGAAATCAAAAATCAAGAAGATTAGGGCAAAAAAGATTGCGATCATAACCAGATGAGGTTGGACAACGCCGTAATCTAGTCTCCAAAGCATGAAACATGTACATGCATGCTCGTATATTCTTCTGTTGTTTCGCTTTAATCATATTAACCGCTGAAAAATGTCATCTCCTGGCATAATTTTGAAGGTACCATGGAAAATGTGTTGCGGTTTTCAAAAATGCAAAACCATGAATACAAATGTGACATTTTCTCAAAAAAAAAAAACTCGAATACGCGTGGCGACATGGAACTACTTCCTTCTTTAAAATATCAACATATAAATGTCCACTTAGATATTCTATTATACAACCAGGCATAAAAAAGAGACATAGCTTTATATTTCGCCGACCGCCTTGGTAAATCAATTATTGATCGGCCGGTGTTATTATAAAGTTATATATGAAAGAGTCAGTTGCTTACAACTGCGGTCAAATCGCATAATTACAAAGTTGAATTTCTGCGAACATCTGACGACAAAAGCGAAGCTGACTTGAATTTCCAATTCCGTAGCCGTTCAGCTTAATATATCCGAAACAAACATAGCTGATTGCACCTTCGAAATAAAATGCACCCAGTTTGAACGATGTAAACTCCGCTCTGAAGGATTGTTTATATCTCCCCACCCGTAGCCGCGAGAAAAACAGACCAATTTTACGAGTATAAATTCTCAATTTTTTCCCCATTTTTTAACATTCCTAGCGCTCATTGCATTTTACAAAGTCGCGACTATTCACATGGCCATTCGCTTTTATTTCCCTGGTTCGCAAAGCCCGCCTGATAAATGACAGATGCTACGGCGCAAACATATGAGCGTTACCACGCACAAAAGCATCACAACAAAGCCGTCAAAAAAAGTACGAATCTCCACACACTGCCGAGCAAAGATACACTGACACGTACCTCCAAGGTTTGACCTTTTAAAAGACGGTCTACCCTCTCCAGCGCCATCCAGAGGCCTTTTTTTCGAGTCGCTTGTGCTCAAATCTACTCCGCTATCGCCTGTACTGTACTGATCCGCCATGTTGAAAAGTGCCATGTGGAAGCGACTCCCAGGATACCTAGCGGTCGATAAGCGTAAATTCTCCAGGTTTATCTGATAAAGAAAATTTTATAGCAGGTTTCGCATTGATCGCCAACCGATTCTTAACACTAAAAAACCTGCACAAGAGCAAATTCTTTGCGTGATTAAGCTTAAGTTATCGCTAACTAAGCCAAGAAATAAATGCCACAGATTTCTCGTCTTTTTCATACGTACTGACGTCAAAAAGAAAAACATTTGTGTACATACCGAGGCTTAATGGTAAAGAACATGAAAGAGTGTTTGCCTTTTGTAAACAGAAAAGTAAATACTAATTTCACTCTATAGCATATAATTGTTTTCTTTTCCTAAGCCCTGTTTTTGATCAGAGACATTTAAATGACAAAAGTTATTTTAGTGCATAATTGTTCTGCTAAAGTTGTGAAGTGGAAGATGCGAACCCAGAATGCTTTTAATTGTTCGATTGCAAAGGCGGTGAGCGTAAGTGAAAACTCAACACAAATGTCAAGAAATATAAAAAAGCAAACAAGCACCTCTAAAATGAAATAAATACTTGGATTCCTAGAATGATTTGTCACGGCTCTCAAATTCCAAGTCGAGGTAACGAATCCACCTTAAAATCCTGTGGTTGTTGACACGGTAAATGTGGGTAGACGAGCCTCTATTGACAGTGTCAGGAACAGTGATTTGTGATTAAAAAAGATTGCTTGGGTTTCACTTGTGCGGCCCATAACTAATCCTAACCCCCTCCCATTTCCATCTAACCGCTCTCATTGAATAAATATTTGACGAGTACTAAAAAAGTGAATAATTTTGGTATTAGAATTAAGTGAATTTCGGCGCGGAATTCTCTTAGCGATCTGAGAAAACTTGCTACAGGTCAATTCATTTTCGGGCTGGCCTGTCAAGTGCAAGACAAACACGTGTTGGGTTCAAATGTTTTACGACACGAAGAGTAAACAAGGTGTGTTAAGAAGGGATTGCCACCTGAAGTGGCAGATGAATTAGTAAAGAAAAAGGGTGGAAATGGCTACACAGAGAGATCTATTATCTTTGAAGCACTTTATTTATTCATTTTTCACGCCACAAATACGAAAAGGATTCATGGAAATCAGATCTTTGTGGATCACATTGAAATAAAGGCTACCGAAACTGAGAGAGAGGCTTTTTAAAAGGCCTTTGAACAAGACATTAGCTGTAAGCAAAGTAAAAAAATCGCTTGGATGAAAATGTAAATTCGATTATTTGGAGGAAATTTGAATAAATATAATCAAAGTTATTTGTATCAGTGGAGTTTCTTTAAATAGAAAAGTTATGCGCTTAACAGATCTAGATTTCCAGAACGTACTGTTTGAACGTCGATGTTTTAAAAGCGAAATTTTAAATACTTGTTGTCTTTATCTGATTTCTACACAGCTGTTAACTGTATTCAACTTTCCCTCGTTAACCGACGGAGCCGAAACGAATATTGATGAATTTAATTACATTGATTCATATCTTACCAATTAAAATCCCTTTGACAAGGAATATGAATGCAATTATAATGATTCTCACAACGTCAAAAAAGACCTGTTCTATTTTCTCGTAAGTGCTGTAAAACCTTTCATCGGAGAATCTTTAATGGCATATATATACACGAAGTCTATCTACATGATTAATTTAACTGGCGTCAGCTCTTTTCAAGATAACAGTAATAATAAGAATTTTTTTTCCTGCCATAAAATCACACTAAATCGCAAAACGTGCTTTACTCACTCCAGTTGCTTAAATCATGACAACAACTAATCGGAGCATCAGTTTCCAACGCCACTAATAATTTACAACAAAAAATGTGAGTGCTTTGAGCTCCCGCTGGTTAGTTTGGTCGGCCTAAAACAACATTATTCAAACTTTTTTTTATAAACATCTCCGAACAAGAATGTTTTTAAGAAATAATTTTATTAACTAGATAAATTCGGCGGCTTCAAGAATTTTTGAAGTGCCTAAAGATACTAAAAGTATAGAGCAATACTACTTTGCAAAGAAAACATGTATTGTCACGGGCTGTCTTTAAAAACTAAGAACCAATTCATTTATTTTTTAGCTTCCTGTTTAAGCAATGGTTTTTAGATGATGAAATAAATTTATAGTGGCATGTCCATTGGCACGTCTTCTTAAGCCAAATTTAAATTTGGAGTGTTAGTTACGAAAACAGAAGAACCTGAAGAAAATTGTCGAAGCGCGGACTGGCCAAAAACCCACAAACACAAACAAAACAAAACAAACCATTAATTAACCCAGGAGCATTTGGGGAAGAAAATAAAGAAGCATGCGGAAGAGATCGGGGGAACAGTCAACCTTTCCTGTCATGCTCTGATTGCCCGCAGGTTGGCGCGTCGTTGAAATAAAAAGAACACATGATCACCCCTTGCTGTCTTGATAGAGGACTGAGCCAAAAAATTCTCGCCGGGGTAGAAGTCTCAAATCGTCAGCCGATCCTGAATTTCACTACTAAAAGAAGATTGATATCGTAAGAAAATGGATTCAAATCCGATTGGTCCTTACTGTTTCTGTTGCAGGGGCATGGGAACTAATCGGAACCATTTTTGAGAAATCGACGCTTAAAGATGATTTTTTTCGAAATTTGTTAGACACCGGAAACAGATAATGCCTCTGATGACACTTGCGCGACCACTGGGGAGATAAATTAGATCTCTGCTGATGCTCGTCTTCCCGGCAATGTGATGTAGAGCGAAATAACCGGCTGCCTTTAATTTGCACCTGTTCAGGTCCAAGTCTTCAGTTATTTCTGTTTCAAACAATCAAGCTAATAAGTCCTATTATTCAATCTCCAATGACCGCTGAAAACCAGAACCACTAAATATTAAACAAATAGGACATTCACGCCAGCAAAGACCTTCATTTGGAAATCTTACAAGGCCAAGCATAACTTGAGGTTTATATGTCCTGTTTTAAATTACAGTGTTTCCGTGCGAAGTGTAATGTAGCTTTATTCAATCTGGTTGGATTATTGAAGTTTCATTCGCTGTTATTAGCCAGATGACTTGCTTTGTTTAACAGTCACCAGCCCCTTAGAAATCAAGTTCAGCTTTTCAATAACATTACCAGTAAAAGAATGAAGTTTAAATGAACTTCAAATCATCGTAGATGGGGTTGTTCCAATGTGTATGAGCCCATAACTCCCAAAATCTCATTAGTAATTCTCCTTTCTGTCTGCTATACAATTCTTGTGATGTTAGTTTGGAGAATTTGGTATTGGATCATCTTCTAATCCCCTAATTGATATTTTTCTTTATTCTCATCACTTGTCTGCTTGATATTGTATTAATATTGTAAGGAGAAATTCTGTCTTGGTCACTTATAGGAGGTAAAGGGCTAAGTAACCAATGGTGTAAGATAACTAACCCTGAAGGTGTGTTGTTTTCAACTTTATGACGAGGAGGGCTTTGAGTGTTACGGCTTGCCATGCCAGTTTTGATCATTTTATTTATAATCGGTTTTCACTCATTCCACAAATGTTTTTTTCAACCGCGCTATTTTCAGTCTTCTCTTTTTGGACATAGCTTCAGTCATTGCAGTTTTTCGGTTCTATAGTCAATCGCCTGTCTGTCGCCAAGATCCTCTCTTTTTTCAATGACCCCGATTTGCATCATTGTTCTCCACGGTTTTTCAGTTTGGGGAAATTTTCGCTTTCGATGGAAATTTGGGCTAGTTTCCCAGTTGCTGATGCCATTCGCGATGACCAGAGATAACCAGAGATAAGGAAGTCAGATGTGAAAAAAAAAAGAAATTTCAAACACGCAACAGCAAACGATAACAAGAGGCAGCATTTTTTGTCTTTTATTTTGAGGAATCGTGTGCTTTTGCGAAGACGCCTGTTCCCTCTTTCTTAGCTCCTCTCTCGAGGAATCTTATGTAAATAAATCTAGGTAGCCCAAGACAAAGACGTCTTTCATAAAAAGAAGACAAAAGCAAAACACTAAAAACAGCAACAATTTACCATACGAATCCCAATTCCCTCTAATGAAACCTAACGCATGACCGTTGATGGCAATTTGTTAACCCTTTCACTCCCTAGATCTCATTAGTAATTCTCCTTACTGTCTGCCATACAGTTCTAGTGATGTTGGTTTGGAGAATGTGGTATTGGATCAACTTCTATTCCTAAATTTCTATTTTTCTTTATTCTCATCACTTGTCTGCTTGATATTGTATTGACATTGTAAAGAGAAATTGTGTCTTGGTCACTAATGGGAGTTAAAGGGTTAACTCTTCAGTTCCCAAGATCTGATTATTGATTCTCCCCTCGAGCTACTTCACATTTCCTTATAAATAAGTTGCGAGAATTTGTTGTTAGATCAAGATAACAACTTCTCTCTGATAACTTAGAGTATTCTCATTACCTGTTATATCATAGGGAGAACTTAAAGATCACTTCTGGGAGTTGCAGGGTTAAGAAACACTTACCTTACCAATAACTAACAAGCTCTAGTGTGGCACTTGAACAGTAACTTAACTAACTTCTTCTAATTCATTTAAAACAAGTTTAGTAATTTTAAGTATTTTCTTAAATCTTTTCCCTTATATTAGAGGCAGGGTAAACCAACACGTTAAATTCACCATCCGTATTTGTACTTGAAGTTTAACTTGAGCAGATATTTGATGTTAATTTGACCAACATCGTACACGATATACCTAACATCAGGTTAAGGATCGTAACATGGACATCATAGAAATAAAAAGTTTCTCCATCTTTCTTTATGAAGAGGCTCAAGACATGATGAAAGACTTAAAATTTGCTTGAAATTTCTATTTTTTCTTGATTTATTTGAATTGTGTCAATTTTCTCTGACTCGAAGTGAAATTTCCTGAATTTTCCTGACCTTGAAAAATTGTATTTTTCCCTGACTTTTACCTAACCTGTGGCAACCATGAGCAATTGAATGTAGAATGTAAACGTGGATTGCATTGTTTTTTCCTATTTCGCTCAGTGATTGGTCCATATAACTCGTACCATCCTCTCAATCAATCACATGCAAAACGAAAACCAAAGGCGACTGGGTCAGTCTCTTTTTATTTTGTTTTTGGCTTTGCGCCACTCAATCCAAATAGCTCTAATTCCAATTTTTACCTTGAAGATAAAAGGATACTCATTGTAGAGGAGGCTGGAGTCGTTAAAATTTGTGTTACATCCTTTGCCAACGGGAACAATCGTGCCATCCTCTAAGGTGACGTCCGCAGAAGGGTCGGGTCCAGTCTTACCGCACCCTAAAAATAAAATGTTCCTGTTTTCGGCGGTGAACGTTTCAACGACTTAGGAAGGATCTATTTCTCCACGAGAAGCCTGTATTATCCCATTTGGCCAGAAGAAAGAGAACGTCGAACTTAAACTGGTCCACCGCAATTGTAACTGGTGCAAACTTCTCGATCAGTGTTAAGCGCGGAATAAGATGCATGCAACGTTAAGAGCGGGAAAAGACGCAGCCGGCGTCAACCGCGTAAGAGGATGCAAGTTGGTTCAAACGCGGGAAAAAAACAGAACCAGCGTCAACCGCGAAAGAGGATGCAAGTTGGTTCAAGCGCGGGAAAAAAAGGAACCGGACAAAGAGCGATAAAGAATGCAACTTGGGTCAAATACGGGAAAGACTGAACCGGCGTTAAGCCCGGGAGAGGATGCAAGTCGGGTCTGGCGCGGGAAAAGAAAGAACGCCATTGAGCGCGGAAAATGATGCAAGTATTTTCCAGCGTGGGAAAAGACGTAACCGGCGCCACGCGTAGGAAAAGATGCAAGGAGCTTAAACCGGTGAAAAAGACGCAACCAGTTTCGAGCTAAAAGGAGGTAAGTGAAGTAAAGCGCGGGAAAAGATGCAACAGGTGCTAAACAAGAAAATGCACACAGAGTCCGGCGCGGAAAAACAAACAACCATTGCTATGGGCTGGCAAGCAGCCCGAGAAACGATGCCACCCGTTCCACGCAAAACTTACGATAAGCACAAGATAAAGGCTCCGTTAAGAACAAGAATGTAGTTCGACAAAGTAGACGTTGCGTTTCAACGAATGGGGATGCAGCTAAACGTTTTGTAGTCATGCAGCTAGTAGCCGGAAAATGTCCTACTTGTTTGTGATTAAAAAAAACAAAAAAAAACAGAAAAAACTGTTCGGGGCAAATGTGCCAGTGGATTTCACGAACCTTTAACGCTGTGCTTCCCTTTGGGAGGTTTTGATATGTAGCTTGCCCCGGTTAATTCGTGCCTGTGGGTGAGAAGACAATGTTTTACTTCAACAAAATGCTTAGATTCTTTTCTCTACATTTCTCAATACCGATAGTATTATTGGAAACTTACATATTTCCTAAAGCAACCTCGCACAGCATCATTAGGCCAATGTTGTCAGAAGGTGTGGTTCGACAGTAGTTTGCTGACTGGAGAAAGCAAGAAAGCAACAATACAAATATAACGTCAAGAGCCGAAAGTAGAACTCGCGAATATCTTATTTCACTCTACCATGCACCTTCTAGTACAATCTATGATTCTTGCATGACTTAATGCGCTGAAATCGAAACACGGTGAGTGTGTTTCACCCTCGTAGAACCGAAAAACTGATTTCCACGCTTTAAAAACCAGACAGTTTTTCTTTCAAAAGAAGACAGAGTTAATTAGTTAACGATTCGTACAGGTCTATGCGTCTCTACCTCTCTAGGTCTTTACCAAAGGGCGTGGCAGTTCTTTGATCAATCTTATTCAACTGAACGCTTTGAAATAGAACGAATTATAAAGCTGCTGTTTTTTCCGACCAACTAGTAACTGGAATTTTTTATCCATAATCATCTCGACAGTTTCTGAAGGAATCCATACATTCCCGATTGCTGCGTGGTAAACCGACATACCCCAGAAACTATTAGTTCGAGTTTGAGCGATTTGTGGTTTACGGTGATCGATTTTGAAACGTCAACTAATGAGAAATTAATGCGTAAATAATTAGTCATAATTCTTTCTCACAAATGCACTAACCTTGGACACCATATCTGTCAATAAAAGAAAGAACCGGAAAATACTTTGTTACTTTGTGATACCTTGAAACAGTCGTATACTAACTGTGCTACGTGCTCACATTAAAAAGAAAAAAATAAAATAAACGTGACCACGAAAAACAACTTAAAAAGAAACAGAAACAGACAAATTAAGATCATGCAGCTGCAAGAAATTCTCCATAAATTAGAATTTTGCGGTTTTTCTATAAATTTTGAAATTCTGCCTCGTAGTCATAACTGTTTTCTTATTCGCCAAGGCCAAAAGATAAAGCAAACTCTCCCAGCATCTATCAAAACAACCTATTTAAAAAAAAAACCATAACGCAGATAACACGATAACAAGTTTGAGACATACCAGCAAAGTAAACGCCTTTCCCAAACATATAACCTGTCTGAAAACGTCGAGAAAATATGACAAATTATTACCAAGATCTCAGTTGAATAATCAATCTCAACATTTCTCAAATTTTAAGCTACCTGCGGGGCAAATGGAACCCACAAGAAACTCACCACTGGGGCCTCAGGTGGAGCGATCCTGAGCCCTTGAGATAAAATGCCAGCGTAGTTTGTGTTGCGAGACCCGTGCCACAACAAGCGGCGATTGTGTAGTTCCTTGAAAGGCTGGAATCGTTCCTTCTCGCCATGACGATTTACCTTGAAAACCTGATGGAAAAAACAAATTTTCCACCTTATATTTCACTTCAAAGAAATTCAACTTTTTTCCTTGAACGCCGAGCTTGAGAGATTTTTAACACGATTTGCATAACTGGATTATCCTCACGTCGCTTTGTGAAGGAGCGCCGTTTAATTTAACCTGTCTCTTCTCCTTTTCTTTGACACATATTAAAGGTGGTTTCGAACAATTACAAGCTCTTTAAATGAACGAAACAACAAACAAATGTACTATATGTATAGTCAGTTTTTAACTATAGCGCATGAAAAATGCAATTAAAACGAAGTGAACATTATCTTACCTCAAGTATTTCAAGTTCGTACTGTTGGTGTGTCTCAGCATGAGTATTTTTGACGTACTCGTCAATCAAAGAAAACTCCTTACCATCTTTAGATAGAACCTGAAAAAAAAAACAAACCCTTTAATACCCTTTAAAATAAGACGACCCGGGGAACAGATCCAATGAACATAGCTTTGTTGCATGACAGAATAACCTAATGTAAAGCGACTAATTTGCAGCCCTCCTCAAACCGGCGTTACAATTAGCCTGTGAAGTCCGCGATTTAGAGAACTCTTTGGAGCGTTTTTCTTGGCGGAGCTGCCGAGGGATTGGGACGGAAAATATTGACCTCCGCTACACGTGTTAGCAGCTGCACTGACTTCATCGTCATCGATCGCCCAAATTAACCCCCCCATACGGACTAACAATGAATGGCAAGTGAGGAATTATAATTTGCTTATCTACACAAAGCCAAGAACTAAAGACCTTGAGTTTAAGAGTAACGAAATCATGCTCAAGGTGCTGGTTAGGGTGTTGGTTTGGGGGATGGCCGAAATCCGTGAAACCCGGATAAACCTCGCAGCAAAAACGAGAAACAACAGCTTGAATAAACTTAACCACATGTGACATCAGTACTGAGAAGAGAACCCAGAGGTCACAGCGCGGTGTGATTGCTCAAAAATATATTAATGATATTTGAAATAACTTTTTCACCTCTAAATCAGTTTTTAATTTTTCATAATTGACGTCCAAAGGATCCTTGGCCAAGTCCTCATCACCACTCTTTAACAGACTATAAGCCACCTCAATATCGAGTAAGTTATCTAACATTCCCACTTTAGCCTTCAGCAAAATAAAAGAAACAACAGTCAGAGCTAACATGAGGGAAACTGGAACACAGTTTTGCCATTCGCTAAAACGCTCAAATCGTCCAGGTGAGTGTGGTCCTGAAAAGGACTCCTTGCGGGAATAGTTACTGAGGTTTCGAACATCTGATCGGAAGTTATTATCAGAGTCAAGTTGAGATTTTTTAACAGTGGGATGTTGCAAGACTGATTCGGAGGAGCTGATTGGCTTTTTTTTTTTTTTACCGCGGTGGTATTAGTCAGTCGAGAATGGTGCCTCATGCGACACTTTACAATTCTGTAGAGAAATTGTGTCCCTTCTCAAAATCATCAGTGCACGAGGCAAAAGCAAAATTTATTAACACCCTTCCCCCAATCGATGCCATCTGACAAGTTACCTCTTTAATTCCTTGCAACAAGGGCTTTTGAAAAAACAGCGAGTTAAAGAAAGTAAATATGAAAAAGCTACGGCTTTGGGCATTCTCCGAGAGAGTGTTAAACTTCTTTGTTAAAAAGTGCTTGGTTCATCTTCTCACACAGGCTGAGACATTTCTGTCATTCCCCAGGGCGGAAGAAAAATCTCAAACATGCGCCCCCCATTTTACCTGAATTAGTTCCAAGTTGTCCAAGAGGGGGGGTTTCTTCATACCAAAGTCGTGCGGGATCAGGGTATAGAATCTATTTGACGCATCCAGAAGAGAATTGCTGCTACCTCCATCTGAAATTAACTGGCAGGAGATAATCAAAAGATTTACTAGTAAGCGAAACCAAATACTCCATTGAAAGCAACATGCTGTAATTTGCACTGCGTACAATCTAGAGAACAACCAGCTTAATTGTTAAATATCGTTCAAACTTTTTAAACATAAAAGATGTCATCCTAAAGTTAAAAAGGCAAAACTAAAATACGGAAGTTGTGAGCAACTGTAAGGAAGCCACGTCATAATGATTTGAATTGGGATTTTGACGTTGGAATTGACTTTAACGGAAGGAAAACTTGAAAGCCTGAGAAAAGTTACTGTCTAGGGAAGGCAAATTCTCTTGACACAAATTGAATGATAATGTCAAGGTTTTAGTAGATTTCAGTGGATTGTAAACAGTGAACTTGAATGTTTTCTTTCATTTTTCAAGTCAATCTGCGCCTTTGCATCTAGGCACTATCAGCGGCAATTATTCAGTTATTGATGGTATACACGTTCACAAAAACACAAGAGAATATATCACTTACTTTCTGCGCCTCTCCCAGAACAGAATACGCACTTTCAATCTGTCGTCTTGTTAGTTTTCCCAATGGCATTTTCTTCAAATCGATCTGAAAGAAAGATAAAAGAACACGTCCATGTTCTATATGTTTCTCACTGCTTTCAAAGCATTCGTCTTAGTTCATCTTGGTGCTCACAGCAGTCCCAAAGTAAAAAAAAAATCAGAATTCTTACTACAGTTAAAATTCTGACTCACTTCGAACTCTACCAGCGTCTTCTTCATGGATTCCACATCGAATATCATTTTAATAAGTTCTTGGACAGGCATAGGTAGCAAGGATTTACTTCCGGCTGCAATGGTTGTCTTTAACTCTTCGTCATCCTGTACAAAAAGGGTAAATAAGTACACAAACCTTAAAAAAGTTCCACCATAACTGTATCAATACGTATTTGCGCCCACTACACACATACTAATCTCGTACCCAAATCTCTCTGGGCAACGGTTTACACACGTACCTGTCCATAGTCAATTTCCAATGGGTAGAACTTATTTGGGTGTTTGACAAAATTCTTTCTATTCAGCCAACTGTTTCCTGCAGGTTACACAGAGACAACACAGCAGAGCAATTTTTCATGTTAATATTTCAATATGTAGACATGTGGAGAAGAGTTGAATGAGAAGTGTACCTGTTTTTTCAGCATAGAGTTCCATGAATTTTTCGATGGCTGACCTTGGCGATCCGCAACGCTAAAAAACACAAATAGTTTCCATTTTCAGTGGAAGAAACAATATCAGTAAATTTGATTGGCTTGCAACATTCACTGTTCTCAAGATTTTGAAATTGTTATTCTAATTTTATTTATATTCATTCAGTTAGATTTCTTTGGGATACGGAGAATAATAATGAAGAATTTGTATGTTAGGAATCAAACAGACCGAGAAACAAGGTGGAATAAAAAAAAAGTTGTGATAGAATTGTTTGGACACAGCATATTGACTGGATTGCTGAGAAGTTCTGCAACCCGCTTGTTTCAGAATCATACCGCAAAAAAATCTAGGATGTCTTTTTGCGCTTAGTCTAGGAGCAGAGCGTCTTTCGATTTGTAAGGGAATCGACTTCATCTTGTAAAAGAGAAAAATTCCAACTTGAAAGTTAACGATCTCAAAGCGGCCTGTAAGTTACTGGATTTACTCAAGAATATGCAAGTTCTGGCAAGATATTTGCCTGACTCACAGCGCGATTTTTTCTGAGAAGAAACATGTTTTGTCGTAAGGAAAATTCAAAGAGTTCAGACGCTTAGTGGCGAACTCCTTGTGTTTCCTGGTGCCCATACTTCATGGAAGGGCTCGAACGTAACAAAAGCCTCGCGGAAGACAGCATCTTCACCAGACTAGTGACAAATGTTACACATATTTCTTTAGGGTTTGCCTTCTTAATAGTTACAAAAGTACCTCTAATTTGTTTCCCCCGATAGTTGTTCCAACTCTTCCCCATGATCGAAAAATATGACAACTGTAACATTCAAAGAGATAAGAAAGCACGTTTAACGAATAGAATCCATTTTGGTGTGCGTCTGTTCAGTGACAGACCACAAATGACGTCAAAATGAAAATTAACTAGCCAATCTAAACAATAAAATAAATGAGGTATACATACGCTTTTCCGTTATCAGCTTGTAAAATTTGCAATTTGTAGTAAGAGTTTGTTCCTCTGACAATGTCCACTAAGCCGAGGGTGGCACTGTAAATGTCTCCTTTCTCCTCTAGCACATGGCACGTATCCTCCATCTCTGAAACACAGAAATCAAAACATTTCCACAACGTATTTCAAGCAACTTGAACTCGGAATACCTTGCAATTCTGGATCAATATCGGTATCTGGGCAACGGCCCACCTACCCCTCCCCTAACCCAACATTCACCCTAACTTGTTATCAATTGACTGTTGTTGGTTTAGGGGAGGGGTAGGTGGGCAGTTGCCCAGATACTGATATTGATCCGCAATTCTCATCATCTTGAACTCGAGGTCACTTCATCGGGAGTGAATTGTCGGTGATTCGGAAATTGTTGTACACAGGTATGTTGTCAAAGTTTGTTATGACAAGGACCGCATGTAAAGTTTACAAAAGCTACACAGCAGTAAAGTACTCCTTACTTGACATTCAGTGTAAATACACGGAATGTGAGAGGGACCGCATTATGATACTTACACGGAGGCTGGAAGACTTGGTGTTACGAATATCCAAAGGTTAATTAATTTCAAGAACTTATGTCCAAATTAAGCTTCCATCCTCACACTCCCAAGATTGACCCACACGTAATTTCTCCTTACCACTCCCATACATTTGCCGAGAATAGAGTGGTGAGAATGAAGAAAAATATTTACTAGGGGAGAATTTATTGATCTAACATCAAAATCTCAAGGCTAAAATTGTAAGAAATGTATGGTGGACAGGAAGGAGAATTGATATTAGGATCTAAGGCGGAAGAGGGGGGAGGGGAACCAAGTCTGGAAGGAGGGAGAGTGGTAAGCTTGACACGAGGGTGTGGCCGGGGATGTCTTTAGTGGAGTGAAAGGAGATGGTCCGAGCCAGAGATAAGTGGGGAACAATTTCACGCAAGCCCTGGGAAAAGGACGTGAGAAAGATCAGCTTTAGAGAGACGCCAGAGATGATGATGATGAGAGGGAGTGATGCTGATTACCTGACTCTGGATCAACTGCTGCTCCACCTTTGACGGCAACCTTCATCTTCTTGGCAGCACCACCACCTGATGAATTTTAGTTAAAAAAATTCAAAATGACAGGCGATATCAAATGAAGCCCTGGTTGAAATCGAGCTATGGTGTTGTAAAGATGTTGTATACACAGTGGTAAAACGTCAGCGCATGTGCGAACGTTATAATGACTTTGAGGCGTGCTTTCAAGTCGTCAGAACCAAGTTGTCTCACACCAATTACAAACAACCACACAGATCGGTAATTTAAGGTGACGACTGCTCTAATCTAACCCAAATAATAAATCACTCTGAGCCTTAAAGAGAATCGATCCAAGCTTTATCTTGCATTATTCAAAAATTGTTGTAGCTGCACTGTTGCACAGTTGCACTAACAGTGAAAATTTGTAAAATGATCATTACCTTCTGAAGCACTTTTCTTTATCTTTGATTTGGCTTCTGATGGAGGAGGAGAACCATCAACCATACTTTTACCCTAGAAAACAAATCAGATGAGGAATAAAATGGAGACATAGATAAAAAAAATAAATAAATGGTTCAGAAATAAATAAATGAACTGATAAAGAGGATTTCAATAGCAATGCCTCCATGTTGTGGCTCTTAGTTCACCATTCCAGGTACCAATTTGAATTTGCAGTATTGATTTTTGTGGTGGAAAGAAAATTAAAGAAACAAGAGAAAATATAAAACTAGAAAAAACGAGAACCATAGCTTAAGAACACAATTTTAAAAGGTGAAATTAAAAGCAGAACAAAAACTCTTTATGCCAGCCATTGATTTCCTAAAAATTTACTAGTTTTAGCAAGGCAGATTTAACAAACTAGTTTAAGATAAACAACAAACTAATATTACCATGAGATCAATTTTAGACAACAGCAAACCTTTTTATCTCCCCATGGTACAATACTGTGTTGTGTGATCATCAGCTTAGCCCCTCCCTTTTTGACAGCATCCAAATATTTTTCACTGACAACTGGCACATTATACTTCTCAGCATCTTTCATCTTTTTACTTTTCTTATCCACCTCAGCTGCAAGAACACAGATTGCATGCATCAAAACCTCAATAGCCTGCAAGCAGTACCACATAGTTAATGCTTCTGCACTGTCAAGTATTTGTTCACCTGTGGGAAAATATGAGGTCTTGATCAAGGTGAGTTGGTCTGCTAGGGGTCTAGCACTATAGTGCCAGACCTCCAGCAAATGTCTCCTTAACTTGTCTCAAATCTTCCTGCGAGCAGAAGAATGTGCTTGCTGAATTACTGATAATGAGTGAGAGCATTCTTGCAGGTTACACCTTCAAGTTGCACTCTGCTAGCAAAATTGTACCTCTAGAGAATAACTATCTTGCTGACCTTGAAAATGTCTTCTTAGTAATGAAATGATGCTGGTAACATTGCAGAGTCAAATTTTCAGCACTGTAATTTTTTTACCTTGAGTGCTAATACAGCAATCCGAAAGGGCATTAACCTTCTCCACCACTGATCCTCCTAGGTCCTCTACTTTCTTAATGATTTTCTCCTTAAAAAAGTGTGTTACAAATAATTGTCAGTGTATTAATATATGCATGTACTTTTATCCCTGAAGTATGAACCAAGTAGCATCAAAAGTCAAATGGTTAGACACTCATCACGTACCTTGCTTTGTTGAAGTCTGCCAATTAAAACAAATTTCATATTGGATAGTGGTTTATCAGATGCTGCTGCAGAAAGTGGAGGAGCCCTGCAATATGATAAAATGGCACCAGTATCAATTGATTTACCCTTTAAATCAGCTATCAAGTTAATTGACCTTCAGTATAAGGCTAAGTCATTGGTTCTACACTAGCTGGCTGATAACTGCTAGATGCTTATCCCAAGATGATAAACCCCACCACTTTCTACAATAACCATTACCCCCAGCATTTTGTCAGTTCTGTTATACCCTCCTCCACTCCTGGAGAGTGGAGAGAGAGAGACTGTAAATAAGGCATCTTGCCCAAGCGCACGATGCAATGATCCAGCTGGGGTTTAGGAACCACACCTATTCACCCCAAGTACAGTGCACTGACAATAAAGCCATAGAATTTCGAACCTCCAAGGATGAGGGGGGAGGGGGGGGAACAGAAGAACAGAATGGTGAGAAAGAAAAACTTCAAAATGAAAGGATAAACAAAGTAGGACAGTGACCTGTTAGGGATGTGGGAGACTGATATTCACTGGATTGGCAGGGGTCTCAATGACTTTTTCCACAAGTGGCTGCCGATAGTGCAATAGGCACCTGTGCCATAAGGTGAAACCCAAACACAAGAGCCAGTGCTTGCATATGGTGGTGAGAGGTGTTACAGGCAGCAATAGACTGCTGTTTACTGGGTTTTTTCAAACCCCTGGATAAAGCCATACTAAATTCATTAGTATGCACAAATCTTGACTTACACCTGGATCCTTTGAGAATTTTTGAGCACAGTGATACAAAAGCTGAGTGACAAAATGTTGTGATTTAAAGTAACACTGAAAAGGGTTGCTAAGACCTTGGCCAGTTCCTCAAAGGTCCTTGTAACTTACGGGCCTGTAAAGCTCCTCTGTTTTTATTCAAGATAGGGGTTTCAAAAGTTTTGAAAATCACAAAATAAAACTATCAGCTCAAGAAACAAGATGGATTGGTTAGAGTGCTATAACCTGCTTCTCTATTCATTAAATTTTGATCTTGAAATATGGCTTTGGGCCAGATAAGTTACTGGGAAGTTTGAGAAATGGGCCCCAAGAGACTCACATTGAAGGAGACAACTCTGATTTGATTACTGCTTTGGATGGTGTAACAGCAGGAGCAGTGGGCACTTTAGGAAAGATCCTCTCTCTCTTCTTGCATTTGAAGTTTTTCCTACAAAACAATCAATTGAAGAGTTAGAATTTACCTCTGATTGTAAATGTAACACACTTGTGTTCCCATAAAATTTCCACTCAATAATGAATTAAAGTTATTGAAACAAAAATCATTGCACTCACAAAAAGTCTGATTCTTCCTTTAACTCTTTTGAAACATTCCACTTTTCCCGCTTGGGTTGTTTTGTTACAAAGGTGCATTTGGTCCAGCCAGTTAAATTTCCCGTACAACAATATCCTTCTGTCCTAAAAAGACAAATAGAAACAAAATAAATATTAAACAAAAAAAGTGATAGGGTCATGAGATGTGTTTTGAAATAAATTGCACAAATTTTTTATATCACTGAAAGTAGTTTATTTGTTACATCTAACAAAAAATGTGTTTGCTGTATTACAACAAAAAAGCCAACCTCTAAAATCTAACATCAGGAGATATTTAATTCTGGATCACACAAACCACCCAAATTCCCATAAATTTGTTCATTGACTGCTTTATCCCACCAGCCTCTTTTGACACCCAAACTACACAATAGAAAAAAAATTTTAAAAAAAAACTTCTTTAGAGAAAACACTGCTGTACTATTTAGGCAGAGATCAATATTATTTAACCCTTTAATCCCTAAGAGTGACAAGGTTCTAATTTCTCTTTTTACAATCTATCCCTTGAATCAAATGTTTAAGTAATGAGAATAAAGGAAATGATCAGAAACTAACGAAGCTCTTAATGGTTTTACAAATTCTCCTTGTTAGAACCAAGGAAATGTATAGAGAACAGTAAGGAGAATATGCATACTGGTTATGATGTTAGGGTGTAAAGGGTTAATACTTTCATTCAAATTTACATTCATCTCAGAGATTTAGCACAACCACTTCACAAGAACAAGGGATTTTTATGCATGTAGGAGACTTCTTTTAATTGATAATTACAGAAAAAATTACAGACTTTGTGACCTTTCATGAAAATCTGTTATATTAGCATGGAAGCAATAATGGCCATTGATAATAACATGGTGGATAAAAATCATATTTGAGTATTTTTATAAAAGACCTGTACACAAGTTGACCTCCTTTGCATTCCTCACATGGTAGTAGTCGTCCAAATGTCATTCCATCAGCACATCTGTCAAGAAGCTACAAAGAAAAAATATTTTGAAGACAAAGCTAAATAACAAGGGTCTGTTGATGTAAGACATATGTGCATACAGTCAACTTACAGAGCTTTCCCCTCCTTGCGAACTGAGTCCATTGTCTTCCAACATTTCTCTCAGCTCTGGCAAGGAGCAGTTCTTTTGCAAATCATCTCGTATTTTCCATACCAATTTGCTTTGTTCCTGGTGAAAGAAAACATAGTTAAACCTTTAACTCCCAAAATCTCATTCATAATTCTCCTTACTGTCTGCCACATAGTTCTTGTGATGTTAGTTTGGAGAAATTATTATTGGATCAACTAATAATCTCCTAATCAATATTTTTCTTTATTCTGATCACTTGTCTGCTTGATATTGTATTGATATTGTAAGGAGAAATTCAGTCTTGGTCACTTATGGGAGTTAACAAACAATTCAATTACAGAAAAACTGGAAAAGTTTCTGCCTCTTCTTCTTTTAAATGCCAAACTGTGAGATTTAAGACACTTTACCCAAAACAAAGTTTGTTGACAAAATTCAGTCATAAGGAAATCTTGTGTGCCCACTCATCCATTTAAACCTTCAACTCCAATATGTGACAGACATGTAGAGTAACTTCTCCTTCTAATTGCAGCATGTTAATAACAAACAGATGATGAAAAAAGACAGGCTTATCAGCTGAAGTGTGAAATCTTCATGCAACACCAAATTCTCCTGTCTAATTTACAACAAAATGTGAAGTAGTCAGATGGGAGAAATACTAGTTTGAGTTTGAGGGTCCATGGGCCAAGGAGGACTGACCTTCAACTTTTTCTCACATTCATCTTCCTCTGCTGTCTTTGTTTGTTTAGCATCTGTTTCATCCACTGCTTGTGCTTTTCTTTTGTTCCCTTTCCCAGCCTTCTTCAATTTCACTGTTCCCAGTTTGCTCTTCAACAAGTCTTTGTCTTCCTTCTTCAAGATAGTGAATCCAGAGAATGACTCAGCTGTCACAGAAGAGTCAACCTCCAAAGATACACGGTTTTCCAGAAAGCAATCAATATGATGCCACCAGGGAATAGCAACACCAGCTGGAGCACTTGATTCAGCATCCGGCTCCTTGACCTTGGCAAGGCGAACTTCTCCCTACGAACAAGAGACTGTTTAATTAACCAAGATCTTATTAGCAATTATCTTTGCTGCCTGTTATACAATTCTTATAATGTTAGTTTGGAGAATGTGTTAGTGAATCAACTAATAATATCCTAATTGACATTTTTCTTTATTTTCGTCACTTGTTTACTTGATATTGTATTGACATTGTAAGGAGAAATTCTGTCTTGATCACTCATGGGAATTAATGGGTTAAAACAGCATTTTCAAGAGCGACAACTCTAAACTAGACAGAAAATAGATGGTTTCAAGTAATGCTTTCAATGAACTGTGAGTTTCTTGTTCTGACTCAAAGAAAACCAGGAAAAGTTTTCTCTGTGGAATCTTTTTTCATAGCTGTCCTGTGCACAACCTTTATGTGATGTAATCACACCCTATTTGGTATCAAACATAATTTCAAATTTTTATGGACTTGGTGGTCACATGATAAGAAACTCATTGACTTAGTTTGGGCAAGTCAAAGGGGAAATGCCTGGCTTGAAATTCCAATGCACAGACAAGACTCAGCAGGTGAAAGATTTTCCCATCTTGATCTCTCATCCAGTCAGTTAAGACATTGTAACAAATGTAGCAAACCACAGGTCAAATCTTACCTTGTCAATCTGTTCCTTGCAGTTTTTGCATTTACTACGGCTGGACTTAGCATACTCTACCAAAAGGTCATCTGCAACACTGTTAGCTGGTTGAGTTCCCTTACCCCCACCCTCTCCCCCCCATCCATTTTGCCTCTGATCTTCTCTTGATCATCCCATCTTAAGGAATCAAAGCCACTTATGTCACTGGAAGCTTTCACTTTGATCTTCTTGAAGAAACAGTTGTAGTGAAACCAATGGGGAATCTATGAATCAAAGGACCATAAAATGCCATCTACATTAATTGATATTTTGCAATAACAAGGGTGGATCAACTTTTTAAGGTGGGGAAGGGATTCAAACTTTGATTCAGAAAAATATAATATTTATGTATCCTAACCAGTCAGATAATGGTGAGAGTGCAGACCCCCCCCCCCTTCACCTGACCCTACCCCTGGGTGTGCCACTGGTTGAACGCAGCTAAAAATGGTTTTGTAGGCTTGGGCCTTTGATCTTTCAGGCTGCTGTCTGTAAAATTTTCTGCCACAATTCTTACTTTTGATCTTAATTTCTCATCAATCCACAATTATGGTAGACCATGCCACCCTTTCCAGGTTCCAAATTTTTTTCTTAGTTTCTAAGCGCTGAAGAGATGCACCAATGAGCGTTAAAAAAAAACTAATAAAATCATACTTGGCCTCTCAAAACATTGACTGAATTTATATGAAATTTAATCTTACTCCTTTGAAATCAGAACTTGTTTCACCAATTTGAGTACCATCATAGCTAACTCCAGCTCCCGAAAACCGGATTTTCAGAAATTGCTTCGTGTTCCAAAAATAATTATGTAATTCCTTTCACCAACAGACATAATTGAAAAATTCTTATATGCCACTACTTTCGGAAAGCTAAATTTCTTACCTTGCCATCAAAGTGCGGAGACTGAAAAACAAAGAGGAAAGAGTTTGTCAGCAAAACCCTTTCAATAATTTGACGCACCCTATATGCTATGCACACGAGTCTACATGTAGATTTCACATGTTTGAGAATGAGATCGCTCCATTTCATCAAGATCACACGAAATATTCTTCAAAATTCTCCTTACCTGTAGCATTTTCGCCAGCCTTAGGCTATCTTTTGAGATATTATCCTTGCATGATTTGCAAGAAGAACGGTTGGACTTAGCGTATTCAGCCTTGAAAGGCAGATCGTCCGCCATTTTGGTGTAGGTCCAAAACACGGAAGGAGTCTGGATCGGTATCATTCTTGCTTTTGATTGGTTGAATATTCGCGCCAATTCTATAGACAACACATGATCACTTTCATGACCAAACAAAGTGATTCGTGTGTTAAGTGTTAGAGCAATCATTTGAAGCTCTCAATTCGTAGTGAACCCGTCGATTCAGACACTTGGTCACATGTACCTTAGCCTTTATTATAAGGAGACAAGTATTCGAGAACATTTTGCGTCACGGTTCTTCAAGGATATAGTAATTCTGGAATATAGGTCTCGTATTGAGATGAATTGATATCAGGCTCTGAGCTGCGCAGCCGAAAGGTGAATTATAAAAACTATTCGAATACGCCGATGAATCGCACTGAAATTCGCAGTGCCAAGGTTATGTATGAAATTGACGTAGCTGAATTCTAGGAAGCTCGAACCATGTGCAGTGCTTAAGTATTAAATCAATAATTTGTGTTGAAGAAATATAATGTGCAGACGAAATATTTTTAAAAAATTATTCAAGATTGCTTTATCCCTGGTGAGGAGGTTGTTCATTTTTTAGAAAGAAGAAGGGTCTTCTGATCGAATTCACAGAAATCTGTGTATTCTTATTTAAATATCTCATACGGCTTGAAATAATTTATTCCACCCATTCCACAAAAAGTGGGCCCAATGTCACTTGGAAAATCGAAAAAAATCAGTTTCACAGAAAGTACGTGGCGAATCATTCAATTTAAAGCGCAAATATCGAAGAGTAAATACCTCAAAAATTAGCACCAAAGGTCATATATTTCCGTAGTTATGAAACATTTTATTGTACTTACTTGAAAATCACTTTAGGCAAAAAAAAAATCACCGATCTTTAAAATAATTTTCCACTTTTTTTTTAAGTTCTCGTTTTTAAGTTATTCAAAATCAACGTAGTATATATTTAATACAGGGCAACATGTAAATAAAAATCATACTATTAAAGTGCTCTGCTCCTACAAAGAAGAAAATATAGAGATCTTAGGGTTAGGGTTAGGGTTAGGGTTACTGAACTTTACCATCAAATGGGGCACTTTTTTCAGCTTCTTTAGAGGCACTCCGGGTTTGACGTTTTTGAGTGGATGAAGCTTCTGCTGCTCTTTCGATGGCACACTGTTTTTCTTTCTGTTCTTTCCGGTATTTTTCCACCCGGGCTTTTTGGTCCAGTCTTCGCTTCTTAAGGGCATTGTCATCCAAATTTGCAGCAGGTATGTAGGCTTTTCTTTTTCTTGTCCTCTCTCTTTCCACGTAATCTCTCCCTTCTTTCTGTTTTTTGCCTTTCACGGTAAGCCTTTTGAATCTCTGCACGACTTTTGGCATCTGCGATCGTGTGAAGAGTAGGTCCAATTATGTCACGCAACGATTCAGTTTTATTATTTAAATACGCCGTTTAAAATTGGTTTATTCATAAATATCTCTAAACGCCTACAGCTTAAACATTTAGATATGATTATTTTTACGATATATTCTACTCTGATGTTCAAAATTTTCATTCTTGTGACTCCAAAACCCGTTTTAAGGCCCTAACAAGCCACTTCCAGTTTTTGTAACTTCCGTTACATTTTTACTGTCTGACAGAAAACGAGGCTTTTAGCCAAAAGAAAACGTCAATGCAAATAAATTTTGTATGTACATCATATTGATACTACTCACCTTTGGATTTTGTCAATTTCGATGAACGACTGACAATGAAAAATTGAGAAATTTGTAACAAACGCTTCGGTCTTGGCGAATGTGTCGCAATACGGCAACGGAGGGGTTGTTGCGTAACACTGGAATGTCAATAATGTCAGTCATGTTTATTTTGCCGCGACTTTAGACAGCCAGATGATGTTCCAAAGTGCAACTCAACCAAAGGACGCGTATTTAAGATATTCCAAAATAAATGGTAACGGAAGTTACAGTAACGGACGTTACAGTTTGAGATCTTTTGTGCCTCCACTTCTTTCCAAGACACAAGCCAGTTAATATAAGTCTGTGAGCTTACTGATTGTAGGTACCTTCGTACTTGCACAGAACATTTTGAAGCAAAGGAACTTTTGTTTTCGCTAAACACTGGTAACGGAAGTTACATTCTTAACCATACGGTGCTCTTCGGCCTCATTCAAAGGGAAGTCTATCATTGCCACTTGTAGAAAAGGAGGTGATGACTTAAAATATTGAAACTGCGATGAAACAATAGGTAATTGACGGTAAGAAGAGATTATACAGGGATTTCTAACGCAGTTAAATTACTTTTCTTATTTCGGTAACGGAAGTTACAAAGAATTTGTGGACATCAATTCTGTGACTACTAAAATCGGACTAATGCAGTGCACTATGAAACATCAAAATTTATTTTAAGTTCATTTACTATTGGACGGTTTACACATATCGAATGTTTACCCGGGGATCATTCAGAGGTTTATAATCAAGATGTTTGTTCTACCGTTCCATCGTGGACACTGAAAAAAAGTACTTTTAGGGGGGTTTTGAGCTCCAAATGCAAAAATGGTATAAGATACATACGACTTTGCATTTGGGGCTTTGAACTTACCATGTCTACTCTACCTGGGCACTAAAAATGTACGGCTATAACTTTTCTTGTGGCCTCCGCAAAACAAAGACATTGAAAATGGCTATTGGGCCCACTTTTTGTGGAATGGGTGATTCGATAGTATAATTTATTTACTTATATAGCGCCCTTTAACATTTATGGGATGATCAGAAGCGCTTTACAATTAGTGTCTCTTCCGCCCATCCCACTCCAGGGGAGGACATCCACCACACAGTAATCTCGTGCGTGGAAAATTAACGTCTCCTACCCGAACCCTGCAGGAGACGGGGCCAACGGTTTTACGTCCTATCCGAGAAGACGAAGCAATGTGAGTGAAGCGTCTTGCTTAAAGACACAACGTCATGCCCCAGCCAGGACTTGAACCCGGGCCGTCGGACCCAGAGTCCAGCACACTGACCACTGGACTACTCACGCCTCACGAAAGGCACAATCTGTCATGGATAACATTTCAGATATTTTATGATTAGTTTCCTCAGTATAGATTGTAATTTATATTTAATCAACCATAACATCCAGGTCCCTGATTTAAAAATCTATTGCTTTGTTAGAGAAACTTTTCTCTGTTCTACACATTTTTATCAGGAAAAACAATATATGTGTAGTAGTAAGGGTTCTTACAGAGGCATAAACAGAATTGCATTCACAAAAAGTTTAATTGCTCATCAAGTTGACTTATTGTGCACACTAGAAGCAAAGATTTAACCTTTAACTCCCACAAGAGACCAAGAAAGAATTTCTCCCCACAATATCAATCCAGTATCAAGCAGACAAATCCCCTGCTAGCCAGGACCTCTTTTTCTTGTATTCAGCATGCAGGAGAAAGGGGGAAGCAGTGATGAGAATAAAAAAATAATATCAATTGGGGGAGTGTTAGGTGATCCAATACCAAATTCTCAAAACTAACATCTTAAGAATTCTGGGGAGTGGAAGAGTTACTAAGCTTTTTAGAAAACCTACATTCCCCAAATGATGCCCCACAATCTCAAAAAATTGTTAATAAAACTGGAAAATAGGGACTGAGGCACAAGAATTAGAGCATTTGACAACCAATAACCATATTAAAATTCTGATCAAATTTTTTCTTATTAGCCAAATTGTTTGTATTTTAAATTCTTTCATCACACAAAAATAAGCAAAGTAATTGTTCAACTTAGTTTCACCTTTGGGTGATAAAAAATGTCAAAATTATCCTCACAGGTGTACTGAAGTTGTGGAAACTGTAGAACAATAAGCCTGGAAAAATTCAAGCTTTGATAAGGTCTCAACTTGAGCTTCCCAAATGGTCACTTCTATTGAGTGAGCTAGGAAGCTACAATGCAAGTATAAACTCCTTGGGAAAGTTATTGAAAATATATCCTCAATCCCAAAATATTACAAACACCATCTTTGGCCAATTCATGCTTTTTCACAGATCCTACCCTCCCCTTACCCCTCCCAACAATGTTGGTAAAGCAAACAGTTATCACATCTTGATAAAGTTTACAAAGTGCCTAGAATTCAACATTTTTAGGGGAAGAGGGTAGGGAAAGATTCGACTTTTGTTATATCGCGTTAAGTGTCCCAGGACTTTAAGCCGCCATTTGTAGATTGGATATTCGCGTGATCAAAGGATTGCGTGACTCAATCATGCTCATATGCTGGTCGTGTAACGTACACCATAGCCCCTTCTATACTTCTTATCGGCATTTATTAACATTTCGGTGGATTGCGATCGATCAAGAAGTTCTCTAAGTCGCTCATCCCTCGGTCTCCAACTGTCGTTACGGAAATGTCCCTTAACCACTCCTCCATATCTGGGGTACAGTCTTTTCAGATATTCTGCTCCTCGACGAACTTGTTCCGAGACATCAGAATGTTCTTCGTCGTGAATGAAAGTGTTTGAGACTTCCTCGATAACTTCAAAAGCCTGAGCCTTGGCGAGGGTTTGTAACCGACCATTCCATAAGTTCACCGCCTCTTGTGCTTCAATCTCGTCAAATTCAATTTCGCCTTGAAGTTTTGGGTCGACTTGCGCAAGAATTCTGCTAAGCGTGACACAAACTGTCACTGTCACTACCAGCGTTATCAGAATGCACCAAGATATAATCGCCGATAAGCTCTTCGCTTGGGCAAACTTCTCTTGAATCTTTTCTCTTGAGCTTTCATCAGTGGCGTGGTCAAGAGCGGGTTTAATGGGTCCGAGAGTTGAACAGACATAGAAATCGCCTTCCATGAAAGCGAAGACGAACCATATACACGGCGGGAGAAGCGACAAATACACACTTTTACTTGATTTCCACCACACCAGTCTTCGCTTACGCGATTGGAGACGGAAGCAGCCAGTGACAAGGGTCCAGAAGGACTCAGATATTAACATGGAGAGGCAAAACAAAACGACAGCGGGACCACATATGAAAAGGCAACCATAGAGGACGTGGTAATCCCGAGGACAATTGAAGACAATTTGTTGAAGAAATGCTTTGAAGCCATACAGAAGCCCCGTGATGACAGTTGTCTTCACTGGCATTTCTGATTTAGCTATACAGTCTGTATAAGGTTGGACAACCTCGAACAACGAACGACTCAACGCCATGATGATAACCGAATGTGTGCGTTGTGACATGAAGTAACATGTCTCAGGCAAGAGGTTATGATTGCGTGACAATGGAATGAGTGCATGCGTATGTTATACATTTTATGCGCGTCATCTCTCAAGAGACAGTTTTTCGGGGAGTTTCTATACATAATTTTAAATCTCAGAATAAGTGAGTGAGAATTAACTCTCTTAGTGTACTGAACTAAATGGTCTTCACTGTCGAAAAATACGAGATCTTTGAGTTTTCTCTCATGGTCGTGACATCAAATGTGTAGACCAGCCAATCGAGTTTCTGGAACTACATCGCACCGGAACCGCGTAAACTGGAAGTCACGGGTTAGGCATCTAACAATAGCTTGCGGTTTAAGGAAGGTTTTGAGTTGTGGAACTGCGAAAACGCAAGTGAAGCCGCGAGAAGAAGTTATAGGGATGTGAAAAACCACCCGAGACTAGAACTCCGCAGTGGTTACTTTGTGTACCGTTGATTTTCATGAAACACCAGGCCTTCTGCAACGCTGGAAGGTATGTCACGGCTACATAAACGTTGCTAAATCTGAACGCAGGCTTTTTCTATTTATCCTCACACGATCATTGGCTGTAAGGGGTGCGCAATAGCGCAGTACTCATATTCATTAAAGAAACAAACAAACGAGCAAACAAAAACAAAAATATTTAAGGTTTATATCGAAATATGTCCTGAGAAAGCCTGTCAATACTTGACTTGATCTTGTTGATGATGTTTATTACTCAACCATTGATCAAATTTATTCAGCAGCAATCGTCTTTTTTTTACAGTTTTTTTTTATCCTCAGGTAATCTTTTATTGAACAACTATCTGGTTTAAATAATTCCTCTATAAGTGCGACGTTTCTAAGAAAACCGAACAATTTAGAACTTAATTCAATATTATTCACATAGCCTCTTTATGATCGATGAGTGTATTTTAATCAGAATCGTTCCGACCATTCCAATACGCGTACGTTGGGTAGTAGTAAGCTTCTTTCGGTGTAATCGGATACTCGTTAGGAGACACGAGGTCCACCGAAGATGTAGTTTTCATCAGAGACTTGCTTACACTAAAAAGCTTCGAGGCTGGAGCATCGACGAGCATGTCGGTATACCTCGGCGGTAACTTCGCCAGGTTCGTGAGGCTCACCGAGTTGTCATCGATTTGCTCAATCATTGATCAAATTTACGCAGCAGCAATCGTCATTTTTTACAGTTTTTTTTTTATGCTTAGGTAATCTGTTATTGAACAACTATTTTGTTTAAATAACTCCTCCATAAGTGCGATGTTTCTAAGGAAACAGAACAATTTATAACTAAACTCAATATTATTTACATAGCCTTTTTATGATCGAGCGCAGTTTAATGAGAATCGTTCCGACCATTCCAATATGCGTACGTTGGGTTGCAGTAAGCTTCTTTCGCTGTAATCGGGTACTCATTAGGAGACACGAGATTCACCGAAGATGTAGTTTTCATCGGAGACTTGCTTACACTAAAAAGCTTCGAGGCTGGAGCGTCGACGAGCATGTCGGCATACCTCGGCGGTAACTTCGCCAGGTTCGTGAGGCTCACCGAGTTGTTTTCGATTTCCATCTGCTGAGCCGACGCTAGCTCCTGCTCCAGGTTCACAAGTTTTAACGAAGGTGGCTCCTTGAATTGTCGGGAGTTTGTTGTCACGAGTCGGACAGAGGTCGTCGTTGGTGTGGCTGTTTCAAGTGATACACTGTTGAATCGAGTGTCACCAGCTTTTCCCTTTAAATGATACTTCCTTCTTGAGCTGAAACTTGGCATTTTCTGAATGAGAGTTTCGCGTACCTAGAGATTGGAAAAGAATCAACATCAGTGGCGGATCCAGGGGGAAGGTGTAAGGGGTCCGCACCCCTTCCTCCCCTTTCCATAAGATCTTTTCTTTTCGTATTGTTTGCCCAATACAAAAATTCTTGCAACGATAGCTGAATTGTGTGTTACTACTCAAAGTAAAGTTTATAAATCAACTTGTCTTGAAACATAAGTTAGCCTATGTAAGCTCTGGTGTGAAAAAATGTTTTCTGAAAATTCCTGGATCGGCAGCTATTATTGTGTTTGTTGATTTTCTTAGAACACTTTTATTCAGGAAATAAGACTGTACAACCACAGATTACAGTATTTTCAATCGAGTAATTTTCTGTTGACTGAGTTCATCAGGTTTTCTCCATTGCCCTTTGTGATTGGTTTACGAAAGTTATCAAATTCTCCCCACCAATCAGACTTGGTAACGTGCGTTTTGCCGCGAATGAAGATGTTTGTGAAAATGCCGTTTAGTTTCATTTGGGTCTTAACGAATGAAATGCACCTCAGTTTCAAAACTATACTTAGTGCTGTATACCGTTTCGTAATTTACTCGTAATTCTTACCGTTTCGTTTATCCAGCAGTGCGCAAAGAAAATGAAAACTCCCTGAAAAAGGGATCATACGGTTACATATACAGTTAGTTATGAGGAAACTGCGCGTGCTTTTATTACCATTGAACCCGCTCCTACACTGAACTAACAACAGTAGATTTGTTCATTCACTTTGATAGAATATGCTAACTCTTCTTACATAAATACACGATTAAACCTACTAAACTATGGAATCAAAGCGACCCTGACAATGTTAAAGGCCCATTTCCAACCTTGATGCAACGCGATAGTCCGTTTTTGTTTTGAACCGCCACTTTTGTTGAAATAGCGCCTCTGATTGGTCAGTTATTTTTACCTTGCCACGTTGTCTCAAACTAGCTTCTTCGTTTTTCCGTTGAAAACAATACTACACGTTTTATTCCGGTATAGAATTAGATGAATCCATTGATTTAATACGGACTAAATTCAAAACTACCGCAAAGAAACTGTAAAGTGATGAACGGCGAATGTATTTACCGTAAAATAATTGACCATATGTCCAGGATGGCTCTTGAGAAAGAAGATTTAAAGAGGTTTTTTTTTAATCGAGGAATTTCGTGTTACTGGAAATAGGTCGCGGCGCGCGTTGCATCAAGGGTGAAAATGGGCTTTTAATGATAGTGATTGATAATGATAATAACGATGATGATAATGATGATGATAACGATGATGATATTTAATAGTTCTGCCAATGATGGTGATGATGATAAAAATGATGATAATGTTAACGACGCCCGAGACGGTGATAGCGATGATGATAGCATTAATAATGATAATGATGATGATAATATACTCTATTAATCTGAAAATGCAGTCGACTCTCGCCCTGTGGACACCCCGCTATTCCAGACAAGAGCCAGCCCCCCTCCCCCTCCCCCCGATAAAAGAAAATAAAGAAATTATTCCTTCAATTCGGTGCAAACATGAAAATGTCCTGCTTGCGGCCGCATCCTTTTCCGGTTCATGAGGCCACGTTAGAAACTTTATGTTTCCGTAGTTACACATTATTTCATATGTTTAGAGACAAAAAAAATTTGTCTCTCTTACCCCGCTATTACGGACTCTAACTCTCCCCCCCGTGGGTGTCCGCAATAACGAGAGTCGACTGTAATTGCATTGTTCGTAAAAGCGAGTTACAAGATAAACACTTTTCCTCTTAACCAAAGGAATAATTTTGCCGTTCACGTTTTATACCTGTAAAGAGTTGGCGATGGCGAAGATGTAATGGAAGATGATCGTGTTCTTATCAACCGCCATGAAACCAAACACCCAAGTGAGGCCAAGTAGAGGAAGCAACACCACTGTCACCTTAACACTGCGCCTGTACAAAAACCAAAGAGAAGGGAATCAGTTTTGTCCACTTCTGGGACGAAGGTACGTTTGGAATTGTCCAAGTTCGAGTATAGCGTTTTTGAAAACTTGCACTTCAATTATAACGATGCAGCTACTTTAACAAGGTATATAGTTCAAGCGGTAAGTTCAAGGTTATTTCTTTTTATATACCTTATGCTTGATTTCCTAGCGGATTTTTCTTCTCCAGCTTTTACCATAGTCTTCCTCAACAAAACGTAGATAACGCTGACCAGGATGAAACAGTTAATCTAAAATTAAAAAAAAAGAACAAAAGTCAGCAATTGTTTTAAATTCGGAAAATAATTTTCTCTGGCGAAAACACAAACTAGAGCATTTGTAATGAGCCTCGCTCACCATAGAATCTTTGTGGCTCAGTGGTATAGCATCGGAGCGCGGAAATCCGAAGGTCTGAGGTTCGACTCCTCGTGGGGACTCAGAATTTTTTCTTTCTCCCACGCTCGCGACAAAACAAAGAACATCTTCTTTTCTTTTTTTATTCCATTTTCAAACATTATTCCACTCTACTTCTATCAAAGACTTCTCAGGCATAATAACATTAAACAATTAATTTTAATGTCTGTGTGGTTTAAGCTTTATTGTTTGCGTAACATAATTTTACTGATTATGCTATAGAAAATGCAATCAATCCGAATTCAGGAGAATCGTTACATATATGAGGGTATAACACCCAACCGTCCCATTGTGTGTGCCTTGTTAGGGCCAAAATTTAGCAAGCGGCACTGAGACCTCAGAAAATAGGACCCGCGTTAGAGTCATTCAAATTGAAGTCTGCGCGGTGCATATCGCAGTGATTAGGTTGACCGTTGTGTTTGCTATAGCATGTTATAAAATAATCATGTAACACTTTTTAGTTGAATACCACGGAGCACGCCACTCGTCACTTGCAACTTCAGGGTATAGACACACGCGTATTAGCTAACACTTATACCTAGAAATACAACTGACTCATGGGATATTCTATGTTATTAAAAACTGGAGCATTGGATAATGCAATTCGAGGGTTTTCATTGGCTTAGCCATCATGAGTTATGCGCCATTATACAATGCTCTACAACTATGGTATGTGTATTGTTATATTTCGTTTGTTATTACAAGGTAAAGTTGGGAAGTTTCGTGTGTATATATTATGGAAAGTTTTTAATAAAACAGTTATTCCTCTCGCGCTTGTTGGATTTGAGACGACTATTGCCAACTCAACCCTACGGGCGTCGTTGCCCATCTATCATCTCATATCCAACGCACGCGCTTGGAATAATTGATTAGAACACTCATAAAAAGCGTCCAGTGATAAACTATCGCGGTATGAAATTACTTACCGCAATAACAGCCAGTACCGGTGCAGCAAAAACCCAAATTAGTTTTCCAGACAACCAACAGCTGAAAATAAACGGAAAAATCAGATACCGTCAATTATTTAATCGAATCACTATATGAGTTAACAAGCCTTTCGATGAATCAAATTTGAACTCTACATGACTATCTTCGCCAACGCACGCCCCCTACTCTGCATATTAACGACATACACTTCGCCTTCTGGTGAGGTGAATACGCAAGCTACAGGACATCTGTAGCCAGTTTCAAGCATTTTTCTGTGAATGATCGTAAGAAGTTTTAATTTGTCTTGGCGCAGTTCACTTCTGGTGTAAAGTAGGTGCATCAAATACGGCTTAGGTTTTTTAGGGCCGGAAAAATTAAAATAAGAGCCTTGTCACCGTCTGTCTTGTTTGGGACGCTTTTTCATATGATTTCATACATCAAATAACACAAATAAATTAAGATGAAAAATAATTACATGTTGTGCGGTCCGTATTCATAGAAGGATAGTCCTGCAGAGGCTGATACAAGAAGAATCGGTGCACCTGAAAAGAAAAGATTTGCCAGATGCATAACGAACTAAACGTAAGTTTTTTTCCTCCAGATTTTGCAAGACAGTGCTAAGTAAGAACGAGTGATATAAGCGCTACCCTCCTAATCATCTGGAAGATTATAAAAGAACAGAGGAATGACTTCGTCATAGGTACACATTCCTTTTTCTTCTCACTCAGGGTTAGAAATGAATACCCTTTGACTGCGGTAGGGAGGCTAACTACAATGGACAAACCTTCAATCTAGTGGTTGACTTAGTGCTCTTTGTCGCGTTATGCAACGGGAACTGGGGTAGGCATTGGCAGCATGGATTTCTATGTGAGTCTTAACTGTTACTTTAACTTACGCCTAGATTTTAGTGCGGCAGTGAAAATGTGATGTAAAGGAGTAGAATTTGCGAACGTGTATAGATTGGACGCATAACTGCGTATACTCAGTGCGCATGATGGTGCAACTTAAACACTGTATAGCGAACGTTTAGACTCACGCATGCACCTTAAAGCCTAGACAGCGATTTGTGAGTCAAGATCAACAACGTCGAAGTTTCAACCCACGCCCGCCTCGGAGCATCTAAGTAATCACGCACGCGTGGGTTATCACCTATGCAAATTAGTTTCTCATATAGCGAGTTAAAATAACTTACCCCAACCCAGGACGTAGAATACTTTGTTGTACTTTTTGTTGCTAAAGACGCGTACAATCTTGTTGTAAATATGGATTCCCTCGGCCAACATCCAGCAAAACGAGGCACTGAGGAAGTAGTGGGTTGCTATGGAAACTATTCGACAGGCAAGCTGACAAGAAAAAAGGAGGAAAAAAGGATTAATCCTTTGCATCTATTGAATATTAGGTTCGAGGAATCGAAGCACATCCCTCCAGGTAATATTCCTCCTAATGCAAACACCAGAACCAGAGTTATATTCGGTGATGACGAGTTATCATACCCTTTTAGAGCGCGCATACGCATACCTACGTAATATTGTTCATACGCGTGCATGCGTACATACATAATAGTGTACGTACCACATCCAACGAAATAATTATGGTGCCAAGGACAAAACAGATTTGTGACAGACAGATTGCCAGGACAAGATTTATGTGAAGTCGATATGTCTCACGCCTTGCTTTGGTTTCACGTGGTTTCCTCCTGAAAGATATGGAAGACATGAATTACTTCGAAATCTTTTTTACACAATGAAAGAAAATTGGATCAAGTTAATATAAATTGACTTTCATTTTTCGTTAAATGTGAAATTCTCAGTCGTGTAGATATGTTTTGGAAGAAGTTCGTAAAATCAAGCATCAATAATTTTATAGGAATTTCTGAGAAAAAAACCGAGCTCAAAACTTACCATCTCTCTCATTTCTATCTACAAACATTGCACTATCGACATTGCTGATCCTAGCAGTATACAGGAAGCGTGTCATATGAACTTCGTAATAGACCTCGCTCATCGTGGACTCAGAATTTATTCATTGTCCCGCGCTCGTGACAATACGAAAAAACATCTTTCTCTATTTTTTAAACAGTTTGTGACTAAGAAACACTAATCATTAACTACGTCGTTTAAGAGAGCCGTCTTTAAAACAGACTACATTTTGAAAAAGATTGGAAATATGTTAAAGCTTTGGCAAGATCACTCGTAACTGTAGCTGTGTAAACTCGTGGAATATATTTTAAGATATAAGCACGATTTTTTGACACATCCGTGGCGCAGTCGTTGCACCTACGAAATTTCCTTGAAAAACTGTGGAAGTTAACGTGAAATGATTTTATCTTCGTGCAAAAAGAACAAATCAAAGTGAACGTTTTAGTGCTTCATTTCAACCAACAACAGCACTATTTTGAGGTCAATAGATCTTTTCCAAAATACGTAAATCAATCCGTTTCAAATGTCTTACATTGCCAGTGAGAATCCGAATATTGACAAAATACAAAAGAAAATGGAAACGCAGCAGCCGACCAGCGAGATGTACATCAGTGTCTCCTTGTTAGACTCGCTCAGTTCATCCTGAAAATATACCAAAACAATGAGTTAGCAAAACTGAATTATCGCTCGTGATGTAATGTAGGTCGTACGAGTGGAACAGGGAAGACAATTGCTGTTTTAGGCTAAGCTGGTGGAACAGGGAAGAAAATTTAGAGCTAAGAAAGCTTTCTTCTCGTCTTTTTCACTATCTAGTTTGGACTGGCTGAACGAATGACCGTTTACTGACAGAGGGACAGACAGACAGACAGAAAGTCTAACATAGGAAAAACGGACCGAAGGACAGCCTGTTTGACTTATTGGCCGAAGGGCTGACTCTCTGATTTACAAATGGACAGAAGAAAGACGAAAAGGAGAATGGTAGACAGACTGACTGACTGTTGAGTGACTGGTTTAATGAGTGATTAAGTGACTGACCGACTGATTCGCTGAGAGACTGGTGCATTAACAGACTCAAGAATGATTGACCGTTTTACCATGCAGCCTAGTTACTAAATGACCGACTGGCAGAAAGTTTCTCTAAAATAGTCAGTTTAGTCCCTGTTCTAATGTAGCTACACACGTTTTAACAACAGCCGAGAAGCTGAAGATTCTGAATGAATTAAGAAGCCGAAAGTTTTACAAACATATTTTTTTCCATCTTTCTTACATAAATTCCGTGCACGTCCATGATGAGACCATAGCTAGTGAGATGATAACAGTGGCAGATGGTAAACTCCTCTGTGGAATAATTCCTGTAGCATCCAACACTGGACCAGTGCTTTGAAGGATCTCTAGGGAAACGAGCTCTGCATAAATAAATTAACGAGAGGGTTAACTCCTTTTATTAAAGTCCGGATATAACGTGCGCTGACATTGGTTGAAAGAGCGTGCCCTGTCAGAGTACAAAACATAGAACTGAGCTAAAGCTGTCACGTTATTTGCCAAATTGTACCACGTCTAACCTTTTCGCGACTTCACTCTAGCTTTTTCGTTAATTCAAAGTGAAATTTCGGTGTAAGCGAGCCGGCAAGTAGCAACAGAAGAACCACTCATGAAGTGGAGAGAAACACTCAACTACGTCACGTGTTTCTCCCTGCACTTCTTTCGTGCTCTAGTCGCTTCCGTGCTTTTCAATATAGCAGAGCACAGTTAAGGCTTTTATATTTTTTTAAATAGAAACGTAATTGTGCCATAAATAGAAAGCCATATAGCCGGGAATTTATGTTGCAAATTGCCTTTTCCTCATCATCGTGGTTAAATGAGCAGAATGGTACTTACATAGCTGTCTCGTTCAGAAAACTGCATTTCTGGTTATGATATTCCTTCTGCAATCAAAGCATAATTTACAAGGAAATTTGAAGGTCTTTTGTTTACTGTTAGCACTGAGCCTGTTTTTTTTGGTGGGAAAGCTAAAGTCTGATTTCATCGTTTCATTGTTACCTTTAAATGCTCAAAGCGTAATACGACCGGTTCCTTTAGATTGGCGAGATGATCTGGATTCACATTGGTTGCCATAACAATAACAATAATAGAGTTTAGGTCGATGCCATCTGACCTAAGAGATGGATAACAACGAGAAAATCATTGATTATTTTATGAGTATCAATCCGAGAAAATGGGAATCGATGAGAACAAAACAGTAAACACAGATGCCCTCCGTTCAGACACAAGGCACAGGGACTGAGGAGACGAAAAAAACTTTTTAATTACTGATTTGTCAAGTAAACTAAGTTGTTCTGGCTCTCTAAACATAATATTTAGATTTTTGACCGTAGCTAGATCCAATTTATTTCAGATTGTTGCAATAGGGAGTAGAACTTGAATTGAACATTAGCTCCCGCACAACCCCACACCAATTACTAAAAGATGAGTTTTTCTACAGAGGAGCTATGTTTTGGAATAGGCTTTCCCATGAACTCCGGTCAACAATTGTTTTAAGCGAATTTAAACATAAACTGCATCATTGCAGCTTTGAATGAAACACGGCATCCTAGAAAGTAGCTGTAAAGACATAATAGGTTTTTATTCTTATAACATTCTATCATTTATTAGTTAGTTTAGCTAAGCAGAATAAGATATTTCTCGCTCTAAGATTGTGCTGAAGAAATTTTTATTATGTATAAATAAAGTTATCTATTTATCTTAACATTATTGTATTTAAATGGAAATGAGGGGGGGGGGGAGGAAGAGATGAATGCCGATTTTGACCTCAAGGGACTTTAATTTTCCCTGTAATAAAAATATATTGCACTAACACTGATTAGGCTTCAACTTGATTTCGAAGCTTTCCGTACAATTATAGATTATCTCAATTGTCTCTCGTGTTTTATCACTCATATTTAAATAATTTTATTACTTTATTTCACCTTCCATTTCTTGAAATGTTGGGTAAAACGTTTGCCATTCCTTTCAGAAGGGCGACAGAGATCCCGACAGAACCTGAGAAAGAGTAGCACATCTTTTTCCATAAACAGAACACGAGGAAGCCCACAAAAACGTAAAGAAAAAAATTCAGAACAGAAACGTTGAGTTTACCATTGTCGTTTCTATCTTTCACAATGTCACTTGGTATTTTGACGCTGTGCGATAAATTGGGGAAAATTGTTGCACCGCTAAAGGTTTGTCTTCTCGTTGTATTCACTTGTAGTTCTGTAAAAATAAAGCAACAGATGATTATGAGTAAAAAGAGGCTTTTTTTGTGGGTCACTCCCCTCAGGCTACTGATACATCACTCCCTTCCTCGTTAATCCTAGGATGACCTTAAGAAAGGCCATACTGGCTCGTGTAGACATCCACTTAAGACTTTGCTTCCTCACAAATATGTCGTAGTTCACATTTGAAAACTACTTTTCAAAGGCTAGGTTACAATGTCACAATTTCTCATGTACTTTTTAACCCGCTACACCCTAAAATCAGTATGCGTAGTCTCCATACTGTTCTCTATACATTTCTTAAAGTACTGACAAGGAGAATTTGTTAAACGATCGAGAGGTTCTTTAGCTGGTGATAATTTCCTTCATTCTTATACCTCTAAAGTTTGATTCCAGGGTTATATTTTACATTAGATGCTAGGCACCCTTACCGGTTTAAAATGTTGGAGGATATTTTCAAACAAAACCTCACAAACTCAGCCTCCCTTAAAAATGATAGCTTACCTAAATTTTCTGTTGATATAAGCACGTCCAGGCCATGTTTTTCTTTCTCATCAACTGATTTTATAATTGCAGGTACCACGTTCTCTACAACGTTTGAAATGACTGTGGTTGGTAGGGTTCCCTGTGGCACAAGGTAAAATATTTTAGCAGAGAGAAATGTCACGAGCGTGGGACATAGAAAAATTCCGAATCCTACGAGGAATAAAACCTCAGACCTTTGAATTTCGCTCTCCGATGCTCTACCACTGAGCAGGAGGCGAAGGGTTACCTTATTTTCGTTGAGTTGTTGCCATGATAATTTGTTGTCATTGTTCATCATTGAACTAACCATCGCGCTAACTCCCTGCAACACAAGAAATATTTGGAAAATAGTTAAATCCAACTGTCTGAACGTAGTTTTTAAAATTATTAATTGTACATAAAAACAAATTTAAGTCCCCTGGAAGGGAAATGAATTCATCGCGTTAATATTCTTTGAAATTTTATTGCATTGGTAATTAATTATATTCTTTTATGGAGAAAGATATTAGGAGAGCTACGTTTCTTACCTGAGAACGAAACACATTGAAGGGGTTGAAACTCGCAGTCTAGCGCGGTGAGCAGCGTTTTTGCATCTTTTGAAGAATAAGGGGAAATCTTGAAAGTGGTAGTTGTTGGAAGAGTCGTGATACAAGAGACCTTTCTTTATGTGTTAGGATTTCAGCGAGTATTGGAGATTAAAGTTGTACAAAAGGGTTCAAATATATGATATTTCCAAAACGGTGCAGGAAACCTCACCTTTAACTTATAAATATATAATGAAACATCTAAGATCATGTCGCTTCCTTACCGCCATCAGCCTCTCGGCCTCTTGTTTACTGGTGTTCAGATTCTCTATCTTATTTTTGACATTATCCAGTACATCAACCGTTTCCGTCAGTTCTTCACTGCTCATTTTCTTTAAACCGTTCACTTCCTCTGCCATGTGATTTGTTGCTGCAATAACAGTGGCGACGTCTGCAGCTTGCTGTGGATCATTTCATCATGAAATAGCTTATTAAATTTCAAACTGAAACTGGATTTTAAAGCAGAATAAATTTTAATCTTCCACTATCAACACTATGGCTCGTCATGTTGCTATCTTGAGTTCCTTCTGATTCTTTTTTGTACTTGCCACAGTTTTGATTGACCATTCTTTGTGATTACTTTTGGTTTGGTTGAACGACATACAATTCAAAGCGCTCTAGCAGAATGTCAGTGATACAACGTATATGGTTCCTTAGTGTATTTGATACTTTTGTTTATACAATTAGTGGCGAAGAACTGTCATGCCCTTGTTTTTGGTTTTTGGGGCTGATAATTTACGTATTTTTACCTTAACAGTCTATTTCCTCTAGGTAGGAATCGACCTTTCTTTTACGACATCCACATGTGCATATTGTCAATAAGTTTCGGCTTTAGATTATAACTTTCCTGCTCTTCAAAATGGTAAGCAGAAGCAAATTTCTTACCGCTATTTTTTTCTTTCCCTCAGCAAGTGTCGTACTTAACGGCTTTCTCTCTGTCAGGTAACCATAAAGCACGTTTGTCACTCACGATTTATTCGCAAACAAGAAAAGATTTAGTGAAACTAAGAAGGTTTTGGGTCTTAGTGATTACGGGATGATTGTATATTACTTTCTTCAACCCCTTATCTACCGTTGATCAATGGTTTAGCTAGGGTGACCTCAGTCACACTGTGGCGTTTCTTCCCATCTAATGATCATGAGCTGAGAGCGATTTGTCAGACTCTTTAAACCTTCTCAGCGGCTTCCCTGCGGTGCGTTTACCAGATGAAGACCCATTCAGTAACACTTAGGAATTACAAACGCCTGTATTAGTTGAGTGAGGAAAGCGAAATTATCCAGATTCTAATTTCTGGCTGTTAAGGATTGCAAAGTTCTCCATACTTTGGTGTTTACCAAGCATGAGAAGAACATTGCACCATACATTATTATTATTAGGGAAGTAATGAAACCTCGTTAAAAAACCTTTCAAATTTGCCGAAAGCTTTCTTAAACGCTTAATACTGTAAGAGAACTTATAGTCCGTACTGGGAATACATTAATTTTTCACAAAACATTGATTGTTTAAAACTGCAGCCTAAGACATAACTGGCTCTAAGTGCCTAGCTGTATCTCACCTTCACACTTTTTAATTTCTTTGTTAAACGAATACCCAGTCGCACAGGAACAGTGAAAGCCTCCAAGCGTATTTGTGCAACTGACGCAATCCATACTGGAACTCTGCAGACATTCGTCCACATCTTCACAATTTAGTGAAACTAAGAAGGTTTTGGGTCTTAGTGATTACGGGATGATTGTATATTACTTTCTTCAACCCCTTATCTACCGTTGATCAATGGTTTAGCTAAGGTGACCTCAGTCACACTGTGGCGTTTCTTCCCATCTAATGATCATGAGCTGAGAGCGATTTGTCAGACTCTTTAAACCTTCTCAGCGGCTTCCCTGCGGTGCGTTTACCAGATGAAGACCCATTCAGTAACTCTTAGGAATTACAAACGCCTGTATTAGTTGAGTTAGGAAAGCGAAATTATCCAGATTCTAATTTCTGGCTGTTAGGGATTGCAAAGTTCTCCATACTTTGGTGTTTACCAAGCATGAGAAGAACATTGCACCATACATTATTATTATTAGGGAAGTAATGAAACCTCGTTAAAAAACCTTTCAAATTTGCCGAAAGCTTTCTTAAACGCTTAATACTGTAAGAGAACTTATAGTCCGTACTGGGAATACATTAATTTTTCACAAAACATTGATTGTTTAAAACTGCAGCCTAAGACATAACTGGCTCTAAGTGCCTAGCTGTATCTCACCTTCACACTTTTTAATTTCTTTGTTAAACGAATACCCAGTCGCACAGGAACAGTGAAAGCCTCCAAGCGTATTTGTGCAACTGACGCAATCCATACTGGAACTCTGCAGACATTCGTCCACATCTTCACAAACCCTCAAATCGCTTGCGAGCCTGTAACCATCATGGCAAGAGCAGCGGTAACTTCCATCTGTATTATCGCACTTGTGCTCGCAAATGGTAATGTTCTCGCACTCGTCTATGTCTTCACAATTCGTCTCAGAACATTCAGTACATGAGCCGTTCATGCTACAACCGAGGCTTTTATTGCAATAATGTTCGTCTAAAGTCCTTTGGTAGCCTTTCCTGCAAAGACAGTCGTAACTCCCGGGGGTATTAACACATACCTGAGAACATTCTCCGTTGTCTTGCAGACATTCGTCGATATCCGAGCAATTTTTGCCATCAAGAGAAAGTTGGTAACCGAGGAGGCACGAACAGTTATACCCCCCTTGATAATTGTTACACAGCTGTTGGCAGCCGTGCTCGTTCAGCTGACACTCATTAATGTCCTTACAAGATCTTTGATCTGCTTGTAGCTCATAGCCTCGTAAACACGAGCAATTAAAACTACCAGGGGTGTTAACACACACTTGCTGACATCCCGAGCGTCCGCTGCTACATTCGTCTACATCCACGCACGTCTTTCCATTGTTCGCTATTTGAAAACCGTGTTCACACGAACATTTAAAACTTCCAGGTGAGTTTGCGCAATAGACTTGGCAGCCACCGTTGCTTATTGAGCACTCATCAATATCTTGACAGTTATTTCCGTCGGAAGAGCGAGTGTAACCTGAACGACAGTCACAACGAAAGCTTCCTGGAGTGTTCACGCATATATGCTCACATAAATTATGACCCTGACACTCGTCAATATCCACGCATTTAAATTTGTTTGCAGACCAGCCCTGGTTGCACACGCAATAAAAGCTGCCTATCTTGTTCACACACACGTGGTCGCACCCACCGTTGTTAGCGCTGCATTCGTTGTTGTCCCTGCATGATTTTCCGTCCCCGTTGAGTTGGTAACCGTTCAAACACGAGCATTGGTAACCTCCATCTGTGTTGATACACGTGTGTTGACAATCATGTGTTCCAAGTTGACATTCATCAATGTCATGGCATGATTGATTGCTTTTGTTGAACGTGTAACCCCCGACACAAGTGCATTGGCGACATTGGCAATTGCTTTGGGTGTTATTGCAATAAAAGCTGCAAGTGCCGTGGGTAATGTTGCAGTTGTTGTTGTCGTTGTCGTTGTTTTGACACGTTGGAAGGTTTGGTAACGGCTGGTTACAGGTACAAGTGTAATCTGTATTGTCTTGTATTTCTTGTGTTTGGCAAAGAGGTTTTTGTTCCTCGCTGCAAGGACTTAGAGCTGTGGTGAAAGAGAAACAAGTTGTAGCAAAGTAACTTGATTAATCTTCTTGAGGATAGTTAAAATAAATGAGCGCAATCAAGTCCAGGGAAAGTATCTTCAAGTTATATTTTAGAGGCTTTAACAACTGGAACTCTTACGAGAAATATCTAAATTAGGTTGAAAATACCTTTACAAGTTGTTCCGTGTCTTAGGTCATCAAAAGCGATATAACCCCAGTTTTCGGTGCCTTTATCTACCAGTTTCACCCTTGCAATGCTCCCAACAAATTGTTTAAGATCCACCTTGGTTCTTTTGAGCTGTGTTAGACAATTACCAGTCCTCGATATTACTGTGCTATCATTGACCACAATTTCCATGCGAACTGTTTGGATATCACAACCCCCTACACGAAAGAGGAATACATAGTTAAAAGCATGATGATGTAGCATCTAATTAACTGGATGAAAGGCTTATTAGACTTATGTCTGTCTTTACCACCAATCAAAAAAGATAACGAAGGGCTTCTGATGAGAAAGGGCGGCGACATCATCGTTCCTGTTGCCTGTTTTCCAAGTGAGGAATTTTGCCATTGGCAGGGCGTTGTGACATTTCTCTGAGTGTCAATCAACCAGTTTCCTTGGTGGCCAGAGAGAGAAGATCCCCCAAATATTGGCTGGTGGATAAACGCACTACCTTGTTTGAACCAATCATCAGCGCCATGCTCAAAATTGAAAACTGGGCAATCTTAAAGAGCAGAAAAAATAGGAATTTTTGGATGTAATCTTTTTCGTAGTTTTGGGATCGTAATAATTATTTTCTACTTCTTACCCCAGCACGACTTAAGATGGTCTCTCTTTGAAATTCCTTTTAAAATATGGCAGTCAACTATGATAAAATTTATTTCAACTTTTCTCGCTCCTCCCCTTTACATGTTATTTGCATAACACCTTAACAACTCGCAAGGGCAGACTGCCTCCTTTTAGAGGAAAAAATCTTTTTTACTCTTTTTTTTTTAACCATTTTTTACCTCAGTTTATACTATAATAAAAACACAACGGAGAAATATTCTACAAACCAACAGAATTCGTTATTGTCCAATCGTTACTTTGGAAGCCTATGACCATATTAGAAAAGGATACGTAATTTTAGTCTATGAGAAAAAACAGAATGGTTTTCCAAGTTATATTTAACAGAAAAAAAACGAATGTCTAGTCGAAACCAATTTTTTTCAATTTAGCCCTTTTAAAGAGAAAGACATCCAATATTTTAAAGTATCATTTACCTCAAACGACACAGCTTAATTTGTCGACTTTAGAATTGTAATCATATAAATCTGATCATAATAATATTCTAACAGGCTATTCGCTGCGAAAATAGTTTGGTTGAAAAAGCTTGGTGGTTGAAAAAATATATGTATTCATTACTTATGAATAGTATCGGATCATAATAATTTTCTAACAGGCCATTCGCTGCGAAAATAATTTGGTTGAAAAAATATATGTATTCATTACTAATATAATTTCGTCTCCAGGAACTGTGTTAGATGCACGAAGTTTTCTCAATGGTGTTGTAACGTTAGCAGAGATAATTCAACGATCGTGACATTCTCTTTTTCACTCACGTTTGGGAAATTCGTCGCTAATTGGACTGGCGTCGATCAACGATATTAGACCCTGAAGAACGGCAAAACCGTTTAAAATCAAATTTAGGCTGAGATACATGACGCATCCCCGATGGCAACATTAAGATTCAGCATCGAATGCCGGCGCAAAAATCTCCGATGAAACTATAAAAAGGCTTCATATGCAATAACAGACAGAGTAAAACAGGATAGAGCCCTCCAGATGAATTCACTGTTGATCGTTTCGTGCTGCGGAGCAACCACCGGGACGTCGGTAGATAATTTTAAAGTACATTGTTTATCGTGAAGTTGAATGCTTCTTCACGTTGATTAACCTGATCCGGAAAAAAACATCAACCTTTATTTAAATCTTAAGAATAAAGTTTAATTAATTTTGGCGACACACAACCCACGGATTAAGTTTATCGTATCAAACATTTGTCACAGCACCGTAGGGAGGGAGATAACCTGGACATTTTCTTACATGCATGAAACGTCTTGAGGGACAACTTTTATGTTCTAGAATCGGGTCTGCCTTTGTTTTGAAAGTCTTGTGTAGGCGTTGGTTTTTTTGTTGTTGGACCAAAGAATTGGCTGATGCAGAGTTGTATAATTTTATCAATTTGTCAAGATAATTTTAAAATGATGAAAACGGTTTCACGTTTTCAACGATATATCCTTGACGTTTGAATATTATGGAGGTTGTTTAATTTTCCAGCCGTTCTCAAACAACACAAAACTGACCGATTCATTATCTGGGATCACGATTTTAAATTGTTAGAACGATTTTTTTCTTTTTGTGTAGGCCACTTTATTGCATAAGTGGTCATTTTGACGCCTCGCTTTTTATTCAGATGACATAAAAAGCAAATAAACTTCTTCAAAATTTCAATATACTTAATTACGGATAAACCAGGATAGCAAAACACCAGAAATGAGAACAAACTTAGATTAAGAAACACAATAGAAGAAACTACACAAAAAATTTGGCTAGGAATAATTGCAGTTATCGCCGGAAGTTTTCCGAAAATGTTGTTTGGCAAGTCTGCCGAAAATTCTCGAACATCACACAAGTAGATTAATTTCTAGCTACTTTTTGCAAACATTGTTCTTGTTGATTGGCCCAATTGTTTCACTGTTATCAGCATCGGTATTTTTTTTTTGCTCTAACAGTTTCCTTTCACGTAATCTACAATAGCCATGAAGATGTTGTGACCAATATCATTTATACCTTAGCTTAAATACTGTGCGGGTGATCTGAACTTTGTTCTTTTTATAAAACATATTAGAGATGTGTTGTGAAAAGAAAAGCAGATAAAGTCGGAAAAGAAGAGAAAAGGATTATGACAATTTTAGACAATTTTTGACAATTTAGATCTACTAATTTCGTATAGCTGCTTCAATTAATACATCCTCTTCACTTTTTTTAAGATATCATACAGGAAGTCTGTGTCTGAGGGTGAAAAAGATAAGATGTGTTTCTTAATTTGAGTAAAACTCCACTCCTTGCCATGGAAGTACAACTGTTCTCAATAGCAGCTGTTCTTTATCCATGCAATTTTTGTATGCGACTTTGCCTGAAAAATTGTCGTTTGCCCAAGGACCTCATACCGTCAACTGAAATCGTCATTAATTATTTTAAAACGTGGATCATTGGCTGGTGCAAATCTCAGCTTTATTCATGACGTGATAATTCTGAGAGCAACCTTAATTATTGATTTTTTTCTTTAATGTTTTAATTTCTTGGCAGCTAAAGGGGAAAACTATCGAAATAAGATTGCGTTTGGCGAAATGTGTCATAACCAAACAAGTTGAACAGCATTCTTGAGTAAACAATGTCATAGTTTGAAAGGAATGCATTTGCGTCATAGCCATTTTATATTTGTGTCTGTCAAAATATTTACAGCGTTATTTAAGCAAATTTGCAAACAAAACCTGAGGCTCCGCGTAGATTAAAAGGAATCGTAATTGAAAGGCATCCAAAAAATTGCGTTTCTTGGTACCTGATATTTTTTTCTTGAGTGGTTTTCAGAAATGCGAAGTGCATTTTCTAGAGAAAAGGCCGAACCCCGATCAAACGCTAGGGTAAAGTAGCATATTAATTCTGGGCTTAATTGGAGCCCTAACCGACGTTCCGACCTTCACAATTTGCGATCGGGCTAACATGCCAACATCTCTCTAAGAAATACCACAGCTGCGACATACTGCTGCGTTAATTTGATAATTTCATTTGTGAAGATTTCCAGAGGAAAGAAATGCCCATTTAGTTAACCCAGTAACATTTTTCTGACGTCCAGGGGATGGAAAATTTGTACCGTCATGATAAATGACCCCATGGATGCGGAGGACGGGTGATAAAAATTAACCTAAACAGAGAAAGAAAATAACGCTACGTTAATAAACGTTTAATCTCGATTTGAACCTGGCCTTGAAATAGTTAAATTGTTAACCACAGCCTCGTATGCACAGTAAGTCGAAGAGTCGTTCTTTTCATTCCTTTTTTTATTTGTTTTACTCAACATCGCGGATGTGTAAAGAGTATCTTTGTGTGATATTTTGCAATTTTTATTTACGTGGGTAAGTTTTGAAGAGGGATTCTAATGCCAAAGAATGACTGAACTTCCATCTCAAGTTTTCGAAGCTTCAACTTTCGTGAACCGTTTTAAAAGCAAGAAGTGGAAAACGCCTATTGCATTTTACACTTGTTATACATGGAAATTCGAACATAATAGAAATAGTTAAAGAAGGTTTACCTTCGTTTAATAAATGCGTTGATGTCAAACACTTTGATCTAAGGATTTCTATGGGCTTGAGAGTCATTTGCAATGATTGTAAATTGGTTGGATTCTGGTTGCGAAGTACTGCACACGATGAACACAGTGGAAAAGAACCAACACAGGACAGCGGACTGTTGTTTAATGCTTATTGTGCACAAATATTAAGCAGGACAGAGTACAAATTCATATGGTCTTGGTGCGGAGATATATCTTCTTACTAAATAAATTCTGTTTGTTGATTACGTTTCCTTTTACAAGATCGTGCGAAAAACGCGTAACACGGCTCAAAAAAGTAGATTTAGAGCTGATTCTGAGCTAAAAATTTTGTTACGGGGCGCGTTAATTTAATATTTTCACGAAACCGCTCAATGACATTTGTCATTTTTCAAGGACAGCCGCTTTGTAGAGGTTTCTCAAGTCCTGCAGATACTTGAAGCAGCTCTATTCATGTGGGGTGTGGGTCGAAGATTAGGAGAAAGAGGCACGTTCTACTTTTTAAATAAGACAACTAAATCTAAATAAGACTTTGGTTCCCTTAGCGCCCGTGAATATCCGAGGAAGCACAAGACGAACAAGACTTTGGCCGGGTTATCGTGTGTTATCAACTGAGTTAAAAACGTAAATTGGCCACCGTAAAGAGTTTAAAGGCCGACGTTTCGAGAAACAATCGCTCTGACAAAAGGCTAAGGCTCGAAATGTCAGCCTTTAAACTCTTTACGGTGGCCAATTTACGTTTTCAACTCAGTTGATAAAACTGAATTACCCCATTAATTATATAATATATGGATGTAACGATTGCTTTTAGTACAAACGTACCAAATGACCTAGTCTCGCAAAAAGCTTGACTCAAGTTAGCCAAGGATTCACTTTCGGAAACGTTTTAACTTAAAGAGCCTCATTTAATGAGGCAATAAGACAAAAGGAAATTGTAGCCAAGGTAAATTTATTTTATGATAGTGCATTCGATCCTGTGATTGACGTCTTAATACTGTACGGGCATGATTGACGCATGCATTTTAAATGATTGCGGCTTTTTCTTTCCTTGCAACGATCTTTACTGAAGTAGTTTTAATGAAAAACTTGACTAAATACCCCCGGGAGCTATCTTGTTTTTAGACTGTGCAGAAACCAATGAAAAAACTACAAGTGCAATACCTCGTTGTAAAAATTGATTAACCCAAAATGCACATTTGCATGATTTTCGAATTACGACGGATCATCTTGTCAGAGAAATAATTTTAGTGTTATTTCAGAATACAGCCATGCGAGATGCCGTCCCTTTCAGAAACTGGCTTTTCAGGTTTTTGACGCGGACACTTGCAAGTCAAAAACCTTCAATTTTTTGTTACATTTCTCTTGTTGTTTGGTATTATATTTTCTCGAATAAAAAAAAATGATGTCAATTTGGAATTGCTTCGGCGTCTTAAAGACTAAGGCCCTTACAGTTAGCATTGTAAAAGTATCGGTGTAGACAATTATGGTTTTGTGAAATATTTTCCAAACTAGTTAAGGACTTAAAGTCAGAACAGAAATCATGCAGTAGTAAAAGAGTAATTTCCATTCCAATCTTTCCAAAATTTCCAAAGGTGCATGGAAGTATGAAGTACTGTTTTGTAGATGCGATATAACACAGCATGCAATTGTGATCGCAATATAGACCACACATTAACCATTGTAAGAATCTAATATACACTTGAATAGTGACTAAATATTAAACGCTATAATTAAGTATAAACTAAGGATATTGCTTTTCTCGCCACAGTTTTCCTATGGTGCATTTGATCTCGAATTCTCACAACGAACTCTGCTTCCTTTTCTTTTGCCCCGCGTTTGTGATAAATAAGTCAAACTGCTCTTAACATATGTTAATATCACGGAGGCCGAAGAGACCGAAATATTGTCCATGGTAATAAAGAAATCTTATCGCCACCTAAAAATCATATTAAACGCCTACAAATTTTAATTACGTTGCTTATTGTCCGTGTATTGCTAAAGCGATACCTTCGAATCTATATGCAAATTCTTTACTTTTTAGGCTTATGGTAGACCTGCTTCCACTTATCGGAGGTGTTTACTTGATGCAGGTACACGAAGAAGATATGCCAATCTCGGTATCTTGGAATTAATGAGCTGTTTTTCGGCAAAAGGATTTGTGCATGAATTGCAGAGAGAGTTATTGCACATGTGTTTTCGATAACCGAAATTTTATACGGGTGAGCTGTCCGTAAGAGAAATAAGGAGTATTTTTGAAAACCTTTTAGTTTCCTATGACTACTCATGACTTTCGCAATAATTTGTAATTTTTGTTCCTTTGTATTTGTAT